TATAATGTCCTAAAACTGGGAAAAAAAGAAAGGGAAAGAAAAGGGGGAATTAAAATAAAAAAGAACTGAATCCAAATCCTTACATATCTTCAATTTACTTTTCGGGAAAGTTTTTTCCCATTAAACCTTTTCTAAAAAAACCATTTCATGTCTAAGGAATATATTAACAATTATTTTTAAACAGTTTAAGGAATCGGTTCAGAATTTCCCCAAATGTTTCCAATTAAACCATTCTCTGTTAAACCATTAATTTTTAAAAACCTTGGAAAAATTAAAACTGTAAAAAAACACATTTGTCTTGGGGGCAAAATTTCTGTGGTCAGAAATTTTATTTTTGGGTCCAAATAGGGTTCCGGAAATAGCAATTTTTTTTAATTTTGTTTTAGGCTCTTTTTACATTTAGGGATATATATATTTATTTTATATTATATTAGAAAATTATTCGGAATATGGTTGGTAAAAAAGGAAATTAGAAAAATCTTGTGTGGGGAAAAAAACTATCCCACTACCAAAACAAGTTTACTTGTTCTTGGAAAACCCAAAACATAAAAAATTAAGGAATTCTGTGTTGCACCCACCCAAAAACTGAAGGTTCCATGTCCAACAAAGACGTCAGTCAAAAGGGTGTTTAGACCTGCCAATGGCCAACTTTAGACAAATTTCAATTTTCCATTGATGGAGGTTTCATATTCATCAAAAGTTTCCATCATCCCAAAACCTGGAAAGTTTTTAATGGACCAAAAGAAAAGAAAAATAAGGGGAACCCAAAATTCTGATTTTCCATTTGCTTGAGCAGTCACAATTAATCTTGCTGTTGGATATTTAAATTATTATATAATATATTATATATATATATATATTATATATTTTTCTGCCAAAAATTTGCCCAAAAAACCCCTTCTAAAAAAAGCTTTATTTATATTATAGCTTAATATTAAATTCTGTTTACACATTTATTTCAGCAATAAAAAAAACAGTTAATTTCTTCAAAAACACGTCTATTAATTCTGTTGGAAGGGCTTAAAAAAAAAACCCAGCTTTTTCCATATATGTAAAGGCCATATTCTTTTTACTCATTTTGCTTCCTTTCAAAAAAACCCACAAAACTTGGCTAACGCGGTTTGCTATATCATAAATATATATATTCTGCAAATGCCAAACCCTCTAAAGCTATATATTATAGCTTAATATTAATTTCTGTTAACAACATTATTTCAGCAATAAAAACAGTAATCTCAAACACGTCTTATAATTCTGTGGAAGCTAAAAAACAGCTTTCATATATGTAAGGCCATATCTACTCATTGCTCTTCAACCACAAAACTTGGCTAACGCGTTGCTATCAATATTCAATGTCGTTTTGCTTAATCAATTAATAATGACAAACACAAAGTCGCGGCATTAACTTGAAGTTAAGAAATATATATATATATATATATCTTGAAATTTCATGAAGAGGAAATCACATTAATTAATTGTTTTATAATTTCATGAACAAGAATACTTTTCTTCTTGTTCAAAAACCAAATAATATTTTAGATATAATTTTTAATTAAAATGAAAGTTGAACTCATAATCTACATTGATTCGTGGGCTGCAAAGTAAAAGTCTAACCAAAAAAAAAAAAAAAAATTTACTATTATTAAATTTAGAAAAGCTTCAATCAAAAAAGAAAAAAGAAAATTCAGATAAGGAATTTGACATGAAGATGATCGAGTAATAATATCGAAAAGAAACAAGAGAGTTTCACATGCAAGTTAACATCAAACGATAGTATTTGTTGAAGATAATAATTGAAGAAATTAACTTTTTTTGAAGGCACACGAGTGGGTGAAGCAGCAACAGCAGGAAATGGACCCTTGATGTTGATAATGTATAGGTTCGTGAACGTGGGGTTGGCCAACCTATGTATGGACACTCCCTTACCTAATGCCCTACGTTTCAAATCATGTTCTTCCTTCCCCTTCTTTTATCTATTTCACTCAATAAAATTTAATTTTCTTGTTAATAATCCTTTTTTAAAGGAGTGAAAAAAAAATTCTCAAAATATATTTTGAGTTGAACTTGAGACTTTCGAGTTTTTCGAGCACTGTGTTAATTATTTGTTCTTCTTAGGTAATTCCAACTTAAATTTTTGGTTTGGTCCTTGATAAGATATTATACACATGCATTACGAATAATGATAATTAGATATTGTTAAGAAGATTTAATTAGTATCCAATAAAAATACAAAAACGACGGAGTAAATAATTTTTATCCTAGTGGTCAGAAACAGAAAAATAATAAGTCAGGGTCTGACCATGTTATCCCACGTGTCATGTACCCCACAATCCATTAATAAAAAATTTCTCAGAGCCAAAACTTCTAGCCCCACATGGCCATACCATGCCCATTCTCCAACAGCCATGAGGACCCAATAACCCACATGGGTATGTTTCCTGATCTTTTTCCTCTCTTCTAAGCAATCAACGATCCTGATTTCACTCCCTCAACCTCCCAAAACTCATCTTGACCGTTCCCACTTAAAAATCTCTCAAAAAAGTCTTCCATATGGGCGGCTGTGCTTGTCCCACTCTTGTCCCCTAAATCCATAGAAAAGTTGCCTCAAAGGTGCTGTTATTGCTACCGACAGCTTAGCTTGCCTTTGTCCATAATTCATGCATTTAGACTTTAGAGGTTAAAAATTAACCCTTTTTTCTTTATCTTTATCATATAGTCTATAAAATACACTTGTTCCCATTCAAAGCTCCACCTCAAAAGCAAACTCTTCCTCCTCTCCCTACAAAGAAAGAATCAAGAACAAGAAACAAGAAAAGGAAAATGGAAGGTGGTGTTGCATATGAGAATGATCTGAACCTGAAAGCAACCGAGCTGAGATTAGGGTTACCAGGAACTGAAGGCCAAGCAGTTTCTTGTACCAGAAACAACAAGAGGCCATTGCCGGAGACTAGAGAAGAAAATGGAGCTACAGAGAAAATTGATACTTCAAATAATGACTCAGACTCCCCTCCAGCCCCTAAGTAAGTAATAGCAGATGCAATATTTATCTGCAAGAAAATAGAACAAGCTATTTAATATATTTATATGTAGCTTTTATTGATGTTTTGTTATGCTATGCAGAGCACAGATAGTTGGATGGCCACCGATCCGATCCTACAGGAAAAATAGCTTGCAGACGAAGAAAACTGAAGCAGAATCTTGTGGGATGTATGTGAAAGTGAGCATGGATGGAGCTCCATATCTTAGAAAGATTGACCTTAAAGTTTATAAAGGTTATGAAAAACTCCTCAAGGCTTTGGAGAATATGTTCAAGTTCACCATGGGTGAATACTCAAAAAGAGAAGGCTACAAAGGATCAGAATTTGTTCCTACTTATGAGGATAAAGATGGTGATTGGATGCTTGTTGGAGATGTTCCATGGGAGTAAGTATTTTTCTTTTCCTTTCCTTGATTTTTCTCGAAAGATCTTTTACCTTTTTCTATTTATGTTTTAATTTCTAGGTACTAAATATATATATATTTTTTTGTTTTAATTCAGAATGTTCATGTCATCTTGCAAAAGATTAAGAATTATGAAAGGATCAGAAGCAAGAGGTTTGGGTTGTGGAGTATGAGAAACCTAAACAAGCCATATAAGGAGAAAAGAAAGGACAAGATTTTTGTCTCTTCCTATGAAGAGAGAAAATCTGTTTAGCTTGTGTTCTCCAAGAAGAAACTTAATCTGAATTTCTGGGTCGCTTTTTGGACAGACTGCTCTGCAACTGGACCCGGAATTTCAGACGGGGAAAAAACGAGTGAAACTTAACAGTTCATTTTCCTAGAATGTGGGAACAAGATATTTGGTGGTTTGAGGCATCTATGCTGTTATTTTGTTGGTCCTTCCAATTTAATCTCTCATCAAACCAGAACTGCTAATAGGAAGATGATATTATTTGTTCTAGAGCAATTATGTAAATGGAAAAAAAAAAAAAAAAAAAAAAAGAAAAAGGGACCAAAGATTTTGTTTCTCTTTTCCTATGAAGAAAGAGAAAAAATCTGATTTAGCTTGTGTTCTCCAAGAAAAGAAATTAATCTTGAATTTCTGGGCGCTTTTTTGGGGACAGGAACTTTGCTCTGGGCGGCAAAACTGGGGAACCGGAATTTCAGACGGGGGAAAAAACGAGTGGGAAAAAACTTAAACAGTTCATTTTTCCCTAGAATTTTGTGGGGAACAAGGGATATTTGGTGGTTTGAGGGGGCATTTTTTCTTTATTTGTTTATTTTGTTGGTTTCCTTCCAATTTAAAATCTCTTTCATTCAAAAAACCAAGGGAACTTGCTAATAGCGGGAGATGATATTATTTTGGTTTAGGAGCAATTATTGTAAAAATGGAAAAAAAAAAAAAAAAAAAAAAAAAAAAGAAAGGCCAAGAAAAAAAAAAAAAAAAAAAAAAAAAAAAAGAAAGGCAAGGAAATTAAAGATAGGAGCATCCAAGTTTTGGTTTTGTAGTATTTTCTAATACAATACTATAAAAATTATATAGTACCAAATTGTGTTTTTACAAGTTCTTACAAGTCTGCCATTTTTTTTTCTTGTTCTGTATTTTCTAATATTATTGTTTAAATTTATGGTTCTTGTTTTGGGTTATTGACTATAGAAAAAGATATTTAAATACAAGCTGAGGGTTCAGAGATTAGCATGCACACACGAGAAATATGTCATCTCATTAAGATTTGGATGTTCAAGAAATACATAACAGTATCTCTTAGGGTTGTCTACCAAATTATTCTTTGTCTGAAATTCGATTGAAACCCTTTCACTTTTTACCCACCCAACATATAAATAATTCGAAGTGTCATTTTTTTTTTGAAAAAAGAATTATATGCACACCCACAAGCTTCCAATCGTTCGATGCAAATATTTACTCTCATCGGATGGTTGTAAAATTGTGCAGATAAATATTTTCCTAACTCAAATCCAACCATACAATGTGGGGCCTCAATGAAATATGATCAAGCTTTTCTTTAGAGATAGGAAGCATCAAGATTCAATGTAATACTCTTTCAAAAAAAAAAAAAAAAAAAAAAATCAAAGCTTTTCTTTTTAGAGATAGGGGAAGGGCCATCAAGGGATTTCAATGTATAACTCTTTCAAAAAAAAAAAAAAAAAAAAAAAAAAAAAGATTTCCAAATGGAAAATTTAAAACTGAGAATACAATCCAGGGAGGGGGAAAGTTCGATGCTTGTTCGATGTTACTTCTTTGATTTTAAAAAAATTTATGCAAGGGACTTCATAAATTAAAAAGAGTGTCCCACAGAAAAAGGCAAAGCAAACAATGAAAAAGGATGAAAAATTTAACCTTTAGATTATTTTCCTCTTTGTGTTTGGTTTCTTAAAGGAAGTTAACCAGGAGGGAATTTTCAATTTAAAAAATAGCGAGAAGACAAAAAAAAAATGGAAAGGAAAAGGGGAACAAGAAACAACCATTAGGAATTCTTTTCAGGGGGAAAAAAAAAAAAAAATGTTAAAAAAAGGGCAAGTAAAAAAAAAAAAAAAAAAAAAAATTTTTCCCCTTTGCTTAACTTTAACTTTCTTAAACCATTTTGGCAAAAGTTTGAAATGGTTTGGAAAAAAACTTTGAGTTGTACCATTTTCAAAAACCAAAATATATAATTTATAAAAAAAAAAAAAAAAAAAAAAAGATTCAATGAATAACTGAGAATACATCAGAGGGGAAAGTGATGGCTTGTCGATGTTATCTTTGATTTAAAAAATAATGCAAGACTCATAAATAAAGATGTCCCACAGAAAAAGGCAAAGCAACAATGAAAAGGATGAAATTTAACCTTTAGATTATTCCTCTTGTGTTTGGTTCTTAGAAGTTACAAGAGAATTCATAAAAATAGCGAGAGACAAAAAATGAAAGAAACAACATAGGATTCTTCAGGGGAAAAAAAATGTTAAAAAGGGCAAAAAAAAAAAAAAAAAAATTCCCCTTTGCTTACTACTTTCTTAACCATTTTGCAAGTGAAATGAAAACTTGAAGCTGTACATTTCACCAATATATATATATATATTTTTCCTTTTTTTCCATAAAAACTAGAGCATCAAAGGATGGAAAACAAGATCCTGAGAAAATCTCATTCAAACAGTTAGATCTAAACAGCCAAAGCATCCAGTCAATCACTGACAAAAAATGAAGTTACTGTAATTATTAATTCAAAGCCTGAATCCATTTGATTTTCCCTAAATGAATGAATTATTGTGTCCAATGTCAAACAAAGAATAGTATTAGAATAGCCAAACCACATCATGAATCATATCAGTCTTTTATTAATCAAAAGTTATGGCCCCAAAATATTCAATGACAATTCTCACCTCCAAAGGAAACTTAGATTTAAAAAAAAAATGGGGAACATAGCCAAACAATAACTCATCTTTAATATTTTTCATGTGTATGGTGGTATTCAGAGATTTTCCACAGAGTTCTTTTGGTGACTAGGGCTTCAGGATTTGTCATTAGTGTGTGAACTAAGAGGGAAAAAGGTGCTTAATAATCTATCAGGTTTTCTCACAAAAAGAAAAGAAAAAGGTTTCAAGTTGAACTTCTTTTAGCAAAGAAATATTCACATCTCTTATCACTTTATGTTGTTTTCTACAGCATAATAGATTGACAACAAAAGTTATGTTGGGAATAGTGAAGACCAAAAAAGGTGCAAATGACACATGATACATGGTGAAGATTCTATAGCGATGCGGGGAGAGGGAGAGAATGTGTTTGTGTAATAGTCATGGTCAATAGTCAGAAATTAACAAGCAACAGCGGCTGTTCTTGACATTAAGAAGCATTCACCGCTAAATTAGATTACTCTCTAAGATAAAATTCAAAGAGAACAGTCTCATTCAGAAAATCTATATTACGAAGTTCCACTGCAAGTGAAAATGTTGGTTTGGTAGAACTACCCTTCTACACAGTAAAAAGATGTATTTCTAAAGCATTGCTCTGTTTTTGGCGGACAAATTTTCTGTTGTTATTGTAGTTTTGTTGTCCTTTCTAAAGAAGTTGCTTTTTTGGATATGGTTACCTAAAAAATATGCTCTAACTAAAGTTGATACCTAATTGGTGCGGCTTTGAGTTGGTATTAATTAAAAACTTTGATTAGGGAAATCTTATCGAGCAAAGGGAAGATATTTAGGGTTTTGTGAACATTTTTTTGTCTGATAGTCTTTTGGCAAAAGGGTGATCAATTGGGAACCACATGCCATAAAGCAAATGCATCTTTTACAAAAAAAATCGGTTCCAAGTTTACAAGATAAAAAATATCAACAGATTTAAAATTCTATGTCCTGACTTATGCTATGTATTTATGCTTTTTATACTTCTTTTTTTTAATTGCTTCTGCACCACTGCCCTTAAAAAAAACTATGGGTACAATACTACACACAACTTACAATGTACATATTCATTTAATTATAGTTAGCAAGTATAAAATTACTGGGCAATAACTTGTTTTCTCTAACTATTGCAGCAGTTTATGTTTAGAATATACATTATCAGCTCTTGTCACCAATGACCATCAACTTTTCACTCCCTTTGTCTAGTGGTAGCCAAGTAAACCATAATGATAACAAGAAAACAAGATCTGACAAGATTCCAGAGCTTGAATCTAGTGATTTCTAAGTTGATATAGTTGTCGGTTCGCATTTTTGAAGAAAACCAGAATAAAATTCGTTTTATCATAAAAGAGTAATTCAACGACAAAGCAGACTATATAAATTCAGTTTGCACCTAGAATCTTTCAATACTAGCATACTACTAAGCCAGTTTTCAGCCAGCACATGCAAATACACATAATTTAGGCTAGAGCCATTAGCCCATCTCAAAGAGTTCTTCACCGGAAGGCAAGTACTAAATATGCCACATGGCATGTTCTATAGCTCATATTCTTCAAAGCTAATGTCAGCAACAAATATGTGGCTTGCTGCTAAGTTAGTTCCATTGCTTATGAACAATATATGTAACAAGGTGTTACCTTCAGTGGCTGTATCACCTATGGGGTTATTTAGGTCATTGAAGGGCCTTGACAGTCATCCATCAACTTCATTCAGAATTCCACTGGCAAAACTCCATTGACACGAGGATAATGTTTAGTGTACTTCTAAACATAAATCATGAAGCTCTATGGAGAAATGCGATATGAGCTCAACATGAAGCCTAATAAAACTACAGTATCATGTTTTTATCCTGGAGACCTATTTGTATATATTGGAAGTAATAATACATAAAAAATTTATTTCCCTAACAAAAATATTACCTCTTCTTAATTATTTGCTTCTTTTTGAGCATACAACACTATTTTGACTATATCTCCAAATTTTGCCTACTGAGCGTTGAACCTGTACTAGCGCACATGTCAAGTCCTATTTAATCAATGAAAAAGCTTCAGAATGTTTAAAAATGTATAAGATATACATAATTATTTGCTTCTTTTTGAGCATACAACACTATTTTGACTATATCTCCAAATTTTGCCTACTGAGCGTTGAACCTGTACTAGTGCACATGTCAAGTCCTATTTAATCAATGAAAAAGCTTCAGAATGTTTAAAAATGTATAAGATATACATATATAGGTCTTAACAAGGGATCCCTTGGGCCAAATCTCACAGCAGGCAACCTATGCACTGGCACGAACTACTTTCATTTTGCTGGTATCACCAAGCTACCTTTGGCTAAAATGCCTATAAATAATAATGGTATTTTAATAACCTATCAAGATACCTGTCTCAATTTGTAGATTGAGTCTAAATTTTTCTATTAGTTATTTGATCTACCTCAGTACATGAGCTCTAGCTAGATGAGCAATATAAATGTAAAAAACATGAGCATTTAATAAGCCCCAATTAACTTCTGACCAAAATGGAATCCAAGAGGAAATTTCAACCACATTTGAAGATCATTACTTATTCAGAAATGTTCATCTCAGTAACATTAGTATTCTATGATATTAGGTAATAAAATATTAGATATTGCTAGTTTAATTGTTTCGACTAGTCAGATCAGATGTCAGATTTTCTTTTAGTTCTGGTTAGGACCATATTCAGCAAAGGTATGGAACACAGGCCAGTTGAAAAGAAATTAAGCCTCCTTGATATGGAAGCCAATGCTGCTAATGCCTTGGATACATGCGGTACTTGCACCACTCAACCGAATAGAAACCAAAAATGTAAAAGATAGAAAGAAAACTGAAGCTGAATAAATAAATCATAAAGCTTACTGCTGATGCTTTGAACTGAAATTCCTTGAGAGCTCAACACTTGAACAGGTTCAATCAGCAATACAGGAAATCTTGTCAAATCCATTTCATAAGCTGTTTTTTGTCTTGTTCAAAAATCACATATAAGTTAAAGCCTTCCATTGTCCAACTATCCATTTAGAGAAACCTTGTCTGTGAATCTCAGTAATATAAAGCATTGACTTAGGTGTATGCAACATTCACCTCAAATTACATGTTGTTTCTGTAGTTTGAACTATAACCCTGATGTCAAAATGAAGGAAACTTATATCTGCACCAAGATTCACCCCCATTTGAATCTCAATTGGTAGAACAAATTGAGTTTTTCTCTCTATCACATTTCGTTCTGATTGATTATTTTCCAAACTGCTGTAGTAGCGGTTATTAGGACGCAGTGTAGAGAGGCAATAATTCCTTCAAGTCAATGACATATCCGAAAAGCTTCATATCTTTCTTAAGCAAGTCCAAGATGAAGAAAATGCTTTCTGAATCAAAATGGGAACTATCTCCCATCACAAACTCATGGACAACAGATCCCAACTCAATCCAGCTAGAACCTCTATTTTTTCTAACTCGATTCTCCCTAATTTTTGCCCTCACTTTGGCAACATCATCCCATAGCCCAGCATCAGCATAAATATTACATAAAAGAACATAATTTCCAGAATTATCTGGCTCAATCTTGAACAGTTCAGCTGCTGCAACTTCAGCCAATTGAACATTGTGATGGACTCTACAAGCTGCAAGCAGAGCTCCCCATACAGTTGCACTAGGTTTAACTGACCTGCTGCTTATGAGGTTATATGCGTCTTCAAGACATCCAGCACGACTAAGAATGTCAACAACACAAGCATAGTGCTTTTCTGTGGGTTTAATTCCATAATCATCTGTCATTTGTTTGAAAAACCTCCTGCCCTCATCAACAAGGCCCCTATGGTTACAAGCAGTTAGAACCCCAAGAAAAGTAACTCCATCAGGTTTTATATTTGCCGTTTCCATCTCAGCAAACAAAGAAATTGCAGCTTCACTCAGTCCGTGATTTGCAAAGGCGTTAATCATTGTGCTGTAACAAAGCAAATCTTTTTTTACAACCATTTCAAACACTTTCGTGGCCCTCTCAATGCTTCCACATTTTGCATACATGTCTATCAAACTGGTGAGTACTTGCAGATTAGAGAAAAATGAAGGTCCTACAAAGTCATGGATAATTGATTCAGCAGTACCTAGAATTCCTAACTGTGAACAAGCTGAGATAATTCCCAATATAAAAGTTTCATCTGGCTTAATGCCTTGTTCCTTGAAGGATTTGTACAACTCCAGAGCACTGCGAGGCTGCCCATTTCTGGCATAACCCCCAATCATGGTAGACCAAGCAACCAAGTTCTTGTCAGGCATCTGATCAAATAAACACCTAGCACTGTCAAAATCACCACCTTTAACGTAGCCATCGATCATCATGACCCAAGATGCAGCATTTTTTTCCTGCATCCTGTCAAAGAAATCTTTTGCAGCTTCTAAATCCCCTGCTTTACAAAATCCTGAAATCATCAAATTCCAAGTCCCAACATCATGAATTGACATCGCTTCAAAAAGATGCCGAGCAACATCAGTATTTCCTGCATTCATATAACCAGAAATCATCACTTTCCATGATGCCAAGTCTTTTGCAGGCATTATCTCAAACAGAACCCTCGCCTCCACCATATTCCCAGCCTTAACGTATCCCTGGATCATACTAGTCCACGAGATCACATTCCTCACTTCCATCCTATCAAAAAGCTCCCGTGCAATATCAACTCTTCCATTATTTCCATACCCCAAGACCACTGAGTTCCAAGAAACAATATCTCTTACCCCCATCTCATCAAAAATCCGTCTTGCAAAACCCACTTTGCCACACTTCATAAAGAAATCAATTATTGCATTTTGCACTACCAAATCAAACCCAAACCCACATTTTAATACAATCCCATGTATTACCTCTCCATCTTTGACTCTCCCCAGCCTAGCCAAAACCTTGAGCACTGATGCAATAGTGAAATTCAAAGGCGCAATGTCTCTGTGCATTTTGATAAAGAGAGAGAATGCATTTTCATACTGGTGATTTTCCGTGAACCCATGAATCAATGATGTCCACAAAAATGCATTTGGTTCAGGGATTTCATCGAATAGTTTGCGAGCATAAGAGGTGTCACCGAAGCGCGAGTAGAGACGTAGAAGCTTGTTCAAAGTGAGGTCTGAGAAGGTGATGGAACCTGAGATCACGAGATGAGCATGGACAGATTTCAAATGTTTGAGGGATCGACATTTGTTAAGAAGGTTTAAGAGGGGGTGATTCATTTCATGGCGCCAAAATGAATGAGATTGTTCAAACTAACGGTTAGGTAGAGTGATTTTTTAAAAACGTTGCGGAATCGAACACGAAGTTTTTGACACCGGAAATAGTATGGGCTCGTTGGACATGGGCTTAAGAGAACGCTGCTGGTTGCAAATGACATTCAACGAATGGAAATTGGATCAAAGCCCATTGCTGTAGAATTTAAAAATCATACAGTACAGCGATTAATCCCATGAATAATATACCTTCACTCAGATTCAAATCTTACTAGGGATGCCAACTAATATTACTAAATATTGATTCTTATTTTCCATTAGGTTTATTTTATTTTTTATAAGGAAAATGTTTTTGTCCATTGTAAAAGAAACTAAAGATAATGTATTATCCAAGATTTGATTCTTTAATATTCTAATTTTTTTTTTCAACACCTAATTTGATTTTTTAATGAATATGAAAATAATATTATCTTTTTAAACTTTAACTTAAAATATTAAATGTTCAAATTGGAGTACAACTGAGAAAATATAAGAAATTATAATTGAAAAAACATTAAATAAAAAAAGAGTAAATTTGACCATTAAGCCTCGGGATGGCTAGTTTAGTAAATCGGCAATTCTAGCCGGTTAGTGTCTGAAATTTGGTTCGATTCTAGTCCGCTGATTCCAATTTCAATGCAACTTTTTTTTTTTTTTTTTTTTTTTTTTTTTAAAGAGTTAAATTGACATTAAGCCCTTCGGGATTGGCTAGTTTGTAAATCGGCAATTTCTAGCCGGTTTAGTGTCTTTGAAATTTGGTTCGATTCTAGTTTCCGCTGGATTTCCCAATTTCCAATGCAACTTTTTTTTTTTTTTTTTTTTTTTTTTTTTTTTAAATTACTTGAACTGCCAAGATTGTGTCAGGCAAATCGGAACTTAGTGATTCCTCCTGAATTCCCAGTTTTTTTTTTTTTTTTTTTTTTTTTTTTTTAAATACTGAAACCTGCCAAGATTGCTGTCAAGCAATCGGAACTAGTGAATCCCTCCTGAATTCCCAGTTCAAAACCAAAATTCCATAACAGTTTCCAATCTGATTAGAATCAGACTAAATCCAGTCTGATTTTGATTCTAACCGAACCAGTGGCCAAATCTAACTAAGCCCAACCCAACAGCAATTGGACTAAGAAAAGGCTATAAAGTACAATGTACACAAGGAAGGTTTTATATATCATGTTAAGTTACAAAAGCCCAAAGTAATCAAAGTATAGTTTCTGCCTATATGTCAGGGCAAAATATGATGATCAGTAAGCCAGACTGGATCCTGCTTGACTTTTCTGCTTATATTTGTACCTTGAACCTCAAGCTCCACTTTTTATCAACAATTACCGCTCAAAAAGATTAACAGATACCAGCAGTCTCGATATCAAACATCAATCAATTTTAGGCTTCAATTGGGTTTTGACATGTCAGAAAATACCTGCCATTTGTGCATTGTTATTCCTTATCTTTCAGCAAAAAAATTAGCAGACACTCAAGCAGATCACTTCGTGATACTTTGGTTGCATTCTGACCAAATAATTGAGCTATAAAGAACTTGTAAATGCTTGCAACCCTTCTTTGTCTTACTTGAGATAGATCATTCTCACCCCACCTCACTTGATTCCTGAACATTGTCAAGATGGTCATTGCTATTGGAAAGAGAATTATCAGCAACGACCATCACAGAATGGCTCTTAACCACATTCTCTCTTTGGTGCGTGGACTCATCTTCTTGTGTTGCATCAATTGACTCCAGATATGATATACCATATTTTTCTCCATGAGTTAATCCAGGACAAATCCCCTACAAAACATTAAAACAAAACGAAAAAAAAAAAAAAAATCAGCAAAAATGAGAGGTCCTAATAATTCATATAAAATTAAGAATATTGCATTGAGACATAATAGAGAATGCAGCAGCTTCATATCCTAAAAGGACGAGAAATTGATAAATACAACAAAAATGGGCAGTTGCCTGTACAAAAGGTTCAGGAGGGGAAGAGAGAAAAAAATTGAAAAAAATTATAGATGGAAGAAAAAGAAGAAGATTCAAAACGACCTTCATAAATCCTGCTGTATCAGTTGATTTGAAAAAGGAGGAATGTAATGGATATCCAGTCCGAAATTGACCTCCATTACTAGCATTAGTTTCTTGGGGATTCATTGAAATGCCAGATTTAAGTGATCCACTATCACCACTTCTACAGTAAGCACCAAAATATGAACAATGTTCCCCTACAAGAGATATTTGGGGGGTTGCAGGCAGTAAGTGCCCTTCCGTACTGAAGATGTACCTGTAAATGAAGAAATAATATTCACGTCAGATGTGTCAAAGTGAGAAATAGTGATCCAAGTACATTACAAATAACGAGCAGAAAGCCCTTACTTGTATGGCCCATTTTCTACAAGGTTATCTGGACCTGAAGCCAAATCAAAAAGAAGCCATAGATACTTGACCTAAGAAAATTTAATATTAATAAAAGGCATTAATATAATAAAAACACAGAATAATGGCAATTCATGGAGCAGACCTCCAGAATAAGGTAGACGCGAGAATTGTGTGCCCTTATGTTTCTAAGAAAAGTTGTCCAAAAATACAGGAGGAGGGGAAAAAAGAAAAGAAAGTGTTCCAGATCCACACAGAATAAATGAATGCATACAGAGGAAAGTGAGAAACACCACCCAAAAACTCAAAAATTAAATCTTACAAAAAGAAGCTTTCAAAAGTTGACCCCTAAGGTAATGTAAATACTGTCTGAAAATTAATCTCAATTTGAATTGGGCAAAAATGACAAACTCTAACACGTTATTGCTTCCCTAATCTAGAATTCTAAGTGATAAAGCTATACAACATGATATATAGTGACACAGCTAAAATGAAAAAAAAAAAAAATTAAATGAACTTATCAACATGTCCATGCAATCCTTATTATAGTCCAGAGGAAGCAAAAGAATTTCACTCTGATTATTAATATTCCTCCCCTTTGCAAGCTTTATCTACTACTACTAATACTAATACTACTTTGTATTGCTTGGCAAACCATTTGAAAGTTAGAGAGACAGCCCCCACTCCAGGCATTTAGGGTGGAAGTCCAGAAACTCAATCCCATTCACAAAGATGAGAATGTTTTTATTTCACTTGACTACGATTTTCCTCCATAACACAAGTTAAGGAAAGATCACATATTGACTGGGCTAATCTAAAATTAATCCTTACTGTTTCAGCAAGGAAAAAGCTTTCCATGTGATCTTCTTGCTTGTGAAATTCCACATCCGTTATGTGACAATATCCACAAGGGCATCGAGCTCCATACTGCAAGCTGGCAACCATTTCCCTCCCAGCATCAAGATATCTGCAAAAATAACTTTTAGATATGGATCAATAGCAAATGAACATGTAGTGATAAAAAGTTCCAATATTGATTAAAGTAGGAAGGTTGAACCAAAGAACTCAATTACCAAGAAAGAAAATGTTTGTATAGCTAATTATTTCCAAAAGCAGCTCATGCGAAGAGAAAATTTTCTCAACTTCCCACCTTAAATATTTCTAGGGAATTTTAGCCTTCCCAAAATTATCTCCTTGTAATTGACATTTCTCTCCCAGAGGAGAGGTAAATGTAGCAGAAGTTAACAGTCAGAATCCAGCAACATGGATATGCTAATGGTATTGTTGATCCAAAAGAAACATCATAGTTCTTCACTATCAAAAATGAAGTGCTTTATGCACCAAATATGCTAATGGTATTGTTGATCCAAAAGAAACATCATAGTTCTTCACTATCAAAAATGAAGTGCTTTATGCACCAATTATTTAGTTGTCCTTGTAATTTTTCACTTGGGCCTAACATCCTTTGTGCATCGACATTGCACCCGTTCATAATTTTATCATTTTAATGATATGGTCTTTCCTGGATCTTATATACTTGCTGAAATTTGATTTCTTTTTTCTTGGACAGATGCAGTAGTGTTCCTTACAATGAAGAAAAGCTACCCAGTTTTTTGAGTTACAAAAAGGGGGCAAAAACACCTAAATAAGATTAGGAAACTAGGCTGGCCCAAGAAAATCCAAATATAATAATGATGCTCTAATTAACCGATGTAGAAAACTCCAAATAAAGTCCCTAAATAGTTATGATACAAGAAAAGAAATTAATAAAAAAAGGTTCCCAAAACTGCATTTGCTTGGCTACATCAGGAAGTATGAAATTAGAGCATATGTTGACCTGGCATCTCTGGTAGCTTTGTAAAGCCAATATGTGCTTTCTATTAACTCTGGACGGAGTGGATAGCTCTTCTGCCCATTCTATAAATCAAACTTATGAAAGTAAGTTACATAAATAAGACATAAGTCACATAACAATGCAAAATAAGATGTCTATTCTTTTTTTGAAAGTAACTTGCTAACTCATACTATAAACTAAGATACCATAGTATCTTATAAAATGTGATTCAAATTGGGAATACTTATTAAATCTTTCATGTGCTTCCAATAATGATTGGGGTACCTGAACACTTAGTGTAGCAAGATTAAAACCTTCTGGAGTGAAACCGTATCTTTTCCAGACGCTAAAGAAGGCAGCATGTGTTCGAATGGCAGGATCAATGTCTCCTGCCAAAACCTTAGAAATAAATGCAATTCCAATCAACATAAATATAACAGTCGACTAGTATGGTTCACATGCAAGAATATAGAAAAAGCAAAAACCTGAAGGCTAGTTATGGTTCAACATTTGCAAGAATATTAGAAAAAGCAAAAAAACCTTGAAGCCCTTGGCCAAAATGCCTGCAGGACTATATAAATATAAACGTGGCCAGCGATCAGCAGCAGAATCCAATTATTTATACCTCTACATACCTAAAAAGACAGTTGTAAAGTTAAATGTTTCAAATTGAAGCGATTTTTAAAATACCATGGAGTAAAAGCATTACTTATATGTGAATTAGGACCATTCTATTAGAGGCTTACAACATTTGCCACAAAACACATATTTATGCAGAGGGGCATGATCTGATCACCACAAGCTTTTATCAAAGGATCGTTTAAAAAAGTGTGTGTGCATTTAGCCAAGCAGCATAAGCTTCTTTGGAAAATGAACCCAAATACTTCCTCGATGCGCGGAAATAACAAAATAAGCCTGAAAATATAAGAAAGTTTTCAATAAAAATTTTCTCCAATCTCAAAATTAAATTACTATTCATCATCTAAGATTCTCCCATTTGTTTATCGTGAATATCCTACCACTATTTTAGCTGTAAATGATTGTTCAAAACCATCCTATATGATCTGATCTTCTGCAAGTATTTATGTATTTATGTGCTCTAGCCATTGATGGAATGAGACACGGCAGAATGGAAGAGCAGGACTCATGCAGACAATCAAACCAGTTTTCATAAAAGCTTATTTGAATTATGTGTATCAGCATGATTATGTATTTACTTCTGAAAAATATTTTGAGCTACTATGTTAACCCAGGAAATATCTTCCTACACAGTGAAACCGTTATCACATACCTTTAAGAGATACTCATAAAAAGAGTCAATACTTGTTCCTATTCCAGCATCCTACAAAGAAACAAAAAGTAAACTGGATGTAGTTGCTTAATGAAAAAAAAAATTGAATCCTATAATGAAAAATCAACCATGGGGGAAGTACATTTGGAAGGTGGAGCAAGTCTGTCTAAGAGCACAAATCAAAAAAGGAGAAAAAACTGAATTTTGCAATTTTAACTATTACACGTATTTTCACACTAATAATAATAGTTTTTAAAGTTTTTGAATCTTATCTACAAAATATTAATTTGATATGTAATTTAGCATAAATTTTGAAATAATAATTTTTATAATTATTAATTATTTAATAGGTATTGAACTATTAAAGTAATAAAGTAATAAAAATAAAGGATACATTTAGGTATTGAACCTAAATAAACCCCAGAGATATGAAAGACGCTTAATAGGGTAAAATATGGGCAAATTGAATATGCTTCGGGTTTGAAATACGTATTCGCGACATTTTCCACAAATTATGGAAACAGAAGTTCTTGTCTATCACAACCTGCGATATAAACAATCACACGTGGAGCAAAGTAATAGGGATATAACCCACGTGGGGAAATCAGTGTCGCCACAACAGTGATTTTCCCATTAGCCCTTAATTTTTTGTTTAACTACAACACCATCCTTTTCTTCCTTTTCATATCTTTTATTATTTTCTTTTTTCTTTTTTTTAAAAGTTGATTTTGTTTGATTATGTTTTTGGCCCGATTCAGTTTAGCATTTTCTTACATTATTTCTTCTTTGAAAGCCATAAAATATAAAAATATTTCAGCTTAGCATTTTCTTACTTTATTTCTTCTTACATTATTTTAGCTCTTAACAAAAAATATTTATATGATACCGTAATAATTTTTAAAATTGAAAAATGCGAAGAAAAAAAAAAAAAAAAAAAAAAAAAGATAATTTCAGCACTCTTTACATTTCGTAACCGTTGCCACCCCTTTCAACAACTTTTTTTGGCCACACTGCATTTCCTGCAATCTTCTTCGGATTATAACAAGCCTCGTGGCAACATTTATTGGCCTTTGCCAAATTTTGCTACAACGTTGTTCACCTTACAAGGTGAGGTCTTCTGAATGTGGATTGAGTCAACCACCATCTAAGCCAAGTGTATTTACATAGAGGACAATAATAGAGCACACCATATATTTGATATATTTCCAATAATTTTAACAACAGGTTTCCACATAGATTTTTCCCTTAAAGGTGAAAAAGAACTTAAGACTATATCCTCAAAAGTTGTCCTGACATTGTGTTTTCACCAGATAAAAAAAAAATTTTAAAACCAATTACAGCTAGGTGCCAGATAGAGAATAATAATTTTAATAGCCAACTGAAACTGGTATGAGTACTTACTAGGATTGTTTGTCAACCGGCTAAGCACCCCAAATTCCAATGTCAAAGTCCCTCCACCGGCAGTTGAAGTTATCTAAATGGACCAGGAATGCAATTTTAAAAGCTACCCAAAAGTTGACATGGAAAGTTACATAAATTTTAGGCTGTGAGTTGATTAACATAGAAAAATTTAAGTCAAATGAAAAACTGATCAACAAATTAGTCACTAAAAGTCAATCAAATTGCAATTAGAGTTACATTGCAAATTGATTACAACTACAATACACAAGTAACTGTTTGAAAAGTTGTTGCAGTTGCAATAGAGGATGAGAAACATACTAGGAGATGTCCCAAGATTATAAACATTTTCAGGTTCATCTCAGAAAAAAAAGATTATCAAACCTTTTCATGTAAGAAACAAAAGCAAACCTATACCTTGCTCTCGTGTTCATCAACTCCATGCAACAGATTGACAGACCCAAATGGAATTCCTGCAATCCATCATCACTTAAATTGGAGAAAATAAGGTAAAACATTATGAAATAGAAAGGCCTATATTTGAAATGTATGATCTTTGGATAATTGTAAATAAGAGGTAATAGTAAGGCTGAGGCATACTCCAGAAGGCGATGTTAGGACTATATAACTGGTTTCCTCAAATCTAAGATTCAAGAAGCCAACTGAGCAGCAGCCCTGTTAATATATATAACAATTTGAAATATAATAAAGCTTCTAAGAGTGCTATTACAACCAATTCCTCTAAAATTATGCTCATTGCTAAAACTAAAAATTATATTACAAACTTCATACACTGCCAAAGGGTTACCAATTCTTTAAATTTCCAATAAAAAAAACTCAGGGCATGGAGTGCAAAAGTTCAACACTGCAGCAATATTACCTGTTGGGGTGTCAAATGCAGGCAACATCCTTCGAGCAAGATCCTCAGCTAAGTCAAGTAATTGATTGTCATATGATGGAATTCTCATACCCTGCAACCAAAAGATGGAAGCTGAACCCAAAAGATGAAAGCGCATTATAGCATTTACTTCTGCTGATGTGTTCTAGCTTATCAAGCTTTAAATATCAAAGCACCCTAGAACTTACCCACTGCAATCCGCTCCCATGCACCTAAAAATTACTAACCGTGCAAAAAGCAGCAGTCAAGGCAATTATAGTCTATCATAATTTAAAAGCTGATTTTAACTAAGAAATTGGGGTTCCAGTCCATACAAGTACATCAATGCCTATGTGAAAACACGCACATGCAATATGCAATATGCAAGGGATAACAATTTAAAATTCAACATAAACAGCAGTTAAATTTACATCATGATGGCACCTAGATTCATTTTCTTGCTTAAGCTTTACCAAGAAGGAAATTTTAGGGATAGAAAAATACAGAAAGGTAAATATTAAAAGTACCGTAGCATAATCACTTGCAAGAAGATGAGCGGATAGTAAGCCTCCAAGGACTCGGATGGAAGTCTCAAATACAGATACAGTTTTGTTCTGCAAACAGGGATGCCAGAAGTTCCAAAGTTTAAGTTGAATAACAGCCTTTAAGAACTCAAATAATGTTTAGACTCCAAATGAATAGTCAAATCACCTGATTTGATTGCCAAATTGATATCAACTAAAACAAAGTAAACGACATAGATTAAGAACTAGACAAGGCATGGGCACGTACATACACACAGACCCACCCCAAGAAAAATGTCCAGTTTTGGGGGGAAAAAAGTGGAATATAAGTTAATAAATCAAACTGAAGTACAAAATAAACTTTAAGTCTTAACAATAACATCTGGAAACTGAACTGGTTCATAATTTACGAGTAATTTCATTTTTAAACATAGCTTTTCTGAATGAAGCAATTCAAGATGGCATCAAAACGAAAAATTGAAGAACAAATCAACCATTAATTATAACAACAAATCATACACCTATGTCAACAAATTACCCATGCTGATTGCTAGGGATACTATATTTTGGAACGGGATCCTTGCTATAATAAATTATAAGATTGTAAGATAGCACATGAAGAACAATCGTAAACCAGTAAGATGTAGGAACTTTTGGATTAGGGAAGCAAGACCAGCTAAGAAGAGAGAAGATTAGGATTTTGAGGTTGTTGTTGAGGATGAGACTGGACGCTTAACAAACTTAAAACAGCACAAAAGTCAATAGTCAATTCTATGCTTCCAATTCAACTGTTGATCCTCCAGAATTATCCTAACATATGAGCTGAAAGCAAAAAAGAAAACCCACCAAAAAAGAAAAAGCTTACTATATCAAACCGGAGATTTTTAGCAATCCATTCAACAGAGGAAGTGAAACGCTCTCGGTCACCGAGTAGAGCCAGTGTATCCAAGGAGTCAATCTGTGACAGACTCATGATTGTAATACCGCGTGAAAGTTCAATACAATAACTCAGATATTAAGAAACTGAAACAAGCATCTAACTGACCAGAGTCAAGGCATAACCACCAAGGGTATCTTCTCCCTCACATGATAGAGGTCTTAATTCATCACGTGGAAAGGCATGCTCCATGTATCCATCAAAAGCGTGATAGAACATTTCACGAACCTAGAATATAACAAAATGAATTACTTAGTAAAACCTCAATGCTAGATTTGGGTATATCAAACTGTCAACAGGCCATCCAATAAATAGTGCACTGACGCCAAAAGTTCATTCATTAGGGAATAATTCTGATTTTTTAAACATCGATCAAAAGTTACATAAAATTTGTTGATTGAGCAAACCCTTCTTGAAAAAATTGACATTCCCAAATTGCTTTTTAACTTAAAAAAATTCGGAATGCCACAGTGTGGGAAAAATTCATTGCGTTTAAGTTTTCAAGTTTCAATATTTATTTATTTAAGAAACGGAAAGATCTCCATCAACTAAAAATGCCATATCGCATTTAAACACTATGTTACTGAAGCTTATAAACTAGCAGAGCTCGTTCAGATAAAAAGAAAGACTGGCAATTGTAACAATTAAAATAAAAGTAAAAAATTTTTAAAAAAAAAAAATCAGAGGCTGGAAGTTCAAGGATCAAGCAAGAATGGCGCAAGACCAAGCAACGACAGATCCAGAGTGTAATCAGACATTAAAAAGAAAATGAAATGGACATGATGAGCAATTACATAATACTATCAATAAAAAACTAATTCCATTACAATTGAAGGATTAACAGCGGATTTAGAGGACGACAAGATTTAATGGTTTGAATTACCTCGTCCCGTAGAAGAATGGCTTCCTCAGCAGTGACCCCATCGGCAAGGGTTCTTTGGATGAAGATGAGATTGCCGTTGGCAGATAGTAGTGAGACTAATAACACCAACTCAACCCATCGCTTCAAAGCTTTTTCCATTAGTTTGTCGCACGGCCACCATCATACCGGCCTGACCACACTTATTAGGAGCTATCGCCGCTGCCCTGTTTTACTAGGAAAGGTAAATCCGTTTAAACTCGTTGAGCAACTGTATGGTAATTCATTATTTACAGCCCTCGCCTATTTTATTTTATTTTATTTCGGAAGGACGTCGTTCATTTAATAAAATATTTCTTAATTTAAAAATGAAAATATTAGTTCTCGTTAAGCTAAATAATATATATATATATATATTAGTCTTCGTTAAGCTTAAAATAATATATATATATATATTATATATATATATACTATATCATATATATTATATGTATTTCTTCAAATAAAGGAATTTGAAGAAAACAGTAAAATTGAATTATTAGCTTTTTTTTTTCTTTTTGTTTCCAATTGAAAGGTATTTCGGCTTTCTCATATGTATTTCTTCAAATAAAGGAATTTGAAGAAAACAGTAAAATTGAATTATTAGCTTTTTTTTTTTCTTTTTGTTCCAATTTGAAAGAGTATTTCGGCTTTCTCAGTATAATGATAAATTAAAATGCAATCATTATCAACCAATCGCAAGTAATCAATTCCTTGAAAAACAAATTAGCGAACTAATGTATAGCTGTTTCTGTTCTCCAGGTCAACAGGAATTCTTCCAGAAAAGCTGACGCTGGAAATAACACTGCTTATCGGAACTTGTTTCACCGCTTGCAATCACCAAAACGGTGCATAAAAAGAGATCGATGATTTCAAGTAGACGTTTAAATCAATAGCTTGCGCTTATCCGAGATTCTGGCCTTCTACTATCAAGTTGTCTCAAGAACTAATACATACATACCGTTTATGAAATAGCAAATGAAATAATTTTCATCTCAATACATAAACTATCCATCATAAGAACTTAAGGATACAACATGAAGTTGCACATTTGTGGATTGCTCCTCTCAACCAAATCTGATAGAAACCTGTACTGTATGACACCCAAAATCCAGATTGGAAGACTAAATTCATGTTTGTACTGAGAAAATCAATGATCCCTTTTCGAATTGAAAAAATGATCGTAAAGGCTCTGTCATCTATTGATCAAAGACTGACTTCAATAACAGTTAATACTGAAGGTGATCCCAAATAAATCATTCCAGGGAGCTAAGTACAGACGTCTGACTGATTAATCAAAAAAAAAAAAAAATATTTGGTGGTTAAAATGGAATGTAAAAGTAATTCATTACTGGCTTCTGATAATCAACTGCAATTGGTTATAATGAAGTTGCATGAATGCTGAGTTCATCTACTTCATGCCTGCAAATGGAGAAGAAAGCATATATTATTAATTAATACAACAAAAGTTAGAATACCATAGAAAAGAATAAAAATTGATACACATATCTCATTCCATAAAGTAAGTAGCATGCATGATTGACTTGCTACTTGCTACACAGAACATGTTGAATAATGGTCTCTGTAAGAACTTGGAAAGCATGATTTTTGAGATGGATTAGCATTTCAACAAATATGAATAAAACAAACGGCAACATTGCAAATGAGGAAAATTAAACAGAACAAAAGTTTCTAAAAGGGGGAAAATTAATCACAAAACAAACCTGTTGCTTTTTCTTCTTTGGCCTCCTCTTCCTTCGGGGTTTGTGGGCATCAGAGTTTGAACTTAGATTACTACTGTGGCCACTCCTTGTATTTGAAGATCCTCCTGCTTTGAAGGAAGATCCACTTCTGCTACTTGACGTATTACTGGAAGTAGAAATTTCAGCTCTCTGCGTCCATGAATTTTTGCTTGATGAAGCTCCAAATCTTGATTGAGTGCGTGTTGAATTTGGACGGGAGTTGTTTGAAGGCCGAGGAGGAGGCATTAGGGCCCTAGCAGACATCTGCCTCTATATGAGCAAGTTGGCGTGAGAAAAAAGATTAAGCTCTAGAAACAGTTAATAGCAGTATAGGCTTTGTCGATTAGAGAAATGACCTGGTTCCTTTCATCACTGGACATACCAGATGCTGCTTTTCCAGACGTGCTAGAAGCTTGTTCCCTGAGAAGTAACAGATAAAAATCAAATATGAACATTTCATGGCAGAAAAACAATTTAAAAGATACGTACAACAAGATACTATTGGCAAATTTACCATCACAAAATTTGCAAGTTTCTCAGTTTTTAACTTCTATCACGTGTGTAGTGAAAAAGAGGGAATGCAAATAGAGTATTGACAATAAAGGAATATATACTATATATACACAGAATTCTGGAAACATCTGTCCCCAACTCATAATCCTGATATATACCTCGTACTTTTATCAGTCCATTCATCATCTGCATCTGCTTCATCACTTGAGGTTCCAGTTAAGAAGAAATCATCTTCACTCAAATCCAAAAGCCCATCATCCTCACTACCGGTTTCTGTAAAGGAAAGTCCAAAAGAAGACATCAATTTATTTTACAGTAACTAAATGATGAGAAGAACAACTTTTCGCAGGTGAAATTGCAGTTGTGAAAAGGCTACATTATCCCACCATCAAATAAAAACCGTTTGTACTGCCGAAAGAATTATTTGATGGTAACTTTCTTTTGTCAGCATTAATCAAATTTATAAGCTTAGCATGGCCATTTAACCCCAACATTAAGAAATGAATTAAGAAATGGATCCATGTCTTCCATGCCGTTTACCCCAACTAGCTTGGGATTAAGGCTTAGCTGTTGTAATGCTTTATATGGACTTAATTCTCTTGTGAGCATGCCTCGCTGCCTTTATGCTGATACATTGTGTTTGATAGCAGATGCTCCCAGAAATCTTAGTTTAGATGTGTCCTTCTTTAAGGATAGTTATAATCAAGGAGTTAGAAAAAATATTTTGATGAAAAAGACAAATTATATGCATCTATTGTCAAAAAGAAACCATTATTGTTAGATAAAGGAACTGTAACAAACATCTGCAGTCTCCATGAAACATTAACCAGAAAAAAATGCTAGTGGAAGAGAAGGAAATAAGATACCTTCCAAATCCTTCCCACTAGCTGCAGCAGCAACTAAATTGGCTTTAATCAGCTTGCGCAATCCATTTCTTCTATCAACTATATCTGAATCCTCGCCTCCAGTAAACAAAGATACATATTTTTCAGTCTTGGGAAAAAACTGCAAAAAGAATATATCCATATCATTCATATTCTCAACAAGCAATCCAAGGCTATGACATGTACTTGCGAACATCTCCTAAAGAGCTTCAGTTTCAAATAAAAAACAGCCAATATATGGGAACAGACTTATCAATTAGTATGACCACATCTTTCAATGTCAATTCTGGTGAAAAACTTGCAAAATTCTAGAATTCTGAAACATAATCTCTATAAAAGACAGCAAAATACAAATTTTAGAAATATATTATGATCCTAGTTGCAAGACAAGGTACAGGACTTAATTTGTTTCCCACATTGAAAATATGAGATATTAATGTGGGGTTCATATGAACTGAGGCTCTCCAACCTCAAAAGCTAGCCGTTGAGGTTACATTATACTAATTGGTATGAGATCCGTTCCTCCCAGTTTCAATCAAGCAAAGGGCTCATATCAAAACAATGAACTCCATTGCAAAAAGAAAAAGGGAAAGCATAAAGTACGTGAACTATAACAACTCACCCTGGAAAAAGATTAAAAAAAAAAAAAAGAAGGAAAGCATATCAAGTACATGATATATAACAGCTTACCCTAACGTATTCAAGATCTTCTTTCAATTTAGAAAGCTGTTCAGCAATCTGAGCATCTTGTGCCTGACCAGATGAAGCACGCTGCAGTTTCTCCAGACGCCTAATTCTTCTCTCTACCTTTCTTCTTTCTGAACAGAGGAAATGTGGCTTTCAAGGTTTAATCACAGCATTTGAGCTGAATACTGTTGGGGACTTCGCATTCAACAAAGTATGTACATGAGCTTATTATATTAAAAAGTATAATATTACCAAAAAATTTTATCTTCCTATCTCGCAAGAATATTTTGCGTTCCAAAGCCAGACGAGTATGAATCTCCTGTTGCTTCTTAAGTCCTTCTAACTTTTGTTCTTGAGCCTCTCTAATTTCAGGAGGAAGTTCCTAGAAAGAATTAACGGTTAAATTAGCGTTTACATTTAACACGATATAATAGCTGCGTGCCCACCCCCACTCCCAAAAAGAAGTAAATTGTGAAAAACAAAATAATCTCATTCTCAATCGTTGATACATCTCTCCCGTTCTACAGATAGATTCATTATTCATAAATATGTATTCAATTACACGGAAATTCAACAAGTAGTAAAGTTAAACGGATAGACATAGAAACAGAAATACAAATCAGACTTAAATTCCACTGATAGATAAAAAAAATTTGATTGAGAACAAGCAAAACCCTAGCTCCTCTTTTCCATTTCATTTTTTTCTTTTTTCCTCCTTTTCTGTAGAGGGTTGGTGAAAATGAAAAGTATGAAGAGGATTGGAGGGGAATTAGGTATAGTATTGTACCTTGCGGAGCATGCGCTCGGTTGAGCGAATCTGGTTCTTAAGAGACACGGACTTAGGCTTTGGCTTCTTCTCGACACCTATTCCCTTGGATCGCCGCCCCACATGAGGCTTCCGTTCGGCGACTCTACGCTTCCCGTAGCCGCCGTGGGCCATCGCGGTTCTCGGAGTCAGTGTCAGCTGCTTAGTTTAGCTTAGCTTAGCTTAGTAACAGAGAGAGAGTAAAGAGAAAATGTTATGTTACGAGTAGGAGATAGACAACGCGAGGCTGCCAGAATATGGAGTTCTGGTAGAGGACCTGGAGGTAAAATTTGAGCTACGCTTGACAGCGATTGCTTCCCTCTTTTTCTCCCAATCTTTTATTGCCGTTCAATTTAGTTCACCACACCCTTATTTTCTTCGGGTCTTTTGTTTAAAGAACCGAACTGTCAGAATAAATATTGGAAAAAAAAAAAAACTCCGATACTAGGAAAAAATAAATATCGCAACTTTTTACTTTTTAAATGAAAATTTAAAGATGAATGGATAGTTATATTTACAAGAATTTTATAATTTTTTTATTTTAAACCCGCATCTAGAATCAATCTTGAATTTATATTAAATTTTCATTATACAGATTAATTTTTTTTAAAAAATTATTTTAAGAGATTCAACTGCCAAAATAAATTTATGCGATACATAATATAAATAGCTCTCTCAACTACTCGTCAAATTGATAAAACCTTTTATTGTCAAAATGACTTAATATGGTCAAAAAGATTATCAAAAGCAATGTCATTTCTTTTGAAATTTATGTCAATTTCTTTTTCAATATCAGTAATTTTTAAGAAAGTTTTAGAATTATACAAATGTTCAGAGGATAGCACTTTCTAAATAAAGTTTGTCCTATATTTAGGATTTTTCTATACCTCAAAAAATTAGGATGTTACTGGGGATTGGGCCATATTCCAATGATAAAATTCCTGCAGCACTGGGTAAGGGATCAAATTTCACGTTAGACAAAAAAGGGAGGGGGGGGGGGGGGGGGATTTAGGATTTTTCTATACTCTCAAAAAATTAGGGATGTTGTTACTGGGGATTTGGGCCCATGATTTCCAATGATTAAAATTCCTGCAGCCACTGGGGGTAAGGGATCAATTTCACGTTAGACAAAAAAGGGAGGGGGGGGGTGGTTTATACCCCTACAAAGGTCATACGCGTGCTTAGTAAGCAAGATCGCATCCAATAAAACCCTACAGGTAAAGTAATATGCTTCATTTTTCACAATGATACAGAATTTTCTGGCAATTGAATAAACTACCAAATAACAAAAAAATTAAAAACAAGACTCAACAGTCTAGCTTGGTCCAATGTCTAGTGTACTCAGATGTTATGGGGGGGGGGGGGGGGGGGTGGTTATTTACCCTACAAAGGTCATACGCGTGCTTAGTAGCAAGATCGCATCCAATAAACCCTACAGGTAAAGTAATATGCTTCATTTTCACAAATGATACAGAATTTTCTGGCAATTGAATAAATACAAATAACAAAAATAAAAACAAGACTTCAACAGTCTAGCTTGTCCAATGTCTAGTTGTACTCAGATGTTCATATTACAATTACAGTCAAAAAATTACAAACCAACTGATCCTCCAAATATGTTGTAGTTCCATAGGTTAGAAATCTACAATTTGTCAACCGTTGAAACGTCTCTGCTTTTCAGCTTAAATGCACCATCACTTAGTCTTAGATAACTGTTTCTCAAGTTCGAAATTCACAACCTCATAATCTATAGAGAATTCCAATATTATTAAAGCTAAAATTCATTGATCCAGTGAACCTCATCTGACCATATTTTACTTTTGTTGGGAAAATTTTGTCATTTAATTTCTCTGCGGGGGCTCAATATTAGACAGCCCCTATAACAACTTAAATTAAGGAATGTTGGCTTAGTGCACGACCCAGAGTTCAAGCTACCTCCACCCAATCCATGGCTCTTCCAATAACCAAGAATGAGATATAGAGTCTGCTTCACCACTCAATTGCTGATTATATGGCTTGTCTTATTTCATTATGTAATTGTTCTCATATTTGTTGTCGAGTCTTCTCCCTAAGTTGGAGTACCAAACATTTCAGTCAAACTTTTAGAAAATATTTGTACTTGACTTATGCTCTTTACTAGTTAATGAATTAATTTTCTTTTTGTTTAAAAAAAAGTAAATAACACTGGGAGCATAAAATTAGATGGTGACTGGAGCTTACATTTCATAAATGATAGGTTGTGCCCCTTCAAGCTCAGATATAACAATTAATGCATCAGTCATTCCAAGGGAGAGGGGCTCGAACTTGGGAATTGGATTAATAACCTGTAAAAGTAAGGCTTGAATGAGATGTCAAGAGAAATACGTGTTAAATGAAATCCAGACGCCAGTACCTTCTTATTGTCTTTCACATATCCGATAGCAACCTCTCCGCGCAAATATGCCCTTTCAGAGAGCTCAGAGAATGAAGGTGTCTCCCCCTCCTTCATGTAGAGGCCAATATCCTACCGGAAAACGAACAGGCAAATTAGGAAAACTAGGCTGGTTAAATAAATTACTGATGCTAAATAGAGGGACCTCACTTGCAGCTGGATAGTCTATGTTCAGTTTTGAGTATGTTTTGCATGGTGCATGTGTGTGTGTGTGTGTGTGGATTATTAGTCCTTAACCACCTTAATATCCTCAGGCTGAAGTGTACTTGAAAGTCAAAGCACCATCTTAGAAAGTGATAGTTTACCTTAACATATATTTCATCACCCTCTGCATTCAGAATGTCTTTCCACACCTCATTCAGTTCACTGTTCTCTGCCACTATCATGCAAACAGATAATTACTCATCAAATCTAACAAACAACAGAAAATTATGAATGCAAGTACTGTATGATGACTCAAGACCTTGAGCTGTGACGAGGCTCATTACTTCCTCTGCTGCTATATAAGTCAGGGTCGGCTTGATTCTTGTAATCTGAAAAGGATTGCATAATTTCTTAAATATTATACGTGTATAATCATGCTACTCCTTTGAAACAAAGAAATGATCAAGTTTGTTGAGGGGGTTTTACCTGTTTGCCTAACTTTGAATCTGCAATCTCTGCAACTAGATTTTGTACCTGAAACACAGCACTATCATGATTCTCGTTTCATCCAAAAGAAAAAATTTGTTATATTTAACATTCTTGGATCAGCTGAACATGAAAGCTAATCTTCAGAATCGAAACAAAGGATCCATGTTGATCAAGTCTTCTTAGCAAAATCAGATTCACCTTTACTCCAAATTTGTTGCAGATGTTTTCAGCAAGAAGCAGAGAAAATGCAGATTGCTTATCTGCCCTGGATGGTTCTGAAGAGGAGTTAATAGAAGGTTATCTTCAATCTCGTAAAACCAAATATTGTAACCTCCAAGAATTCATTCATCGAGTATTGTTACCTCCAATAAGGCATTCTCTATCTGATATTACAGCGATGGAAAAGGGAATATCTTCACATTTCTTATAACAATTCTGAATGTTGATAATAGTTTCCTTTAAGGTATCATAATCCATGGGATTTCCAATCTGCAGAGTTAAGAATAGCATAAATGATCAAAAGGCAGAGAAACAAAGTCTCCCAGGAAATCAAAAAATAATGAAAATTCACTTAGTTATATTTTCTTCTGGATGATTGAATCAAACAGTACCCTATGGGAAACTCGGACGTTTTTGAGTTTGCCTTGACCGGCACCATCACTTGCCCTTTTTCTGTTTTCTAATGGTACATCTGATAAAATTTCCTGCATATATACATATATATAGAGAGATGATGTATACTACACAATGTAGTCAATTGTAATGCATAATCTCAAAAAGTATCCATAAATTTGTTGGTGACAAGAGAAATAAAATGCCCTACAAACATCCTTCTTGTACTAAGAAGAAAAAAGAAAAAAAGCAAAACGCATAGTATTGTAGTTTGAATTTTTCATTTGGATTATCAATGAACAGTTTAATCATATTCCACAAAGAATAATAAACAACAGTCATTTAAGTAACAACTGGGAAATGGCAGGTTCAATTGACTTCTGAGAGTCTGGGGAACACCAGAATGCATGTGCATTATTATAAGTTGCATTTACACCTATCATGAGCCACTCCAAGTTCAATGTGTCCTAGTGCAAAGTTTCTAAGAGGCAAAGAAAATATCCATTTACGGTCATTAGTGGCGCCATCATCTCGAATCTAAACAGAACAAAAGGAAATAAAGTAATTGAATCTACCATAAGCATGGTACATAACTTTCCTTTTCCATCTCCAACATTGTAAAGTTCTAAGGTGAAGGGTAATTCTAAATTGAACTTTGAAATCCCAATTAATAAAGCCTCCTAGGTTAAGGAATCTAATAAGAATGGCCCAGACAATAGTTAGAGTGTTCAGAAAAGTGAGGGGAAAGAAAAAAGAAAGTGGTAACTGTAGTTACAACCAAGGAATTTTTTATCCTCTGCCACCAAAATGCCAATGGAGCCTGATGGCATCCTTTCTCAGAGAGTCTCAAGGGAACTAGCATATGACAATGTGCACTTCAAGAATTCATGAGGAATAGTATGGAGACAGACTTTTAATCCTTGCCAAGTACCATAATCTAGAGAAATAAAGCAAGTCTTTAAGAAGAGAAAATTTTACATCCACTCTCACGCATCAACTAAAACATTTTACAATCACAAAATTTGAGGGCTGTTACTACCTAAACTAAGAAATATGGAGATTCTGGAGAATGAAAGCATACCAATATACTTCCAGGTCCAAGATAATTGTCATACTCTTCAATCATTTCTACAACATCCGAGCGCCACCCAAGTAAAAGTATACATTCTTTTGGTCCGAGAGATAAGTCTGATGTCTGTGCTGACAAGCAAAACAGTCAGATAAGCTGACACAATCTAAAACATGTGATTTCATAAATTCTACCCAAAAAGATACCTTTGAACCAGATTTTTTGGGACGTTTTACAATATTTTGAAGCCGTGCTTTTATTAATTCTATTGCATGATTTTTATCTTCAGTATCTTTTTCAACTTTAGGATCTGGTAAAGAAGAAATTCCTTCTCTGAAAACGCTAGAATATACAATTTCTGGTCTCCTTCTCCCATGAACAGGTCCAATGAACAAAATCTACATAAAGGTTTAAAAAAAAAAAAAAAAGGAAACGTAATCAACTCGGTAACTTATATGTTCCCTCATAAACAAGTAGCAATCTACAAATATCATTAGTATAAAGATAAAAATGGTTATCAACCATGGTAATTTGAGAACATTTGATGGCAAAACTTACTAAAAACATGAGGTTCAATAACATTTCCATATTGAACTGATTTGCAATCACAATTTTGAAGACTTTGTCATGAAGACTTTAAACCATAGATGTAGAGGGAAAACAACAAACAATTTGTATTTTTTAATCCAAAAATCAGATCAAACTGTCCTAATTGTTGAGAAATAGTTAGCATCTCAGGCTCCACTCTATTGTTTCTCCACTTACAGATAATATAAATCTAACTAGATTGCATCTCAAAGTTACGGTCCTAAATATGAAAATTAAGAGGAAGGAGGCAAGTTAATGAAATTTATAGTATTCTACATACTTTGTCATTTTGCTGCAGGATTTCATCGTCATTTGGGTGGAAATATATCTTGCCATTCCGGTAAAGACCGCAAACAACTACCTAGAAAGATACCATTTAGGGAACACAATATACATGAGATTGTGGAATTTTCCTGTAATAGAAATTTATTTCAACAGTTGGCATTACCTTTTGAACTCCACGTCTCAGTTGCCTATATCTTATTCCTGCCAGATCAGGGAAACGGCAAAGATTAAATACATTCTCTGCAATAAGTAAACATGATACCAGTTAGGGTTTCAGTAGAAATAGTAGCATCAAATGGTGGTAAAAATCTCATTCATGAAAAAAGAAAAAGATGATGAAGATTAAAAATGTAAGACAATACTTTTGCAAAAGCAAAAATATAATAGATTTAGTAATCAATGTAGATGCAACCTCTCAGGTGTTTTCATGGAATACCAGCATAAAAATAACTCAACTGGAATAACAAATATACATTGGGTGGGAGGTTCAAGCATTGATTTTCTGGTACTGGTTTGTTTGGAAAATGTAGGATAAACCACAAAACCGAGCAGTGCCAAGTGCAATAACTGTTGATTAATGAAATTGTAATAAATGAAACATAATGTACATGCAATTTGGTCAGGAAAAGTAACATAAAAACATCATAGAGCTGAAAGTGAATTAGCTCCCCGTTCAAGATGAAACTCAAATGTGATAGGGTTAAGAAATTAAAGCACTAGTCCATTGGCATGTTTTATTATTTTAAAAAACAAGCAAAAGTCATGTAAAAGCAACTCAATTTGTGTGCATCTGTGTTGTTTTGTTATTTTAAAATTAAGCCAGGCCATGATGAAAGATACTCTCTTTCCTTCTCCTATCTCTCTATCAATCCAAAAACACACAGAAGAGAAAGTAATACTGGCAATCATAATTTGAAAAAGAGAACTCATACAGTACTTTGATAATTAAGCAAATGTCTGTAGATTTTTATCAGCCCCTGTTGACGGGAGCACTGAACAAATAACTTGGAAGTAACATTTTCCATGGGCTCTACTTTCACTCCTGAAATTGACTTTAAGAGCTCACACATAATGGAGTTTGAGACCTGTATTGCAAAACCAATGCCGTATCCAACTTCACATCATGCATAACAAACCTTGCTGCATAATTTCATGAAGAATCGTCACTAGTGCATGTACCTCAACAATGGTAGGGACAGATTCCATCTTTCTAATAGGTTGAAGAGCTAGCACAGATAGAAATGCATTGATATCAACTTCATACCTAAATAAATAGAAGATCTAAATCAATATCCTTTGAGCTGAGGTATATTAAATATGTATACACATAAAGACAAAGAACCAATATGTGGGTTAGCATACCAGTGCTTGTTTACTCATTTTCATCATTGATACAAACCAGAGCCAGAGGCCATTACAACAACAACAACGACAACAAATAAGCTTTAATCCCAAACTAGTTGGGTCGGCTATATGATTCATATGTCCCCATTCTACTATATCTTTTGCAACAACTTCCCCCATGTGTTTCTAGGTCTTTTGCAACAACTTCCTTTTAGCCAAGTTAGTTTACATGAGTCATGAATCAAAACTCAAGTCACAATATTCACAGGTTAATGTGGAGAATACAATCCAATAATAATCATATCTCTATCATAACAAAGCAATTATGTCATTCTTGTAACTACCACAAGATGATTTCCACTATGATATGCAAACAGTTTCCTGCAAAATATATACTCCTGAATAAATAAATAAATAATTGCAGAATATTTATTGGATGTTTCTATTTGGTCTTACCGATCCCCCTTTGTTGCTGGCAATATAATTATTGCACGTGCCTTGTCAGCTGCAGCTCTTTCAAATGATTTTGTTAGACTAAGGCTGCAACTGTAGAAATGGAAACAAAAAAGTAAGAAATGGAGGGAGAAAAATCTTGAATAGAATACCAAATTCAATTACAATTTTATGTATTCTAGTTGTTTGACTTTGGAAAACTAATAAACGCACCTCTTAGTGAGGACATCAATATGGTTAAGATCCTTGGCAAAATTGTCAGCTAGCTTGTCTATCTGCTTCCTTGGAAGATCCGACATAAGAAGAATTCTCTGCCTCCTGATAAAGACCAAAACGAGATAAATCAAACAAGCTGGAACATCAGCACACAATACTGACAGAGAACGCAAACTGGGAGCACAAGAGCCGGTTACCTAGCTGTAGCAGTACCTAAGCGGACAGCAAATTCATGATACTTATTTAGCTGATTTAGTATGGAAGTCAATTTACTGTTTACACCACAAATAATGATATGATCTGTCTCGTGAACTTGCATTTGAGCACCTTCCCGCAGCCTTTGCATGTTATTCTGCCCAAGTGATTATCCTAAGGATGCTAAATAATATGAGCAAGATTTATTGAGTAGTTCTTGTTCCAGTAGCTTACCCTGAACTCCTCTGTCATTGTGCTTAACAGCCGAGAGTAAAACAATATGCCCCATATGGCAAGAAGAAAGCCTATAACGCGTTCAACACGTGTTCTTTGCTGCAGTTCCACATGTAATGAAGTTCTTTAGCCACAACAAAAATACATTACCAATTATGGAACAAGAAGTACGCTCTCAAATGAACAAGAAAATATGAAATTCATAACACATCTTCACACCCTTAGATGAGTAGATGATGAACAGAAACATGCCCAAGCTTCCCAAAAGCAATCCTCCAGAGATTGTGTACTACCTCTGTGTCATGGAGTGTAGCACAAAACTAGATCAGCAACCAAGCAAAAGAACATAAGCAACAGAAGTCAATTTAGTGAAAAATCAATTAACTAAACAACCACCTGAAGTTATGAAGACTTTAGACTGGTAAGTCGTAACATAATAGCTTTTAGATCGACCTAACTTGTCCTTTCATATATAACTTACAGTCTTACAATCTTAATATCACTTATATCTTAATAAGAAATGCTCCAAAGGAGTTGCTAACCTAATGACCAGAACCAGCAACTCAAACGCCCCAGAAAACAGAGGCCATAGATATGATGGCTCTATGGCAGCTGTAATTTTGTCAGACAAATACTGATCCAGTTGCCAAGCTTATTGTTTCATAACAAGTTGTCACTTTACATGCCATGAAAGAATAAGAAGAATAAGATGAACATAGAGGTTTTTTGATAAAAAGTTCTCCAGATTGTTATATGCATAATACATCTCAAATTATTTTCCTCTTCTTCCTCCAATATGAACAACCTCTCCCTCCAATATGGTCAACCTAAGAACTAAAAGGCCAAAGAAACTGAACTGTGATCTTGGAAAAGTTATTAAGCAAGAGATGCTAGAAATAAAGTATATCTGCATGGTACACATGCATACAAATCCAGCAAATTTAAATACACATGCTAAAAAAGACCATGCCATTCCCCATATGGGAAAAGGCAGAAAAGGCATGGATGGATTACCTAAACTTGAAAAATAGGAAACCACCAATCACAACAAATGAGATGCAAGCCACAAGGAGCACGATAAAGAACCTACAAAAAATTTAGAACCAAGCAATCATTTAGCAAGAAGATTGCTTGCAGATATCAATTAATTACACAAAGGACAAACAAATCAATATAGCAGCAGCATCTGTTATGTGCATACAACCGCAAGTTTCCTGGTTTAGTCTGTTCAGTGATGCTAAACCTGCACTGCAATGTCTTTCATAACTTACTGGAACTAGATTGATGGAATAATATAATAGGCAATTTTAGCATACATTACAAACTTATCCTGCAAGGCTTGTACAACCACATTCGGTTTAATTTTTTCAAATAGTTTTTGAAAAAGATCAAGAATGCGTTACTGTAAAGCCTAAAGTACTCGTTCTAAACCCTGAAGTCTTTGACATATCAATCTAGGCACCAATCATAAATCAGAAGACTGTTATTGCACCCAAAGCAGAAATTTTTAGAAACATCAACAATAGGATTAATTATGTTATGACAGAATGGTGAATACTAAAACTATATGGCAGAGAAGGAGATGGGAAGACCTAATTCTACGTTGTTATATTTCTTCTCTAAGGAGAAGAAAATGCATATCAGGGAAAACTGCAGTTACATCTAGGGATGAGCAGAATTCAGTAAAACTGACCAAAATGACCACTGGTTCGATTCAGTTTTGGTTTTAATAGAAAAAAACAGAAATTTCCTGTTTGGTCCCATTTTTATTATATAAACTGAAAAACATAAAAACCCTAAACACCAAACTGATTTAACCCAAAAATTAAGTCAAAACCGAAAACTGAACCGCTATTTTTTTTTTTTTTTTTTTTTAGACCAAAATGACCACTGGTTCGATTCAGTTTTGGTTCTTATAGGAAAAACAGAACATTTCCTGTTTGCGTTCCCATTTTTTATTATATAAACTGAAAAACAAAAAACCCTAAACCACCAAACTGATTTAACCCAAAAATTAAGTCAAAACCGGAAAACTGAACCGCCTATTTTTTTTTTTTTTGTTTACTTTTTTTTTTTTTTTTTTTTTTACAAAATTTGGTCTGCACTAGTTCGGCTCAATTCAAACTGAACCAACCAAATGCTGACCCCTAGTTACATCAATTTGATAATATGAATATATGATGTATTATGAAATTATAACCTTCCAATACATGTTAAGAAAATGAAATACAATACAAATATCAAGAATTCTACTTCTAACAGCTTCTTATGAACCAGCAGATTGAAAATTGCAGATTCATGAATCAAGCAAGAAAGGTAATCTTCACTTACGTTGCCACATTTCTTTCAAGTTGGAGGTTGAATAAATAGAGTAAACGTGCTAGAGTCCACTGAAGATCTTGAAATGAAGGGAAGGACACATCCAACCCAAGAGGTGTGGGCTTATTTAAGGAATTAGATATACAAGCAAAAGGTGAGCAGGTAGCTCCAAAATTCAAAACTGAAGAGGGATATGAATCTTGAACCATCTTTATCATTGTATTTGCAAAATTTAAATGCAGAAATCTAAATATGCAATATGCCGAAATAGTTCCAATCATGGGTCTAACTTTGTAATCCTGCAAAGTGAATTGCATATAATTGTTAAAATACATTACAATTAAAAAATATACAATTAATTTTTACCACAAATTACAACTAAAAGTACACAATTAACACATCCAGTCATCCACAGTCAAGTTAAGCGGAGAAGTAAACCCAAATATGAAATCTGATCATTTTTCTTTGAAGAAATTCTGAGATAAAGCAAAAGAAAAAGCTATGAACCAAATGTATTAATAGCATCTATAATAAACATCAACAAAAACCATTTATAGATATGTTTTGGGAAAAATATCATCCAGGCAAAGAAAGCCTGCAATCAATCCCATTTCTTGTATTCAAGTAAATGAACAAGCAGCAAACTAGCACATGCATATGAAACTATTCATAACCCTTTTCCATATCAAATTCATTTCAATTAATTCTCACCTGAGAAATACTGTTTTCCCTCATTCTAAAAAACTTGGGGTTTGAATCATCTGAAATATCCATGCAAGCAACACAATTCAACTTATTCTCCAGCCTCTGAGAAGAGACTTTCCAATTCCCTGTAAAAATATCTTCAGAGTTTATTTGACGGTATTTTTTTTTTTCGCACCATAAAGCAAAGGAAAAAGGCCAAAGAAAATGCAAGTTTCTCTTATGCAAGGGCCACCTCACTGCAAACCACAAACACAGTGCTCTTATAATATACCATGTTGAATTTAGCAAATATAATATACCAATAGAAGTCTGCAGTTTATTGCTGAATAAAGGAACCGCAGAAATGGGTACAGAATACAGTGTGATATGGATCACAGCCCCCTTGGCAAGTGTTAAATCCTAGATTCAGCCTATATTTACAAGGGCTTTTTGGGAGGTTGTGTTGTTGGCACACCACGATTACTAACTACTGAGTCAATGCATTAAACAGGTTGAGACGGGCCTTTCCATCATCTACCATAAAGAAAATAACAAGTATCAAGAAGTGAGTACAATTACATAAAAGGCCAGCTAAAGATAGCCAATCAAAACTTCAATGAAGCTCAATAGGGGACAAACAGCTGCTGATTTTGAAACAATACAATTTGCTAAGAATGAGAACTACGATAAGATTTATAAAAATGCCTATCATAACGTGACACATAATAGGAAATTCCCCAGAGCCTATAAGCACTTCCTAAAAAACTAATAAACAGGATTATACACAGTACTAATCAACACTCTGACTTCTCTACTAAGTTGATCAATGCCACACCTCAACAAAAACCGTCGTTCGTATACAAGAGCTAATGACATTTCATTTAGTTGAGTTTAGTTGGACTTAACAAAGAAAATGTCCAATTTAAAATTGTTCTGCTGTTGTGATCCCTACTCTCCCTCCCTCGATTATATCTCAAGCATGATATTCACTTCATGAAATTTTAGAAGCTAAAAAAATGATGTAAAAAATAATTATTAATGAGTAGAACAGACTTATTCTCACTCACCAGCAAATTGAACTCTGAAATTACGTTCTTGTAAAGCTGAAGCCTTGATCCACCAAAATTGGCTCCGCATTGATTTCCTGTTGAATTAATAATTCAGCATGCACCTTGATACATTCAGCAACTACCACACAACTTACTACCTATACAAAAACATAATACAATATGCCTATTTACTACTTGTAACTCGAAATGATTTAAGGAGTTGTAGGAAAAATTACACTAACCAGTTTAAACCAATCGCCATTCTCAACAGTGTGGAAAATTAATCAGTTTCTGTGTGAAATCTTTCATAAGAAATTATGATTTCTATGTGATTCACTAATTTGTTGAACTGCTGGAATTATATTTGCATTATACGACAAGATTGACGCATCACCTTTTTGCATCACTCTCCCAAATAAGTAATTGGACTAGATTTTACTCTAAGCTCCTCTTCCTCAAAATTAAAATGTTAGAGAAAAAAAAAATATAAAGCAACTAGTGACTTCTGGAACGGACAAGTCTCAATCAAAAAGAGCATCCAAGCCTAATTTGTTCTCAGTGATTACGGATAGTCCTGCAGTACTCATCAAAAAAGTAATTCCATATACTAATTGTGTCGAGGAAAACGACGATTATTAGCATTGCATCTAGCTTTTAAGAGCTGGTTAGTTTCCATACAAATAATAAATAAATAATAAAAAAAAGGAAAATCCATGCAACTAGATAAAAGCATTGGATGAGAAAATAACGTGGAGGCATAGAATTTAATTCATTGATCAAGTAAATGCGAATGCTAACAATGAGAGAAGTAAGTACCTCTTTGCCGAAGGAGGAGGTAGATAATTCAGTTTCGGGACTCGAGCTGATAAAATCCATGGATGAGAGCTCTGCAACGGACTAGGCAGCATCTCTATCTTTTGTTGCTTTCTCAACCAGTACCGAGACAAGAGAAGAGACTAAAATTAATTTGAGATAGTTAATGAGAATTGTATTTAATGATTGATCTGTTTGGTGGATCCTTTTCCCTGAAAGAACAAAAGTGGAAACAGAAGAAGGGAAGGTAAAAAGATGCGTCCTTTTTGGCGAACTATGAGTCCCGTTGATCAGAGGTTGAAAATTGGGGACCAGTAACTCATCTGTCATAATCAAGCATTCGTACAAGAAAACCTCAAAAGCGAATCTTCCATCGAGGTGTTTGTTTATAGTTTTCTTTTTATCGTTTCTCTTTTCTGTTACATATCAGTCATTTTCGTATCCACTGCATTAAATTAACACTTGTTGGATCCCTTACTGTTACTGATCGTTTTAAACTGTAACATGTGGCATCATCAGATCTAATATACATTTCATTAAATAAAATATTTAATTAATCAGCAGGCGTCTCGCGTTTAGATAAATATGAATAAATTGTATTTTTATCCGTAAAATTGCAAATTGACCAGCACGCCACAAAATAAAATACTTGGAAGAGCATTTTGTCCAGCAAAAGTAGTGCAGGAAGACAAAAGTACTATAAAGTGCATAGCCTTTGTAACACGTAATCAGAACGCATTTAGCAGAAGAAGTGAACAGCGGGCCCTCCCTTTTCGGTTACGGGACCACACTAGTTAGTTGCACGATGAGAGGGTAGCTGCTACATGATCTAATTCGTAACAACACTTTACACCTATTGGCCAAAAGTAGTACAGAGTCGAAACTGGAGTGATGGGGATGTCCTCTGTTTTTCAGCCATTCCGCACATGCCATTTTTATTTGAAAGGTTCATTTTGGAAATTTTTGTTGCCAATTTGCCACACTTTTTCACACGAACCAGATACAAATGAAATAAAATGAAAGAGAATTTGGGCTTTGTTAGTGGGTTCTTCTGTCTACGACAATTTACAGGCTTTTGAGGGCTTATTATGTTACTGGTATCCCAGATCAAGATGGAGCTTTCGACCCCCTGAGTTGGCCCAAAATGCCATATCATTCATTGAAATCCACAAATTGGTGAAAAAAAAGGAAGCTATATTGGAATGTCTGTGGACGTGGCAATGCACACATGGCGGCTCATGATGAAGTGGCGAGAGACACGTCGCTGAGACAAAACACATGTCATCTTGCTATGACGTGGCTTCTTACGTGGCGCTGTTGCAGATAGGTGGTCTTTTGAACTGACATGGCTCAAACCATGTGGTCCCAGGATGACGTATCTAAGTTCACGTGGCTGATTATGATGTTGTGGCGCATGACACTTGGCATAATAGTTACACGTGTCGTCCCTGTCCATGACATGGCTTCCTGCTCGCGTGGTGGGGACATGTATTGGATTCTGGTGACATGGCAACAAAGTGAAGATGGCTTGAAGCGTAGTTTATGCTGATGACATGGATATTCCACGTAGCGGAATATGATGATATGGATAGAAATGGCAGGAGAAACGTGGCTACGTTAGTCTGACGTGTCATTTACCAATGACGTGGCTACTCCAACCTGGCACAGTAAGCGGGCACGTGGTGAGTGCCATGTGGTATTTTGATGATGTGGGCTATATTAAGCTTCGTTCCACAGAGAGGCCGTCTTGGTGCAAGTTGAAGGACCTGTCGAGCAGAAACAACCTTTGGTTGACGTCTCGTCTGATGTTATTGGCGCTTTTCATAACAATGGCAATCTTTCTCTGCAACTGCGTCATACTTAATATTCGGGCCTTCTTTAACGCCAATCAAATTTTTCATGAGAATCGCCATTTTCCATACGGTCTCAACTTTAAACGAGGTATTGCTCTTTTCGAAATCTCTGGTTTACTATTTACGAACCCGCGGTTTGGATTAGAAACCATACTTCCCCATCTTTGATTAAAATATTTCTGAAATGATTTCTCACCTGCATAATTGAACGAAAACAAGTAATCGAGTGCATTTTGTCCAAAATATCTGACTCTGTTTTGTAATTTGGACTAGAGGACGCAGAGAGAGTTATTCTTCTATGCCATTATGAATTGATCCAGCGAAGTGTTGAACCTGCTCCAGAAAATAACTACAGGCACAGTTGATGTTCCTTCTTTGCAGGGAGCTTGCAGTTATGCTATGGGCTAGTATTTGTTCTACTATTTAAAAGTTGCATTCTATTTTGGGGGTTGATAGGTTCTCATCCTGTATAGTTTTGAGCAGTCGATGAACTCTGTCACAGTTTTCTGGGTTTTCCAATTCTGGTCATTGGGATATTTGTAGATATCACCAAAATTACATGCCTTAAAATCCATCTATATTCTACTACTTCTGAGGAAAAAAAACAAAAGAAAATACAGAGAAAACATTAAAGATCAGCAGATTCAAAATTCAATACAGCCTGAAAAATGTGTGCTCTTGTTATTATTATGCATATACAGCACCAACTATTATACATATCGACTAAGTACATCCATAAACTACCAAAAAATTATCGAAATTATCTTGCCGTCACCTGAGGGTCAGATAATCCATCTTCAGAAATGTCATAAAACAAATCATCACTCTTACACAAAGCATAAACAATATCCACCATGCTAGGCCTCCTTGTTGGATCTCTATGCAGACAAGCAACTGCAATGGTCATAACATTCATTACACTCTCCATTGAGCATGACTCTTCTAAAAGATTCTCATCCATCAATTCCTTCAATCTATGCTCCTTTCTCTCTTCATTTCCATTCCAAATTTCGCTGGCTTTTGCCCACAAAAGCTTACCCTCTTCGTCAATGGCCTCCTCACCAGATATAAGCTCAAGCAAAACCACCCCAAAAGAGAAAACATCCATTTTTGTTGATACTACCCCATCAGTTAGATATTCAGGTGCAATGTAGCCTTGAGTACCAACAATATGCATTGTTATGGCATTGCAGCCTGATTTTGCTAGTCCAAAGTTGGCAATTTTTGCTCTCATTGTTGAGTCTAAAAGAATATTGCTACTTTTGATGTCTTTGTGCACAACCCTTGGTCTAGTATGCTCATGGATGTATTGCAGGCCATTGGCAACATCAATTGCGAGGCGTAATCTTGTTTTCCAACTTAGCTTTTCATTCTTTTTGCTGTGTAGCCATGAATGAAGGGAGCCGTTTTCTATGTATTCATAGATTAGATAGCAACTTGCGTCCTCCGAGTCTACACAAAATCCCTCTAGCTTCACCAAATTGCCATGATTTACCTTCAGTAGACAAAATATTATGAATTTGTTGCAAGGAGAAACCATTAAGATCTAAACTTAAAAATTAAGATTGAAATTACAAGAGAAGTTTTATGGGTACTAGGCACCTCTTAAATTGGCTTATCATCTCAGCTACCTCTTAATTTAAGATCAAAACCCTATACCAGCTCATCATTTCCAAGAGGCTCACATAAGAAATGAGTTAAAACTCAAATAGATTTATTGGCAATGGCACTGGCTATTCCACTTGCCAAGTTTTGGTTTTGGGCAACCTGGCCTTTGGACTTGTACCAGCGAAGTGTGCCAATCCAAAACATGGAAAATTTGACAGTGAAAGAAAACAACTAACAATTTGAAAAAGGAAAGGGCAATAAACTAATAAGATTCCAAAACCAAACAACAAGGGATAACAGTCCAATTGATGGAGCAAAAGAAAATAGCTTAAAAACAAAATGTATATGAAGAAATAATAGGAGCTCTAATGGCAGTAAAATCATTCCATTATTAAATTAGGAGGGATTTGATTTCATCCCTTTTGGACTTAAATCCATTCTATATTTTCAGCATAATTCAGGATTTCAATAAATGAGACAATTGATGGTTAATGTTTTTCTGATCAGTATCCAGTTGCGGCTTTCATGTCTCACAAATCACCATAATAATAGTCTGAAATATGCCTTAAAGCGCCATGGAAATAATTGAAGAGTTCACTTCTGTGGAAGCATTCAGAGACTTTATTTAATCATTCATTTTGATTTCAAAAGGAAGAGAACAAGAAAAACATTTGAATATTGTTTTGCATCTGTGTGTGAGTAATTCAAAATAGTACATTCCAAAGAAATGGGGCAGGCTGACTCACTATAATGCCAATTTCCTTCTATTATTTGAAACCGGAGCCATATTTATAACTTTAAACTAAAGTCTTCCAACTGGTGCATACCAACAATAGAATGCCACAATTTAAAACATTAAAACCAACAAAACAGACAGGTCATTTTACCTAACCAAAATATTATTTTAGTTATGAGAATTATAGAATTGCAAATTTTAATAGAAGTCATAGACTGATGTCCTTGTCTATTAGGATAATTCAGTTTTTTATACAAGTTTTTCTTTATTTTTAATCACATTCCCGTGCAACCAGGTTTATGCTACCATGTAGTATAATAGATGACCTTATGATCTTAATTAATCATCTTTAATTCAATAGCTTGTAATTATTAGTGGCTCAATCTTTAAGAACAGCAAAGATTTTTGAAGACTATAAGGATTGTGTCACTCTGATCCTATAATAAGAATTGAGAAAACAAAGAAAAAGTGAAAAGGTATAATGTACTATATAAATTTGAAGAGGACTTTTACCTTCTGCAAGATCTTAAGCTCCTCATAGGCATTCCATTTCATCTTCTTGATAGCATAATCTTCACCCTCAATGCACGCCTTATATACAGACCCTTGAATCAAGAAATTCTCATTAAAACCATCGGTAGCTTCTTTCAATTCCTCTATCTTAAAAACCCTATACTTATCCAAGCAATCTGAAACATCTGCCATCAAATTAGCTTCCATGTCCTTTAAACCTTTCTCTCCTCTATACATCTGCAGCCTCCGCTCCTCCTCATCTTCTTCCCTCTCTTTCCTCTTCAACTTACCTTCTCTATAAACCCAAAACCCACTCATCAAAATCAACAAAATTCCACTAATTCCAAGCCCAACTGCCAACCCGGCGATCAAACCTTTCCTTTCTTTCCTCCCAGAAGACACAGAAGCAGCAACTACAGGTTGTGACAATTGTGGAAGTTTATTGAGTGGAATAAATATGGTATCAAACGGTTGCGTTCTGTTGCCATTAACATCTATAATAGATTGTCTTTCAACTCCAAACCTTGAAGCAACTAGTGATAAGTTATCAGAAGGTTGAAACACATAAGAGATCAGATAATTGACCTGATTTTGCAACTGGGTTTGATTAGGACACATACAAAATATTGGAAAGATGACGTTTTGGCCTATCGAAAGATTGGTCGGGACAAGAGTAGGATTCACAACCTCAACCGACTGATATGTAGTAAGGTTTTGGAAATAATTCGTAGAGACCATGTAAAAGGTATCACCTTTCTTGATTGTATATGAGAGGTTTGCATAAGAGTAAAATACACCAGTAGTGATATTAACAGTATTGCAAGAACATGATAAAGGGACAAATAGAGATTGGCCAGGGATTAGAGGTGAAGATGGAGAGGAGATATTACTTGGTTTTGATATCATTAGACGGCTAACAGAGAAAAGATCACCAATGGAACCCAGGTCAAGGAAGTCAGGAGCCATGGCTCTGTAAAAGGCATAGGTTTGGCATGGATAGCTAGTCAGGTTTACGGTGCAGGTGAATCCTTCAGTGCTTGGCTGCGCTTGCAAATGGTTGAGAATATAATTAAAGCAAAGAAAGATGAGGAGAGAAGAGAATGGAAGAGTTTTGGTTCTCATTTCTGGTCTGATCTGGTTCTGTTTCTTTGACCTTCTCGCAGTGCACTGTGTTGGGTTTATAAGAGCTGTCCATGTAAGCAGAAGTTGAAGGTGGAAAATCTCATCTCGTCAAGGTTCTACGTTTCCAGTCAAACATAGTTGCTGTTTTTCCACCTTCTCCATCGACTGGGTATGGGTCCCACTAGCTGGTGAATCCCACCCTTGACTGTGTCCTTTTTTTTGTCTTCTGTCATCCTCAATAAATCTACGGATGGAATTGGCCACCAAGAACAGTGATTTCTGTTCTTTTTTTTTTTTTTAATATAATTTTCACCTTCATGTGTAATTAAAATTATCAAAAGAAAGAAGTCCCAAAGATGGACTGTTAAAAATAGGTCAAGAGAAAAACCCGACACGTTAGGCAAGTGATGCCAGCATGTTGAACCAAATTGGATGATTTTGAATTGTATCGCAGGATGAAAATAAAAATTGAAGTTTTGAGGCAGCTGACATTTTTTCTGCTATAATGTTTTCTGGCAGAAATTTACTGGCTACTATCTAATCCTGGGATGGCTTTGGAAATGGAGGCGTGCCGTATGGGAAAGATCAGCTTCTACAAACAGACTTTTTGTTGGGGCACATGTTATGTGGGCCAGCATCATTAATTTTAAGATTAAGATCGTTCGACCAGTAGCAAGAAAATGACAGAACCGCACTTATCCAGTGGGACGAAGGACAGTGAAGTTAAAAAGATCCTGTGATTTTAATATAGAACTTACACATATCACGGAAGAAGAGTTCTGATGAAGCCCCCTCATTTAAGAAAATGGTGCATACTTGCAGCATAAATTAGGAAAGCAAGATAGTTTTGAGGTCTAAAAGATTACAATCAGGAATATAATTATCGACCAATTAAGGATCGAGATGCTCCCAAGTCCACATAAATATGATTATTTGTTTGACAACCACCCACCTGCTTCCAAAAGAAAAAAATTGCTTTTTGAAAAGTTCATACCCAAAACCAGATCCACCAAGTTCAAACAGACTACTGTACAATATTTTATTGAAAAACTATTAGTGGGAAATTATCTATAGCATTTTACTAAACAGTATCTTACTAGCATATTATTTGAGTTCTTATGGAGAATAAAAATATGTAAAACATTGTCTATAAATTTATTTTTAATCTAAATTTATATATATTCATTTATAAAAATTTCAAATTGTTTTTTTTTTTCAACATCTAAAATCCAGAAATGCATTTTCTACCTCAATGTCAAACATGATCTTCATCAATGCCATCCTGTAATTAACCCACTCCAGCAATTCCAATAGCATCATTCAAAGATATGAAGACGTAATTTATTTAATCTAAACAAATATTAATGCTGATAAACAAGTTTGACTTGAAAACTTACAAGATGGAATAATTACAATTCTTTTCTCCAAGAATTATCTCTTTGTTATGTCATCCTTCTCTATGGTGAAATCCCAGATATCTCCATATTTCTCATTGAAGTCCCAGATGCTCATGGAGTTATAGTCACTTATCAACTTGTCACGAGCTCCCCTTTCCATATTATATATCTGAGGTTCAAAATTGTGAGGCTTGTCTGGCTTATCCATCTCTATTATGCAAAATACTATTGTAAACAAAGCTGCTCCAATGTATAGATACTCCCCCTAAATCACAAGATATCACATAAAAACTATCTCAGTCATAGCAAAACAAGATTTTCCTGAAGTCAATTGTTGGCTTTTGATTTAACAATTAAATTTTGCACTAAAGAAATTTAAATTTACCGGCACGTCGAAATACATTCCAGCTGCAACTGCTGGAAGGAAAAGCCATGAAATAACCCCTGCAAAAACATAATTAAAAAATTTATCGTCTTTAATCTACTGTAGTGTCACAATATTATCAAAATGTCTGTGATAGATGATCGACAAGTGGTTGGATAGCGGAAGTATATTGCATTTCCAGGTGAATTTTACCTGAACGTGGAGACAGAGTGTGAACCAAACGACAAAAAAAATTGTGATGGTCAGTCAGTCATACCCTGAAAACCAGTTGGAGGTTCTACTGCATTATAATCTTCTGCAATTAATTCCCAAAATGTTCCTGATTGAAAAAAATCAACCAAAAAAAAAAAGGTTCAATTCCTTCGCAACAGTGTAAAAGGTCCAAACACACTCCAATAGAAACCCCATATTCCAATTGCATAAGCAATCTGTTAACTCAAAATCAAAGAGAAACCGCTACAAAAAATTTGGCCCTAAAAAGCTTACTCTTCTCTTCGCCTTCGAAGTAGGTGTGATGACCATCATACTCTCCATATATAAAATCGTCCTGGATTTTAAAATAGTGTATTAGAGCACTATAACCTAATACACTGCAAACACATATTTAATTTACAAGAAGAAGAGGAAATAAGATGTACAGGGTCAATACTGGGAGTGGCCCAACGGTCAACTGGATCTTCGTTTAGATCAGGTTCTATCTCAGACAATCCAGCTGCATTTAGCCTTGTTGAGTTAAATCGACTGCCTAACCTCTCATAAAACTTCAGCGTTTTGTGATTCAAAACCCTAATCCCAGTTTCAATTTTGCAGGAGCAGATTCTGGGCACTGGATTTGCCAAGAGAACTGAGATTGAAGAACTAACTGCCATATTTTGCCTTATCTCTTTTCTGTTTGTTTAGCCTTTTAATGCCCGCCTTTTATTTTTTCCCTCTTCAAATGCTCCTTTTGGAAACGTGGTAATTTCTCATTGGTGGTCACGATGAAAATGCACCAACTTCGTGTCACTTTTATTCGATTGGAATAACTTTGCTGTCCTAAACGATAAATATTTACTCTCAGTACGACATACTCTCTCGCATTCAAAGGTTTAGTCGTTTCAAGTGAACAAAATGTTCAACAATAAACGACAGGTACTTCAAAATACTCTACTAATTATCAGTAACATTTTACTGAGGGTCAAATCCATAGGCTCGCCAAATTCATTTGCCAATATGGTGGCCAATGATTGTGAAGGTCATGGTTAAAGATGTAAATACATTAAGCTGCTCTTAAGTTTTTAGAGGGAAAATTTATTTGAACTTATTCGATAAATTTAATAAATTAAATTTGAACTTATACTATAAAAAACTTTTTTTAACTGTAAATTATAAACGAGTTAGAACTCGATTCCAACCAGAGGTCGGCATGGCTTCATTGGTTTATAATGCTATTGTGAATCGTGACACTATTATCGATGAAATCGGTGGTAAGAATCGACAAAATGAATAAAAAAAAAGGAATATATGCTAAGACAAGTAAAAAAGAAAAATGGAAAATAATTGATGACATGGAATATTCCAATTTTCAAAAACAATATTAGATGAACAATATAGATCACGGGACAAAATGGATTTTTCAAATATCAATTACCTCCATATAGGATGCTATAAAATTATCAACAATCAATTGTAATTTTTATTTATTATTATTTTTTTATAAAAAGTAATTTATATACAATTTGACCAATTAGATAATTGCAAAATCGAAGTTAAACAATTCAATATGAGATTTAAATTTATTTCATTTAGAAAAATCGCTTAATAATACTTAGTTATCAATTTAATACAAATAAGGAAATTGATATTTTTTTCACGAAAAGAAAAGTAAAATAGAAACAATTACGACTATTTTTCTCAAATTATATTATTTGACCAGTGAATATTTTTATCCATGACGTAATAGCAAAAGCTAATATTGTTTACGGTTTAGAAATATTTATTCTATCCAATAATTGAGCATCGAGAATTTTTTTTTTTTTTCTTTTTATTTGTAAAATGAAAAATCTACGGACGGGAATCTACAAATGGCAAGGCGATACATGTTGCAACAACACTCTATCACCAGACGTGATTGGGCTTGCTGCCCGAAATTTCTTCTTCCTTTGTTCCCTCCTCTTATCTCTTCTCAGTCTCCTATACTCATTCTCCCACTCAGGTCTCCTCTCTCTTTTTCCATGTAAGCGATTCATTTCTCTTTTCCTCTTCATTACATTGCGTTGAATCTATTCTCATCGCCTGTTGCAGAGAAACTAGTTTCTGTTTCTTTTTATTAAGCTGCTACTCGATAGATATTTCTATTTCGAACTCGTTAATTTTGTTTTTTTTTTTTTTTTTTTTTGAAATGAAAAAAGTGGAAAATAATTGATGACATAGGAATGGATTCACATTCAAAAAACAATATTATGATGAACAATATAGATCACGGACAAAATGGATTTTCAAATAGTCAATTGACCTCCATATAAGGGAGTGCTATAGGGGCAATTTATCAACAATCAGAATTGGAAATATTAATTTATTAATTATTTTTTTAATAAAAAGTAATTCTATATACAATTTGACCAATTAGGAAAATCTGACACAAATCGAGAAGTTAAGAACAATTCAATAGAAGGGAATTTAATTTATTTCATTTTAGAAAAATCGTAATAATACTAGTTCATCAAAGTTTCAATACAAATAAGAGAATTGGAATTATACAACCGAAAAGAAAGTAAAAGTAGAAACAATTGACCAACTATTTGTTTCTCTAACAGAGTATATATTTGAGACAAGTGAAGTATTTTATTGCCCATGACTAGAATTAGCCAAAAGCTAATATTGTCTTACGGTTTATGAAATATGCTTATTCTATCCAATAATTGGAGCATCGAGATTATTGTTTTTTCTTTTCTCTTTTGATTTGTAAATGAGAAATCTACGGACGGGAAATCTAACAAAATGGCATAGGCGATACAATGTGCAACAAACACTCTAGCTCACCAGACGTGATTGGGCTTGCTGCCGCGGCCCCGAATATTTCCTTCTTCCTATTGTTCCAGTCCTCCCTGGGCTTATCCATCTTCTCACACTCTCTATACTCCTTCTCGCCACTCAGGTCTCCTGCTACTGCTTTTTCCATGACAGCGATTTTCATTTCTTTTTCCTCTTCAAATTACATTGCTGTTGAATCTATTCTCATACGCCTGTTGCCAGAGAAACTAGTTTCAGTCCTTTTTATAAGCCACTGCCGTACTCGATAGATTATTTGCTAGTTTTCGAACTCGGTTAATTTTGTTTTTTTTTTTTTTTTTTGGTTTGTTGAGGAATTTGATTTTCTTTTTTTTTTTTTTTTTTTTTTTTGGTTTGATTGAGGAATTTGATTTTCTTCAAATTTTTTATAAAGAATTAAATATGTTCTCATTAATGGAGAAGAACATGTATTGCAATCTTAATGGAGAGTAAAATTTCATACCTTTTTGTTGAGATTGAAATGAAATGATTTGTTTTTAAGCAGCCTAATCATATATTAAAGCTGTGAACCTGGAAATATATATGCAATGAGAAAATTATTAAAGCTGACCTGCATCAAAAAGAAAAAGAAATTATTGGAACTGGCTTTAGGTTCATATACAAAAAAGATTCACTTATGTCGGAATTCTTTTATGGCAGTCACTAAATTTTTCTTCCCCTGCTTTCTGTTTTTCTAGCTCTATTGTTTATGTTGCTTCTTTCGCAATTGGACATCCTTTGGTTTGTTATTATTATTATTATTTGTAGAGAGAGTGTGTGTGGGAGAGCTTTTTACGTAATTTTTAGATTTCTAGACACTGATCTTCTCAAATCTTTTTTCGTATGGCAGTTTTATACTTTCTCACTTACAAATTTATATTTTTGTTTCTGATCGGATAATTCATGTCCATTTCCAGCGTTGTTTACTTTGAGTTCTATTGTTTTGATTTTCTTATTGATTTGTAGTAAAAGATTTTTTACCATTCCGGCCATGGATGCTTCAAAAGATGTCCTGCCACTTGGAATAGATGCAAGTACTGTGGAAGAGTATGCTTCCCAGTCCAAGTTGCTTCAAGAGTTCACTAGCATTTCCAGTATTGACAAGGCATGGACTTTTAAGTGTACCAGCGGTATGATTTTATTTTCTTAACTTCGCATTTTTTTCTGGGTTACCGTTCACTCCATTGTGTCTGTCATTAATTACTTAGATGCAAAACATTTGGCACAGGAATGGGCTCCAAGGCAATTTTCTCGATCAGCCAGCCGAATCTTCTGGCTAACAAGAAGAGGAAATTTATTTTATCTTCTACTATTTCAAAAGAGAGTACCAGTTCTGTGAACTTTCAGTGGGCCCCGTTTCCCATTGAGATGGCTGGTGTGTCTACAATAGTTCCATCACCATCTGGTTCACAGCTTCTTGTAATCCGAAATCCTGAAAATGAATCTCCCACTCACTTTGAAATCTGGAGCCAGGGTCAAGTGGAAAAGGAATTCCAGATCCCCCAATCTGTTCATGGTTCAGTATATACTGATGGATGGTAAGCATGTAAATCTAGTTTTTCATTGGTCCCTCCATCTAGTATTTATTGATAAGCTGCTGTACTTTTCTCTCGGTATATCCATGTCTTTTAGTTGTGGAAGTCAATCAATTTTAAGCGCGATAACTGCTGAAGTTGAGCTGGTGATAGGAGCAATAGTTGTAGTAGCACTTCTTTTGTGATATTTTTCACATCGTTCAAATGTTGAGTTTCTTTTATTGTATAGGTTTGAGGGAATATCTTGGAACTCTGATGAAACATTCATTGCTTATGTTGCTGAGGAACCATCTCCATCCAAGCCTACATTTAGTAGTCTGGGCTACAAAAATAGCAGTGCGTCCACAGATAAGGACTGTAGTAGCTGGAAAGGTCAAGGGGAATGGGAGGAGGATTGGGGAGAGACTTACGCAGGAAAAAGGCAGCCTGCGGTCTTTGTCATTAGCACTACCAGGTGTTGTACTTCTGATATTTATTGTGCTTTGCGTTGTCGTAAGGTAAATTATAGTTTATATTTGCATCTCCAAGCCTTTATTCAAAACTTGCCTTACTTTGCAACAGCGGAGAAGTACAACCTGTTAAAGGAATTGCAAAGTCCTTGAGCATTGGCCAAGTTGTTTGGGCTCCATCAACTGAAGCATATCAGTATTTAGTTTTTGTTGGTTGGTCATCGGATCCAAGAAAGCTTGGCATAAAATACTGCTATAATAGGCCTTGTGCATTATATGCAGTCCAATCTCCAGTTTATAAATCAGAGACCAATAAATCTGAATTCAAGTGGGTTACTTGTTTTTGAAGTGCTCATATAATGCAGCTTTTTGCTTGTGAATAATTTCAAGGAGGTGAAGTTTTCCACCTGTGGCATATGTTTAACTTCTTATTTATTGTAATATTCCAGAGATAATCCCAACGAAGGTTCCCCTGTGATCAATCTAACTCAAAGCATAAGTAGTGCCTTCTTTCCATTGTTCAGGTATGCCACTCTAAGGCTTGGTATGGGGACTTCAATGTAGACAATAAAACCTTATCCTTTTCAACCCATTTCTTTGTGTCAGAACTCCTACAATGTGATTGGGACTGGATTATATAATGTCACGCTATACTTATTCCTATCATCCTTTCTCTCTTCTCAATGTATTCTAAGTTGATGGATTTTCATGTGATTTCTTCTTTGAATTTATAGTTTACAAATTCTTCCTACAATTATTTTTTAGGCAATGTGTATAGTCATAACTTTTCTCAATATTTGAAGTATTTCTATGTTCAACAGCATACTTCCAGCTGATTGCATGTAAGTATATCATGTATGTCTTTTTCACATCATGGCATGTGAGGAAGGTCCCCTATATTTTACTTTGCTATAAATTCAGATGCATTCAGCAACTGATTTACTTTATAAGATAAATATAATTTAATTAACGTCCTTCTAGCTGATTGCTAATTTATCATGCATATGTCTGTTTCCCATATCTAGTCCAGATGGAAGGTTCCTTGTGTTTATGTCTGCAAAAACTTCTGTAGATTCTGGGGCGCATTCAGCAACAGATTCACTTCACAAAATTGAATGGCCAGTCAACAGACAGTTGAGCTCAGCTGCAAAAGTTGCTGATGTGGTGAGCCCTTCATGTTTTATCTTTTAATTTAAATTCGGTGAATTCAATTGGTCTACTTTAAGATTACTAATTTCATGTGTAATTGCTTGGTTTCTTGTACGTGCATGAGAAAGTTATAATTATTGATTTCTTTATGTTTGATTAGGCACTTACTTCGCTTTATGAGCTCACGTAACAAGTAATCAGAATCAGAAAATTTTGTTTGGCTTGTGTTTCTCTCTCTGTCCCTTTTTATTTGGCTGGGAAAAGGGTTTGTTGTATTTCTGGGATATTAAACATATTATAAGTAGACATTTGCATATAGTGACGATTGATATCATATTTATTAATCGATGGCAATGCATACCTTCTTTCTCTGGAGAGTGGCAAGGTACAATTGACATCAGCTGCTCAATTATGAAACTTGTAATTCATGCTGTTTTTTTCAAAGGAAAAATATTTACTTTTATCTTTGTATGGAACCCGCACAGCTTTATTGAAATCTCACCTTTGAATTATCAAATAAAGGGAAATGGAAGTATACAGTAGCTCAAGGACCTTTCTCCATTACTCTCACCATTGAACTTTGTACGATTTTTGCCCTTTTCTGAGGATAGCAAGAAAAGCTCTATTCTTGCAATGAAGTATTTTGTCTATAGACAAGAAGATATTTTACTGACAGTCATCTTCCATAATTCTTGCAGATTCCTGTTGTGCAGTATGCAGAGGATGGTGGTTTTCCTGGGCTTTATTGTTCAGGTTTTCTCAGAAATCCATGGCTTTCAGATGGATGTACTATGATTTTATCTTCAGTGTGGCACAGCAGTCAAGTTTTACTTTCTGTGAATGTGTTAAGGTAAATGCTAGGAGTAATCTGTTTTCCAATGTGGATGATCTCTAATGGTAACAATCTTGTTCAATAATTAAATTCATGGTACGATTGTCAAACTACAGTGGGGATTTGAAGCGCATTAGTCCTTCTGACTCAAAATTTTCATGGAATCTTCTTGCTCTGGATGGGGACAACATTATTGCTGGTAAAGCCCAATGCTGGGTTCCTTATTTAAGGTCCTATTGAAGTAAAAGGAACTGAAAGAAAGGATTTCCTTTTTTTTTCTGTTCTGCCAGTGTCTAGCAGTCCAGTGGATGTGCCTGGAATCAGGTATGGTTTTCTCATTGAGAAAGCAACTAAAAATGCCACATGGAGTTGGTCAGATGTCTCAAGCCCAATATCCAGATGCTCTGAGAAAGTATGTATTACTAGCTTTCATACAGTATGCCATACATTTCTTGTCACATATAGATGATCCTTTAATTACATTTTCCCCTTCTTGACATAGGTTAGATCACTGCTCTTGTCTCGTCAGTTCGATATATTGAAGATTCCAGTCAAGGATGTTTCCAGTTGCCTGGCAAAAGGTACTGTATGCAATTTGAGTTCTGTCTTTAACCAATTGACGCAAAGATAGGTATCATATTTCTGATGCATCCTAATATTAATTTAATTCTGACACCCCATTCAGAGCATAATATGTGTCCCTATGATGTTAGTACTTTGTATGTAGCATTCTTGTTCTTTGTGATAATCAAAACAGCTGCTGGAAAATTTGAACTGTTTGGTAAAACCTTCTCAAGAAGAAGAAAGAAAGACATTGCTTCATGTATACTTATTCATGATCTACGTCAATTGGCATGTGAAGTGGGAGTACTTATACTGGTTGTTTTGTAAGAAAGCAATTCAAATGCTAAAGAATATGTGGATTATGAATCTTATTCATCGCGTCCAGTTTGTCTCTGTAATCTGAACACTGGTTCAGAGAAAAGTACATTGAAACTGGTCAAATTCATGAATTATTTAATGGAAAGAAAAGATAATGGTGTTTCTGTGGTTGGATTGATCTTATATGAAAAACAAAACTGGACATCTTCCTTCATGTTTTGAAACATTTCTCATGTATCCAAAAAGAGTATAAAGTATCTATATCTGCGATTCTATCATTTTCCTTTAGTATGGCCTAACAGAAGCAGAAATATAAATTATACATCCTATGCTAGAGTTGAACAGATCTTATAAAGATAAAGCAAAATATAAATTATACTTCCTACATGAGCATAAATTATATCTTTGCAATGTGAGTAGCAAGCATAGTTCCTTTTCCATGTTGATAGAATTGATTGTATATACATATATCTCCTCAGGTGCTACCAAACCTTTTGAAGTTATATTTGTATCTTCCAATTCTGAGAAGAATGGTGCTTCTGATCCCCTGATAGTAATGCTTCACGGAGGTCCACATTCCGTCTCTGTGTCAAGCTTCTCAAAGTCTTTGGCATTTCTCTCTTCTATAGGTTTTAGCTTGTTGATTGTGAATTACAGGTAAGAAAAAGTCTTGAACTTCTTTTTAAGTTTAATCACATTTCATTATGCTCCAGGAGAGTCTGCCGTGCTTTGTGGAATGAAATTTTTGTGATTGTCTTAATACATCTACTACCATTCCATGACTTTTCAATATGCAGCTAAATATCTTAAGTTGTTTCCACAGAAATTTTTTTTGCTTGCAAAATATGTGCTCAAAAGTACAATTTATTTGCTAATTGCTGTTACTTATATAATCAGAAAACACTGTAAAGTTCATTTGAGCCCTGCTTGTTTTCTCCTTTGCATTATTCAGAAGTCACTTTTAATTATGAACTCATATTACCAACTTATGGCCTACATTGATGTTTACTTAATCATTTTCTAACAATGTAATTTATCTCAGAGGTTCGTTAGGATTTGGTGAGGAAGCATTGCAATCTCTTCCAGGGAAAGTTGGATCCCAGGTGCTTGCTTCTTTAAAATTGAAGCTGAGGCTTCTTTGCGTCAATTGGGTTTTATTTCCTTAAGACCCCTTTTTGTTTCTATAGGAGGGTACTCGTGATTTCTTCACTTCCTCCTGTTTTTATCTTTTTCATCTCTCTTGCTCTCTCTCTCTCATGCGTGCACGCGCACACACACATGTTGTTCTTAATTGTGTAAAAGTAGTTTCAGGACAAGGTCTGCTTTCCTGCCACCATTTTTTCCCTTCTTTATTCTTTATCTAACAAAGTCCAAATTTGTATCTTTAGATAAAATTCACTGAGTCTGTAGCATGGGATTTGCGGTGGATCCTGACATCTTGTTAGCTTATTATCAACAGGATGTAAATGATGTACTTACAGCTATAGATCATGTCATTGAAATTGGTCTTGCTCGCCCATCTAGCATTGCTGTGCTTGGGGGTTCCCATGGTGGCTTCCTTACAACACACTTAATTGGCCAGGTAGACTAGTTTATACCACGATAATTCCAATATATCCTAATTAGTCAATTTTCCTCATATGATATAGCAGGGATGTCTTCTGAAGTGGAGATATTTCTCTCTAACTTTCCACAGGCACCTGACAAGTTCGTTGCAGCAGCAGCAAGAAATCCTGTTTGTAATCTTGCATCAATGGTTGGCACAACAGACATCCCTGATTGGTGCTACGTGGAAACATATGGGACTAAGGGAAAAAATAAATTTACAGAAGCACCTTCAGTGGAAGACCTGGCTCTTTTTCACAGCAAGTCTCCCATATCACACATTGCAAAGGTACTCTGGACCAGTTTCTACTATGATGTTTTATAGCTAATGCTGGTGCTCCTTTTGGAAGAACTAATAATAAAAAGGTATATGATGGCCCAACTCCAAATAAAATAAACTAAAAAAAGTTAGTTTTCAAAATGTATTGTAAAAATGAATTCCGCGAGCTTGGTTATTCCCGGTGTACAACTTTAGTGCCTACTATTAGCTAGATTCACAAAGATGCAACTGCATGCTATTGGCTTACAGCATTTGTGCTAATTGGCAATTATGTCTACGAATGTATTGCATTGATACAAGTAGGGTGCACCAATGCTATAACATGTGAAAGTCAGTGCTTTTGGTCTATGGTTTGAGCAAAACATTTTTTGTGAAGGAAAAACAAAAGGTTTTTGGAATAAAGAATTTCAGCCTTCTTGGCATGGCAAACAAATTTCTTTTTTTTTTTTTTATTTATCGTGAATTATTTGGACTACTTCCCCACTATGCAGCTGAAGTGGCTGTAATAATGACCTTGCTTTCTTCAGTCAGGAATTCTGAAATTCGCAACTTCTTTTCCCTTAAAGAACAATGATGCATGTATTTTGGATTATCATACTTGTTTAACAGTGGGACTAACTGTTCATACTTTAACCAAGAATTTGGCTGTTGAACCTTGATATTTTATGATCCATGCAGGTCAAAGCACCGACAATCTTTCTTATAGGTGCGCAGGATCTTCGAGTTCCCATGTCTAACGGCTTGCAAGTAAGATAACTTACCCTTTTCAAGTATTTTCATGGTTGACAATTTACTTTAATTTTTCGGTTTGATTATTGTTTCTAAAGCATGGATGATCACACATCTTCATTGCCATGATAACAAGATTCAAAATCACAAACATGGGTAGGGGGAATTTTCTGGATGTAATATTTCTCATAATACGATCAATTGATGACTTCGATCTTTGAATGTGTAGTATGCACGGGCATTGAAAGAGAGAGGAGTTGATGTCAAAATCATCATGTTTCCTAATGATGTTCATGGAATCGAGAGGTAAATATGTGCCACAAAATTCTTATGCGTCCTAGTGAACAGAGAAATGACTAAAGCCAAATCCCCATGTTAATTTGTCTGATTGACGCTTGATACATGTTCTTTTTCTGCAGACCACAATCGGACTTCGAAAGCTTCCTAAACATTGGAGTGTGGTTCAAGAAATACTGCAAATGAATGCATTTACAGACAAAATGTACTAACCATTACAGAGATTGAGGATCAAATCCACTTGTAAACTTCTTTTTTTCTTTGATCAATATATCCACATCCATTGTGGAAGTTTGCATTTCTTATATTAATAAGTGATATTTCCTGTTTCGGTTACTATGCATTGATGGGTAGAAAAATGAAGTTACATCTCCACACTCAAAATCATATCGTAGAAAGTGACATAATTTCTTTCATATTAAAACTTATAAATACTAAATATGATTTTTTATTTACACACTAAGGCATAATCTATTGCTAATTGCATTATGATAATATATTCAAATTTGAATTCTTCCGTTCCCAATATTCAAAAAAAGGTTTTGGAAGTAAAATTTCTAAATCTTCCAAGTAAAATTCGAAGCCCACGTGTGTTAAACGGGAAACGTACAAGACATCCCTTAGGGAAACAAGGACCCCAACACTAACGTCGTCCGTCAAATTTTTTAACAGAAAAAAAGGAAGAAAATTACTATTCGATCCTTTTTGTTAGTAAAACTAACTATTAAGTCCTTATATTTTTAAAAATAGATGAATGTCTTTATAATGTTATATAGTTTTAATACGCAACGACCCGTTAGTTATTTTTTGAAAATTATAGGAATGAGATAGTTAGTTTTATCAAATTAAAAAGGACTAAATGATAATTTTCCGAAATGAAAATTCATTTATCAACTCGTTCGGGTCTTCATAAACTGCTAGAAAAATGTTGGATAACTTGATTAACTAGAACTAGAAGAGCTTATGTGATTTACTTTGAGTCGACATAGATGTTCATCCTAACATTTGAAGATTTGATTACCCAATGCTGTTAAATTCTTGAATACCTAACTTCAAGAATATTAGATTTCTCTTCCGTACCCATTTCAGAAAAAGAAGAAGAATGTATTTGAAGCTATATTTAGATAGCAATTACTTATTCATATCGAGCTCCACTACCAGAACCTCACCAAATGTTGGAGTTTCAGTGTCCACAAAAAGTGGACCTTCTTTATCTCCATTAGAAAAAATTGACTCTGTCAAGAAATTTCGAGGACAGAGACTGCTTGAGACGTCCAATGGTCGTGATAAAGCATTTGCCTTTGTTCATAAACCTAAGTTTCGGAAACAGGGTTTAGAAAAGAACTCAGATAGAGAACAGAGGAACGCAGACGACGCTGCTAAATTTGCTAAAAAGAAGGGTTTGTGGCCTAAATTGATTGCGGTGAATGGTAATGGTTCCATTGAGAAAGTGCACACCAAGTGTTCGACGAAATGGGCAAATTATGGCGGTTGCATTCCAGCAATTTTGCAATCTTTGGATGGGATTGAAGATTTGGATGAGGCGTTGAAACCTTGGGAAGATACACTCAATAATAAAGAGAGGAGCATAATTTTGAAAGAGCAGTGTAGTTGGGAAAGAGCTTTTGAGATTTTTGAGTGGTTTAAAAGAAAAGGTTGTTATGAGTTGAATGTGATTCATTACAATATCATGATTAGGATTCTTGGCAAAGCACGGCAATGGAGCCACCTTCAATGTTTGTGCAATGAAATGAATGCGAAACTGATTTTGCCTATCAATTCCACATATGGTACATTGATTGATGTCTATAGCAAAGGTGGCCTTAAAGAAGAGGCACTCTATTGGCTTCAGAAGATGAACGAGCAAGGAATTGAACCTGATGAGGTAACAATGGGAACTATAGTGCAAATGTACAAGAAGGCTAGGGAATTCCAAAAAGCTGAGGATTTTTTCAAGAAGTGGTCGATGGGTGAATCTCTGAAGCATGAAGGCATCAGTAAAGCAAGTTCCAGAATGAAGATTGAGACAGGAGTGAATGTTTCTTTGAGCTCATACACATACAATAATTTGATAGATACATATGGAAAAGCTGGGCAACTAGAAGAAGCTTCCAAAACTTTTGCGGAGATGCTTAGAAGAGGGATTGCGCTGACAACAGTGACTTTCAATACAATGATTCACATTTGTGGTAATCATGGCCAACTTGAAGAAGTGGCTTTACTTTTGCAGAAGATGGAAGAGCTTCGATGCTTTCCTGATACAAGGACATATAATATTCTAATTTCCCTTCATGCTAAGCACAATGATATAAACATGGCAATTAGCTTCTTTAAAAGGATGAAGGAAGATAAATTACAGCCAGACCTTGTGAGTTATCGTACCCTCCTGTATGCATTCTCAATAAGGCACATGGTCAATGATGCAGAAAATTTGGTATCAGAAATGGATGAAAAGGGTTTAGAGATTGATGAGTATACACAATCAGCTTTGACTAGAATGTACATTGAAGCTGAGATGCTTGAGAAGTCATGGTTATGGTTCAGGAGATTTCATCTGACCGGAAATATGAGTTCCGAGTGTTATTCTGCCAGCATCGATGCATATGGGGAGCGTGGACATATTTTGGAAGCAACAAAAGTTTTTACCTGCTGTCTAGGGCAGAACAAGCTTACTGTCCTTGTGTTCAATGTGATGATTAAAGCATATGGTTTGGCAAATAATTATGATAAAGCATGTAGCTTGTTTGATAGTATGGAGAGTCATGGTGTAGTTCCAGATAAATGTAGTTATAGTTCTCTGATTCAGATTTTGGCTAGTGCTGACTTGCCAGACAAAGCAAAATGCTATCTGAAGAAGATGCAAGAGGCAGGACTGGTTAGCGACTGCATCCAATATTGTTCTGTGATCTCAAGCTTTGTGAAACTGGGTAAACTAGAAATGGCAGAGAAGCTGTATAAGGAGATGATTGGCTGTGATGTGAAGCCGGATGTAATAGTTTATGGTGTGTTGATAAATGCTTTTGCTGATGCTGGAAGTGTAAAGGAAGCTATCAGTTATGTGGATGCTATGAGAAGAGCAGGTTTGCCTGGAAATACGGTCATATACAACTCCTTGATCAAGCTCTATACCAAAGTTGGCTACTTGAGGGAAGCACAAGAAACATACAAACTGCTTCAATCATCAGAAGTTTGTCCTGATGTATATTCTTCAAATTGTATGATAGATCTCTACAGCGAGCAATCTATGGTCAAACAAGCAGAAGAGATTTTTGAGAGCATGAAGAGAAAAGGGGTTGCAAATGAATTTACTTTTGCAATGATGTTATGCATGTATAAAAGACTTGGTAGATTTGATGAAGCCATTCAAATTGCAAAACATATGAGGAATGAGGGACTTTTGACTGATTTGTTGAGCTATAACAATGTGCTCGGATTGTATGCATTGGATGGAAAACTCAAAGAGGCAGTAGGAACTTTCAAGGAAATGATAGCAGCTGCTATACAGCCTGATGATTGCACATTTAAATCTCTTGGAGTAGTTTTAGTGAAATGTGGAATCTCAAAACAGGCCATTGGCAAGCTAAAAGCAAAGACGAAGAAGGATCCTCACAGTGGTCTGCAGGCGTGGTTGATGAATCTTTCTGCTGTCGTTGAGGTAGATGATGATGACGTTAGTGATGATGTGTAATTGACATCTCAGCAAAATTTCTCAGTGGAAAAACTAGGTGTAGGTATAATTAAACTAGGTGATAGATTGTACATTTCATTTTTGTACTCCCGCCATTTTGTGCATTTTCATGAATGAAAATAAAAATGTGTATACAAGTGTCGATGAACCTAGCTACCTGTATATTCAGAATCTATATAATCTGTACTATAATTGCTTTCATGAATATATTTCATTGCCTCTGTGGATTGTACTTTCAACTAGGTGGTAGACTACATATTTCCTTCTTTGTACTCCCACCTTTTTCTGCATTTTCATGGATGAAAATAAAGATGCGTATACTGCTTTCGTAATCAGAATCTGTATTTAATTGCTTTCACGAATCTATTTCATTTTGATAGAACCCACAGTTGATGAATGTATATTATTGCATTGATAAAACCAATGAGTTATTTTTGTACAGACATTTAAGGTCCATGATGCTATTTCAAGCTATTTCTGTTCCATACAAAGAAATCTTGAGTCTTGTCAAGCCAACAGTATGTAGCACCAATAATGGAGATCAGACAAGCTTATGCGTCACAAATTGGATGGTAGTTGAACCTTGACACGGAAGCCACATTATTTATATCAAACAAAGCTTTTATGGTTACTGAAACATAAACCTGCAGTTCTTGTTACAAAGGTACTGCTTTTATGCCATATGCCAAACCAAAAACGCAAACAGAAGTAAAATCCCAATCCAACTAAAATCGAGACTAAATTTACAAACGTAGAAAAGGAAAGATCAAAAAACAAATCTAATACAAGTTTAAAACTAAAATCTAGACTGAAATTAAGGAATTTTCCAATATACAAAGATCATCTTGTTTTCCATTAGAGCATACACTCTATTATTTCGTACCGTGTCAATTATGCCATTGAAGAACAACATCTTGAAGCCCATCCTTCAACTGCCCCCATTCATCCTCCTCAAACTCTAACCCACCACCACCACAACCAACACCCACCACCTTAACTTCCACCACCATTAGCCTCTCTGCTATCTCCAACACTTCAAACACCAAAACTACTCGACCTTTCCCTAGCCCAATTGCTCCACCCTTCCCTTCCTCAATTCTATACCCTAGTCCTCCACCAACCTCTCTTACCCTCTCCATAATTCTTTCCACCTTCTCCGCTGAAGTAAATCTCTTTTCTGTTCTATTTGTAGCCTCAAAAAGCCCTGATAGATCCAACCCTGAAGATAAGGATATTATATCAAATGCATTAACACCCGAGTTATCAAATTTAAAAAATTTGTTATTTTCCAATTCGAAAACGCTACTTTGAGTTGGTAACTCATAGTTTTTCATGAACCAGGAATGATTCATTAGCTGTTCTATGCTCATTCTGGTAGTGGGATTCGGGTCAAGAAGCTGTGTTATGATCGATTTAGCTGATTTTGAGATTGGAGTAGGCATTTGATAGTCTCTTTTATGAATTTTCTTATACATGACTGCGAGATTACTATCATCAAACGGCAACTTAGCTGACAGCAGAAAGAAGAGAATTACTCCACAAGACCACGCATCCACTTTCGGACCCTCGTAACCCCGCCGTGCCATCACCTCCGGCGCCGTGAAAGCTGGTGTTCCACAAGCCGTCTGGAGGACACAGCTGTCGTTTTGGATCTCAGCCAACGCCGACAGACCGAAATCAGATACTTTAAGATTACCATTTTCGTCGAGGAGAAGATTCTGAGGCTTAACGTCACGGTGAGCGACTCCATTCTGGTGGCAAAAATGGAGAGCTGAGACGAGCTGTTGAAAGAACCAGCGAGCCTTAGATTCTTTTAGTTTGCCACGCTGGAGAACTTTGGAGAACAGCTCGCCGCCTAGGGCAAGCTCCATTACCAAGTAAATTTTAGTCTTGGTAGCCATCACTTCATGTATTTTAAGAATATTAGGATGATGTTGAAGGCGTCGCATGGCGGAGATCTCACATATGATCCGGGGCTCCATCGCAGCATCCACCGTCTTTGTTTTATCAATTATTTTGATCGCCACCATATTGTTGTCCACCAATGAACGAGCAGAATAAACCTTTGCAAAGCTGCCGCGACCCAATAATCTAACAAGTTCATACCTATTGAGAAGGGTGGTGGGGAGGGTGGCGGAGGGAGTTCTGGCGAGTGTGGTGGATGGGGTTCTCGCCGGAGGAGATGATCGCGGCGGTTGTTGAGCCCGTGGTTCCATGGTCCAAGGGTTACGGAAACCGAAATCGGTGGAGATAGTTGGCAACCTAACCCAGGAGAACGCACGGGACGGGATTTCAGCAGCAAGCCTTTTGTTTTTATAAGCGGCAGCTTGTTATTTGTTGGGTTGTAACTTGGAAGGTTGTTTTGAGTTCAGGTGGCCATTAGCTGGTGTATTCCCGAAATTACCCTTATTTGTTCTGTTTGGTTGGGTGGATCTTCAGCGGATCAAGGAATCGTATAGCTGTATCGTTTACACGTTTTAATGCGCGGTGGTCTTTTCGGAATATATAGCAACTCTTTCAAATTATTAGTATTGTTTTCCATAACTAATTATTTTACAGACTAATGTCAGTATCGTAATCTGTTATTATTATAACTAAATAAATTTAATACTAATAATTAAAGAATAAATTATTTTGAAGTCTAATATGCACCGTGAAAAATATGATTTTTTTTTTTAATTTTCGTTTTGATATTTTATAATACAATATGTAGTCATTTTCTCTATCCCTGCACCGGTGCATTGTATTTATAAATCGTCATGTTTTGGAAATGTTCAGATTATGATAAATTATTTTATATTGTTGAATTAAAAATTCTCTTGTGTTTATCTTTCATTAAATAATTATTTTAACACTTTTTAACTTAAAGAAATTATAAAAATTCACTTGAGTTTATCTTTCATCAAAATTTTTTTTTTTGGTAAAAATTTATTTTTATTACTTAAAATTTATAAGTAGTGGTGACAAATTCACTCCTATGTTTTATTTTCGTATATAGTATTGAGATTTTAACCATAGGAGTAAATTAATCAAATTCAATTCAATTATGTATTTAATATTAAACTTATAATGAGTTGGGCTTACCTTTAACACAAAATGACCTAATCATTTTTTTTATTGCTTCACCATTCACATTATATACTCGTTTAGTTAGTTGTATTTATCCTGTGTGAGATTACCCATATGCTCCAACATATAGTTAAATATTGTTGTTTAAATTAAAATAATACTGTAATATTTTTCACTTGGTGAAATTATAAATAAAGGAAAGGATTTGCTTATTAGAATCACACCAAAAAAATAATATTGGAAGTTATAATTTCCGGTGTTTGGCTACATGTGAATATTATATTATTTGAATATATGTATATATGAGAGTAATTTAACATCTAAAAGGTGGAAACGTTATATTTTCATATGAATGAAAATTAAGAATATTATTACTTATAATTATAAAAATATTTAATTGATTAAATTTGATGGAAAGTTTTTTGAACTTTTAATTTTCACCATTAATTTTAATTTAAGTTGTTTAAATATATAATTTTTAGTGTTTAATCGACAGTTAAATTTTATGTTATTTGACATATGTATGGAAGAGCTTAACATCTAAAAACATGAAAATTATATTTCTATTTAAATAAAAAATAAGAATTTTATTACTGTTAAGTCATAAAAACATGTTTAAAGTTTCATTTTTAAAATTAATAAAATGATAATTTAAAGATTTATAGTTAGTTTTTAAAAATACAAATTGTAATAGATTAATTTGATTATAATTTATGAACCGATTTATATTTTTTTTTCCTTAAAAAAAAAAAAAATTTCCGCGGCAAGACGGGCGGGTGACTTTTGCTTGTACTAACTAAAACATAAAAGGTGATGTCGAACAACTATCGTTGGCCCTGTATATATATATATCATGAACATAGAACTTGAGAGTGAAAGACTAATAAAGAGGAAAGAAACAAAAGCAAAAGATATTAATTTAATTGTTTTCGGATATTTTCATGACATGAAGGCAAGGTGTGCTCTACCACTTCCATTATTGATTTATTATATTAATATTAATTATAAATCACTCCTATTTTCTTACCTCTTTTCCCTGCAACTGCAATGGAAGCAGGTGATAGATTAAGATTGCTTGTGATAGTGAAAGCAACACCCACATTCATAATTATTATGCTGCCAAAGCCAGGTATTAAACAAAATTATCACTCCACTTTAAGAAAAATCAAGTTGCCTAATCACCGTACATTATTTTTTAAGCCTTGTCTGTGCTATATCCCAATATAATAAAAAATGATTAAAGGAAACTACTTTTTTTTTTTCTTTCTTTCTTTAGTAATCTTTTTCTTTCGATATAGTTTGATTAACTTGAATATGCAAAAGCATTAAGCATCGTGATGACCAAGAAAGTCTAACTGGCCATCACTAACAAAGGCTAATAATCAATCAACCAATCAGATTTTTACTAGTTTTCTGCTACTTGTCTTTCCTGGTCAAAGTAGCAGCCCACATTGCATTTCGAAATTTCATTCCACCTCACAATTAAAAATGTACTCTCACGTATCTAACTATATGTTAATTGAATTATCTTTAAAAAAAAAAAAAAAAAAATCTCTGAACCTTCCGTTGCATCGATTGGGGTCACCGCATATGGTTGCAAGCAAGTGGCCAACTAGCATTTTGCTTTTAGAGAGGCTTTACAAGGTCAAACTTCACGAGACTAATTGACTTGGGGGATAATTACGTAATTTGGCAAACGCCAAAGTCAGTGGTTGGCGGCTCCGCTCCGCTCCGTTCCTCTCTTCCTCAGCGATTGGACTTGCAAATTAATGTTTGGTTTTTGTTTGGTGGCATGACCCGCGAGGTCGCATTTTCTTTGTCATGTAGTTTGGCGGTTGTTGCATCACTCTATGTCTGAGTTGGACCGCTGTGGTTGTGCCACATCATCATATAGGTCACCGTTTTTTCTCGAACGTACACCCTCTAGGCCACGTGGGACCCATTCGCATATCAAATCAGCGCGCATGCTTTTGAGTAAAATATTGAATAATAATCGAAGTTTTGTAATATTTTCTATTTATAAATATTTTTTTAATGAGATTCAAATCAACCATTGTCATTGCTAAGTTGTCTTGTTATTAGTCAACAGTATATAATTTCCACCTAACTTCGAAATGAGAAAATAGATATCCGTTATTTTTTAATTAGAGTTTTGAATTCGAACAGTAAATATGAAGTATTTTTAAATATTTAATATAAAATGGTTTATCCTTTTATGATTTATTTGGTGTAAATTTAAATTAATTAAATTGTGGATTTCGAATACTAAATAAATAAAAAATATATAAATGTTATTAAGTTGTCATTTTTTAGCTTGGCTCCCCAATACTGTTCTTTACACTTCCAAAATCTTGATTGGCCCACTTCTTTTTATATGAAGGAAGTACATAGCTGCTCCATTATGTGACATCTACTCCGAGTCGAGTCTTAGCATAGAGTTGAGTAGTTGAGTTGAGTCGAGTTGAACCAAACCCGGTTAAGGTAGAATGAGATTGTAAGTGGATTTGAGTGAGAGAAAAAGATTAAAGCATGTAGGTGAGGAGTGATTTGCATTAAAAGATTGAGCTTGGGGCTTGGGTATTAAGTTGTAGCCTGTTTACAATTGAGGTACCATTTATGAAGTTTTTCATAAAATCCTTTGATTTTTGATGGCCTACCCGTAATACCCATTTCACTTTCCCATTTTCATCTTTATCTTCATCTTCTTCATTTTCTTCCGTTCCTCTTCCACCTTACTTTCAATTTTAATGGTAGTCAAGCCTTAACTTCAACTTCTCTTTTATCAAAGTAAGTAAACCTTCTTAAAGTTCATAATTGAATCATTTGGTGTTATTATTTTAGAATTCATAAGAAGTCTTATTTATAGGTGAAGGGAGTTCAAAGAATTGAATCATTTGGTGCTATTATTTTAGAATTCATAAGAATTCTTATTTATAGGTGAAGGGAGTTCTAAGAGTGTAGAGAAAAGAAGCTCAGAGGAGCTCAAGCTTTTGGAGTAAAGGTTTGATATCAGCATGTCAGACCATACAGTCAACCAGTTTGTAGCGTCTCGACTCGGTTCATTCGGGTTTACGGGTGGACCGGGAAAGGATGTTACACATTATGAATATGAATCTTTTTATTATGTTCCATTTATTCAATTCAGATTTGATATATACTACCTTTCAAAAAAATTTGGATTTGATATTTAGCTTTTAGATCTTTTATGTTTTTCATCATTAAAATATAAAGTGTACATAATTAATGCATTAATTCTCAAGAATAAGTCTTATTATATATTTTCCGTTTCTAAATATTTGTCATATATTTAGATATCCACGTCCTTTAAGAAAATAATTCAATTTGTCTAATTTACAATAAATTATTAAGTGAATAGATTATATCACCCTTAACTTATCGAAGTTACAATAAATTATTGAGAAAGTGAAACAATCACCATTGGTCATATATAAAAGATAAAAATAAAAAAATTATTATTTGTGAAATGGCAAATATAACAAGTATTGTGAAACATAATACTTTTTCAAACGTCATAAATATTTGAGAACGGAGGAAATATTGATAATTTTGGGTGAAGGAAAATGACAAAGTTCTAAATTTGTTTTTGCAAATTAAAGAGTTAGGTTTGAAAAATATACGTGAAGACTTATATAACATTCTTCCAAATTTGATACAAATTTTAAATTTAACAATTTGGCAAAAACAAAAAGCCTAATATATTATTTTACTCAAAATTTTGCCAATTCCGGTAATTTTATTCTATTGTGACCTTCCTATCAATTTCATTTTATTAACGACCTTAATAAGGTGAAATTAGCTTGAAATTCATAATAGAGTGAAATTGCACCGATTTGGTAAGTTTGGAATAAATTAATACATTAGGCCAAAATATAAAAGAAATGTTGCATTGTAATTAGAAGTATAGACAAGATTTTAGGTTGTGCTATTAGATATATGGCACAATCATGTATTATTAAATGTAATTTTATTAATGCAAGTATCTCCACTATAAAAAAAGAGTTAAAATGGGATTTGGTGGAAAATAATTTTTTTTATCCACTAGATTTTACATAAGATTTTTAAACTTTTTCATAAATACTGGGGTCAAATATATAATTTTCTAAATATTTAGATGCATTTCTTTCTCTCTCTTTTTTTTTTTTAATTTCTTATTGAATTATTAGCTAGCTATTAATTATTGAAAAAATAAATATTAAAAATTCAAAATTTACTATTTAAATAATTTATTTTACATCAAACATCCTCAGATATGAATTAATTTTCAATAAATTGTTTAATTAAAGTTTATTAATTTATTTTTATATGTTGTGGCCAATATATAAAACACTTCCCTTTAAGTAAAATGATATTTCAAACATAAATTATTAAAAGATTTGCATCTTAAAGACGGCATAACCAAAATGTGTGGACTATAGTGTATATGACATATTCATTGTCCCCTTACATGCCATTATCAGTGATTATGATAGGTTCATTAGCGTTTCCATTTGTGGCACACGGTTTTTCGTTGGGGGTCCATTTTTGCCACTATCACATATTGCATAATTTGCATTTCATGTCAAATGACAAATCAAATATTTAACTTTAATCAATTGCCCTTTTCTTAAATTAAATATGATAATTAATACCCTTCTATTTTTTTAATATCTGTCATTTTATAATTTTTTTTTAATTTTTAAATAAGTCACGTGTTATGATTCCAATACTTCATTAGATATTTTATTTCTTAATGCAACAACGAAACCATTCATTTTGAACAACAAAGAACGATTAATTAAGTCCGACAACAGGTTTACCATTCTATTACAAATATAGTCTTTTGATTTTTATTTTTGTTAAAATTTAATATTTATTACTTTTTTTAATTCGTATGCAAAAACCTTAAATAATATAACTTTTTTTACATTCGTATGCAAAACCTTAAATTATATACTATCATATATATTATATTATATATATATATGATATATATAATAACAGAGATAATACTATTATATAATTAATAACGTTGTTGTGGGTCCCTCCGATATGTGGGACCCACATGTTTTGAAAAAGAAAAAAAAAAAGAAAACGTGTTCTTTGAAGAAAGAAAAAAAAGAAAAGGAAAAGTCTAACAAAGCATGCAATTTTTTTGACAAAATGGAGGCTCTCTCGTGACCTCTCCTATAAATAGAGGTAGCTAAGCCTCAAGAAAAATACACAGCAGAAAGGAAGAAAAAAAATGTAGCGTGACAGTTATCTTCCTAAAACTAGGGGAGGGAAAAATAGTGAGAAAATTATTATGGGGTATTTTTGGGAAACACTTGGGGAACCACTATTTTTGTATTACTCTCTTGGTGTACCTACTATTTTTAATAGTGGAAGAATTATTCGGTATAGTGGAGAGAATTTATTCGTGAGTTTTTATTTTGTCCGTGGACGTAGCCGAAACAGTCTGAGGGTGGAACCACGTAATTTCTGTGTGTCCCCATTTTGATAATTTTTTTTCTTTTTTTCCGCTGCGTCATTTTCTCTTATAAATTGGTTGAAAGGGCAACAAGTGGTAATCAAGAGATTGATGTCCAAAAGCTGGTATCAGAGTTGATAATAGTGGAAGAATTATTCGGAGTTTGTCCCGTGGACGTAGCCCGAAACAGTTGAGGGTGAACCACGTAAATTTCTGTGTGTCCCATTTTGATAATTCCGCTGCGTCAATTTTCTCTTAATTGGTTGAAAGGGCCCAACAAGTGGTATCAGAGATGATGTCCAAAAGCTGGTATCAGAGTTGATGCCTAATACTAGGAAACTCCATAATAGCAGAAAAATATATAAAATTGTTACTCTCCTTATTACGAAATCTACTAATCAATTTTATAATTGATTATTATATATAATTACAAGAAATATTGAAAATAATAATATTTTTTTTTATTAATCACATCTATCCTCACTTTATTGGTTTATAAATAAATCGTGCTCACACCGAATCAATCTAGTAAAAGATAAAGTACTATCAATAATTATTTATTTCATCCATGAGGATTAAATTTTCCACATTACTTAAGAGAGAAAAATATTGAATCACTTGTCCCGTGCGCAAAAACTAATAACAAACATTATTGCTGCTAAAAGTGTAAAAATAGCTACCATAAGGTAACAATAGCAAAAGTAAAAGTGTACTAACTACACTTTTTACTATTATCTTCTATCAAGAAGAAAAAAATTTATAATGTTGCTACTATTAAGATTAAGAAAAGAATAAAAGAATTAAATTATATTTTAATTACTTTTGTTTCTTTTACTTGTATTTTTGTAAATCATATATTTTGTATTCTTTTGTTTTTTTGTTTGCAAAAGAAAAAAAAAAAAAAGAAGTACAAGCAAAAGAATCTTGATGTTGGACTGTTAGTCAGATAGTGATTATAAACATATTTTAGTTAAGCACACTTGGTTGGAATTATGTAGCAATTAAGGATTAGGCAGGCCACTATATTAGAATACACCAAGCACCAACAACAATTAATTAATGTAACAAATTGATTATTTGACTCTAATTTTCTAACCTTTTGTTGGGATGGGTGTATTTTTTTAGAGAAGGAAAATAATTATGAAAAATATACAGGCAAATGTAATATTTCATTTATTTTTTATCCGAGCCCACATGTTTTGAATCTTTCCAATTTAGAGTGAAAATAATGAAGGAAAGTGGAAATTTCACTCATTCTTATTGAATTAATCAAATACTCCAAATTAATTAACAAAGTTTATCTCTTTCTTAAATAGTATTATCTCATAATATAAGTGAGGATATAATTGTCAATTTTCAATAATAACATTTATTTTCTTCTAAAATTTTTTCTTTTTCAAACAAAAGAAAATATAATTATTTTCTTTCCTCGATCATATCCAAACAGAAGTGTCGAAAATAATTATGGAAATGAAGTTGATAATTTCTCATTATTTTTTTTTTCTCTCATTTCCAAACAAACGGCAGGTCTATTAAGAATAATATTAAAAGTTAGGTTAATTTAAAAAATTAATCCTTTCACTATTGGCTATTTAATTTTTTATTTAGTATACTATTGCCTAATTAGTTGGCTAGAAAAGCAATTCAACTAACTAACATAATTAATTATTGATAGATAGAAACTTCATGTAATTGGATGCATTGGTTTACTTTCAAAAAAAATAATGTTTCAAGAGTATGAAAAATCTTAACCATGAGGTATAATAATTTACAACTTGATGATTTTTTTTTATGGCTTAGTCAGTTTTTATCCATAGGCTTCTGTCGATTTGACAGGGCATCTACGTGGACCAATGACAAGGCATCATTAGATATTATATTCCGTATTGGACGATTATTGATTAAGTATTAGATTTAGATGTCATTATCACTAATTAAAACAAACCATTTTACTCAACAAAGAAACACTATTAGCATTCTAATATGGTAATGTAAAGACCAAAGTGTGCCAACAAGATTATATTCATACAAAAATATCCTTTGTCCTTTGATCATTTCAAGAAACCATATCTCTAACTAACTAAAACCGGCATTATTTGACTTTTTAGCAGCTGATTTTTATTATTAATAATAATATTCGTTATTTATTCATTTATTTATTGTTTTAATAAAAAAAAAATCTTGAATTTGTTTTTATTAGTTTAAGGTTCTATTACAAGGAATCGCTATCTATACAAGAAATTATATTACATGGTGAGATCGGTTTAATTAATGAAAATTGATCTTTGGATTTTGTGATGATCTTAACTTATTCCCATGTGCATTAGCAATGCAAATTAAAAACTGCAAAAAATAAAAAGAAGAAAAAAAAAATTAAGAAGCAGTCTCATTGTCTCTTGCTGTGCATCAAAAGGCCAGAGCTTTATCCTCAAAAAAGAAAAAGAAAAAAAGGTGACGGGGTTTGCATCTTTTGAAGGCCATAAGATCATCTTTCTTGATTTTGCGATAAGCTTATGCAGGCAATAGGTCAGAGAGTGATGAACAAAAATTTAATAGAATAATTGGTTTGCATATATCTATAACTATATATCTCATTTGGTTCATGAAATGATATGAAACATGTGGAAAATAAAATATTTGTTCACATCTTTAGTTCAAATTTAAATATTGAAAATAATTATGTAATGAAATTGTAAATTATATCTCAAATTTTAATTGAATTTAGAAAAATACAATAGCTTATTATCTGTAAATTTTTTTAATTCAATTAGGAAAAGTTTTTACAAAAAAAGAGAAATAAATTTAGCAAATATTCTAAGGCAATTCCTTTAAAAAAAAAAAATATTTGAAGGCAATTAGGCAAGAGAAATATTTTAATTAGGAATTCTAATATTTTTGTAAGATAAAATAAAAACAGCATTAGAAATTTATTATTATGACAATTTCAACTCAAATAGGAATATGAATTCAGTTAAGAATCCTAATATTAAAAAAAGAAAAAAAATATTTTAATTCAGTAAGGAATCTTGATATATTTATAAAAAGAAAATTGCAGAAATAATTTTAATTTTTCTTTTTTAAATGGAGAAATAATTTTAATTTAATTAGTCTAAAAACATCGTTTCGGTTTTTATTAAAAAAAAAAAAAAAAAAAAAAATGAATTCAGTTAAGAAATCCTATATTAGAAAAAAAGAAAAAAAATATTTTAATTCAGTAAAAAAGGAATCTTGATATATTATATAAAAGAAAATTGCAGAAGATAATTTTAATTTTTCTTTTTTAAAATGGAGAAAATAAATTTTAATTTAATTAAGTCTAAAACAATCCGTTTCGGTTTTTATTAAAAAAAAAAAAAAAAAAAACCCCCTAACCGAGTCTGTAAACCGAACTCTTTCGGTTTGAGAATTAAAAAAAAAAAAAAAAAAAAAAACCTACGAGTCTGTAACCGACTCTTTCGGTTTGATTAATCAAAATTAATTCCCTTCTATGAGGCCCACACTCCTGCTTCCTGCAAGAGTACAATCTTTTGTTATATGGACTGTGTTTCAGATAGTCTTATCAACAAGCCCAGAATGATCAGGCTAGGCCGGTTACAAATATTATCTCGGCTCAAATGTGTTTTCTAGAGTCTATCTAAAGTTTATTTCTTTTTTCGAAATAATCTGGAGTCTAAAGATCTTCGCGTCTGGCGAGTTTCTGAGGCAAGAAAAATTTTCTCGGGAAAATGTCGTCGTTGGGTACATCAAAGGGGATTTTGGAGATCGCCAAGTTTGGTGTGTATGTGACTGTACCCATATTTCTTATGTACACTTTCGCCAACAATACCAAGAATCTCCAGAAGTTCATGGGAAATGTACTCTCTTTTACTCTCTCCTTCTTCATATTCGTATAATTTCGAGATTGATTAACTTGTTTTTAGTATTGATTAACTTGTTTTTAGTTGAGTGCTATCTAGATTTAGGAAGGGTATAGTGATTAGTTACCGAAATTATTCCAATTTTATCATCTTTCAAGATGATGGTTCTGGGTTTGCTATTCTCTAGTTCATATGTGAAACCTTTCTTTTCGCTTCGGGGAGAACCAAAGCATGTCTGGTTTTGTAGTCGTTTTAGGTGATTGCTCGAGTTTAATGTTGAAATTTCACGAATTGGTTATTCAGGATGACCTCCTACAATTGGAGAATTAGAATATCAATATACACTCTTTTGTTTCTCTGCTGAAAAGTAGTACAATTACGTAAATTATGGAGTCTTTTGGGGTTATCTGTTAGTATCCGTGTACCATCTAATTTAATATACAAGCAGTGGCAACAGGTGCCTTTCGATCCCCAACTTCTTCTTCTCTTTTTTATTTTAAAAATTTCCTCTTCTTCTTTTTTTTTTTTAATCAATACTCTGGAATACATTGGATGAATCACTTTTTTGGAGGTTTTAAGTTATTGCAGCAAAAAGAATTGGGCTTATTAGTGCTCTCAACAAATCCTTCTGTGAGGTCATGTTGTTCAAAATTAGGAATAACTACGATATTCTCTTAGGGTCTGCAACGAAGTTCATATTTTTTATCCTGAGGAGGTTTATGTTAGTAGTGGATGCAGTGACACCAATATTGCTTGGATATCTATGGAGCATTAATTTAGAGATCTACACTATGTACGTATATAAATAATGGATGATTTGATATCCTTGGATTAAGATCAATTTCTATCCTATTTGGCTATGGGAGCAGATAGGCATCTCACTTCTTCCTTAATCTAATATGAGATTGCTTTTTTATATTAAGATGAGTTCTTGGGATCTGATTGTTTTCTGAACATGAGAAGACCCTTAATGACCTCTTCCTATTGAGCCAAAGTTCCTTGAGAAGGTCATTTTTTCTAAAACTGGATTGACTGTAAGTGTCTGGAGAAAATGGACTGAATTCCAATCTCGAGCTCTCCAATTTGTTGCTTAGTGCTATTTTGATGTGTTTCTAAGTGAAATTGATCTTTAGGTTGCCTTTTTGGTGTTAGTTTTGATACTTAACATTTCTTAGGTATTTTCTTTATTATTGGAATGATCCTGATATTAATGTGATTGTAGCAACCGGTTTTAGGGAAGTGAACCACATGCATTATCTCAATAGGTCATCAAATGTAGAATAATGTGTTCTATATCTCTTATTCTCATGCCATATCTTAAATTCTTCTAGATTAGTGATTTCTTGTGCAGTGTAACTATAACTTTTTCTTGTTCTGTTGTCATTGAAATGATGGCTTTGTCTTCAGTTTTTAATTATATTCTTGTGCTCTCTCTGTCTATCTTTCTGAAATTTATTTTTGTATTCTTAGTTTGATCTGTCATCTGATCTTGTAAGCTCTTGTTTCTGTTTTGACATGAAGCGGTCCTATGTAGTATATCCCCCAGAGGCACCAAGGCCTCCCTCACCAGAGGAACTAAGGGAAATGGCACGAGAATTAGCTCGTGAGAGGAAGATTCGTTGATATGCTAGCAGTAAATGACTTGTTTCTTTGAGTTGTATTAAACAATATATGTATAATATGCAGCTATATGCTTTAAAGGATTTTGTGCCAATCATGAAATAAAGTCTTGTGTGGAGAATTTTCGAGCTGGTTTTGTCCCTACTTGTTGCTTGAGCGAAATGCGTTATATTTGTTAAAGCAAAATAATTAGTTGGAATGTTGCATACCTTGTCAATTGCTATGATGTTGATAATGATCTCCATAAGCTGAATACAGATTGTTCTCCATTCAAAGGCTCGTTGCTTGTATCTTTTCTGTTTGCAGAATATGATCCTAAATGCTCTTATCATGAACTGGATTTGTATCTCCATTTTTAGGCTGCTTGCTGCAATTCCCAGATATAGAAGGAATTCTATTTTGAAACCATAGTATGTGAATTTAAATTTCATTGCTTATAGAATCGTATAATTATATTAGAAGGATTACTTGGTTATAATGGAAAAAGTATGGCTCAAATTCTAGCAAAATTAACTAGATGGTTTTATTGAAACACAAATGAGATAGAAGTTGGACTTGGGTGCACAAATTCCAGTTTGCAGTTAGATCATCTATTTGCGAGGTTATAAGTATGAAATCTAGAATTCCTATGGTTGTGTTTTTTTTTTTTTCTCTCTGTGAATACCACCTCTAGTTCGAGTGTTGAGATATATTTTCAATCCAAATAATAATAGTAATAGTAATACTATTATTTAGTAGAAGAAGAAAACTAGAAATTATCCATTTATCTATTTGGTTTAATAATAAATTGTGCTAATTTATTTAAATACAGTCCTATCGTCGACGGATCGCGGGTGAAGGAAACGGCCCGTCCGCAAGATAACCCCTTTGTATAATGAACGACGACTGATCGTACAACTGCGATTTAATAACTAGAGTAAATTAATTACCCATCAGCCTGGTCTTTAAACGACAGTCGATCAACATTTTCCATTACTTCCACTGGCATACATATCGTCCTCGAGTGATCGTGTATAAACAAACGGCACGTCTACGCAAACACGACACAACACCAAAACGGGCATGGGTTAATTTTATTCTTTGCATTTCTATCACTTGTTTGGCTGCTAAACGACCGTTTATCAGTCGTTAAATTTATACACCTCAGGTCGTCGAACGACCACGTCTGAACTGATAGACCGGTCAGTGCAATGGACCCCTTATTCAGTGACACGTGGCGTATCAGGATACCACTTCCAAACCGACAAGTCGCTTAAAGTGATTGAATTCGCAATCTTAACATCTAGTCGTCTATGATTATGAACCCAACCGCAGTTGGCGTCTTAGCATCCCTGTTAAACGAAGCAAAGCTCTGATCCTTCATACCAAGTTTTACACTCTGTGCTCAGTTTTTTGAGGTGATCTCTATCTTCATCTTAAGTCAGTTCAGAGTTTTTTTTTTTTTTTTTTCGTTTCTAAATTATGGTTCTCCAGTTTTAACTCTATCGACTATTATCACATCTGGCGCTCCAGCTATTCGACGAAATGCCGCACTAAGAGACATGCTGTTATTTATTAAATATTAACGTGTTTTTTTTTTTCCTCACTAGTGGAATTAGGGGAAAAGATATTGTTCAACGTATCTATTGCTTCTCAAAGTTATATTGTATTGGGATTTCTGTTCAAATTTATATTAATAAGATTGGGCCACGCATGAACATTGAATCGTGATAAATGCTTTTGGCAGATTCAACTTCTGAAGGCATTTGAATTAGATTGGTAGTGTGATAGATGGCATTGAGACGCTTCCTTGGATTCTCAGATGGCGAGCTGATGAGATCAGATGCTAAACCTTGCTCTAGACTAATGAGGCAAACAGCTGGAATTTTTTCGGTTGGAGGGGCTTTAGGTTTCTGGATTCTCTGCAGGTTGCATTATGGTATGTTCTTATATTCCCATTCCATTTCTATTCACCTATCCATTTACTCAGTTATAGTTGAATTTAGTTAACTGTTATCTTCATACGTGCACCATCTGGCTTGGTGCTATTGGTGTTATGAATACTTGATAGAGCCACATATGATAAAATCTTATGAATAAGGCTTCATCTTGGTTGTAATGCTGAGCAAGACGCTTGCCAAAAAAAAAAAAAAAAAAAAACCAAAAAAAAAAAAAAAAAAAAGATGGGTTCTAAAAAAAAAAAAAAAAAAAAAAAGAGGTTCTTACGGAGGAGAGTCAGCTTTTCGTTCTAGAAAGAGCATTATTTCAGGCTCAATGTCAACAACTCAAAAGTTGGTTATCCAAAAATCAGGGAAGTGTTGCTAGGTGATCATCTGTAGAGGAATGGAGATTGTTCCGGTAAAGAAATTGAAGGTATTAAGATGAGGCGTATGCATATATAAAGAAATAGGCAAGGAAGGAAAGAGTAGGGATAGTGATTGGTGATGAAGGTCAAGTTTATGGCATTGCAATAACTTTGATGTTGATGAATAAGTAAAATCCAATTGATATGTGGAAAATGCTGGAACTGGAGCTATATATAGCCCATAGCTGTTGGCCTGCTGGTAAAGATAGGAGCCCTCCTCTTGTCCTTGGCTTGGTCAACACACAATTAGGATTCCTTGTTGCCTGAAAAAAGGTTTCGGGTTTTGAGAATTCAAGGGAAAAAAAAAAAAAAAAAGGTAAAATGGAAAGTAGCATTGCATATTTTAAAGCATCAGAAATTGTAAAATAAAAGGTAATAGAAATCTCAAGTATCAAGCTGTTATTATGATGCCTGCGAGTTATTTTTCTGTCTTTTATTAACCAATAGGATTCAAGCAAAATTATTTAATATGTCGCAAGTTTCTTTTCCCCTTTGCCAACTTTGATTTGGATCATAACATGTGGTTACTCTTATTTATTATTTCATATTTTGACTAATATACATCATGGTATCATTCGCATGCAGGTCCTAGAATTACAGTTCCTAGGAGCCTTCGTTGGGCTACTTGTGGAGCTATTTCTGTGAGTTCAACTTCTGCTCTCCTGGTCCGCCTCTTTAGCCCTGAATGTGAACCCCAAAATATAGCTGCTTATGACAAAGTAAAATAGTGATACATTACATATCAAGGTTGAAAAAACATTTTTTTAAATTAGCTCATCTGTCTGCCTTTTGCTGAGACATTAATCCTCTTATGAATTTCCCATGTCGAGGCTCGTTGCGTACAAACTGATGTGTACTTTCATCCTTAGAAGAAGGCTTTGTGGAGCAATTAGTCTTGTATGAATATTTGTTTCCCGTTTAGTGTAGCCATGAAACTACGTATGCCATAATTAAATTGATAAGGATTGATGCTAAACTAACCCAATCAGCTACAGACCTGCCTTTATTTCTCCTTGGTAGTCTATGTTAAACTTCTGTAGGCTTGCTTGGGGATGGAAAGAGACATTGCACCATATATGATGGGGCCATAATTGGGATAACTGGGTTACATCGTAATCAAAGTAAAGCCCAAGAAAAATGTCCCAAATTCTCTCAAATTCTTTTAAACACACCCCAACTTTAATTGCGGAGAAAATAACGTTATTATTCATTTTTTTTCCATTTCTACTAACTTCTGGACTTGCACAAAATTAGATCATGCATTACAATTTTTTTTTTAACCTAATTTTGCCTATGAAAGCCAATTGTAGTTAACTAAAAAGCTTTAGGAGCCTTCATTTTGGAAAGATATGTGTACATAACATGAAATAGTGGTAATATATTATGGCTACTACCTGTCATCTCCTTCATTAGACACTTAAAAAGAATAAAAAGAATTTTGAGAGCATCTCGTGTTATCACAAAAATTTAGGTACAAAACAATTAATATGGATATTATTGGTAACTACGAACCACGAACTGCTTCTGACATCACTATTAATTGTTAAAATTATTAATGACATGTCTTTTCTGTATTAGATTACATAATATCTGCTTTGGTAGTATATCACATCATATACATAGAACGAATGTAAATGGTTCTGTCTCCTAAAAGTATGGTTAGAGGTTTTTGACGGAAATTTAAAAAAAAAATATATATATAATATTAATTTCATTAAATAACTATTTTATCTTACTGACTCTAATCTAAACAATTCTCTCTATATAATCTGCCAATGAAATAAGAAATTTTAATAAATTATACACAATAGTAACTGTGTTTTGTAAAGACAATAATAAGAAGAGAGAGTCAGTTTAATTATTTAAGCTATTAATTTTACATTAAAGATAACTTTAATTTCTTATAAATCCAACTAAAGTGAACTTTGTTAATGGATTCACAAAAACCCCTCTGATATATTATTATTCACCAAATGAACAAGAAATTCCGCACAAGAATTACTCTGACACATTGGCCAAACGGTGTTTATTGCCGATGAGAATCCATGTGCAATGCAATCAAGACATGTAGCTTGGCTTGCACCCATTGTTGAATATGTATTGGCTCAATAAAAAACGATAAGAAATGGTTTCGTGTGTGTGACATTTCTTATCTACAATTAATTATTTCTGTAGCTAAAGTTGTCCATATCTTAGTTACTATGCCCAGTCTATACCCTACAAAAATTTAACCCTAAAGCATCCTTCTATGACTAGAAGGAGAGGAAGACGAAGAAGAAGGGTGTATAAATGCTACTAGGAAATTTGGTGGGTACAATTTGGTTAGAAGTTTGAGCATTTAAGAGAAAATGGTTAGGTTTGTTAAATCAACTTGTGCAAAATTGCCTTAAATCTCGAACACGCAAATTAAAGAGAGAGAGAGAGAGAGAAAGAGAGACAGACAGACAAAAGTACACGACTTCTTTGAAGGTCAAACCGAGCGGCAATACATGTCATTAAAGAATTTGATTGTTTGATACTGTTCCTATTTAGAACTGCTATTTCACAATTGCCCTTTTCTTCTCTTCTTAAATACAAAATTAGTCCTTTCCTTTTTAACCTACTTCAATTTGGTGAAAGAATTACCTGTACCCGTGTATAGCCCACCGCTCACCTATACATCAACGGTATTTATAATCATGCACGAGAATAAAAAGGACAAACACACTAATGTTTTATTTTTTTTAAAAACAAATATTTTTGATTGGCATTGCGTGTGAGACCATCCATATATATATATATATTTTTTACAAACAGCTTGGATATGTTTACTTTTAAATTTTAAATTTTAAATCTTTTACCATATAGATAAATCCAAGTTTTGCTGACAGTAACATTCAAACTATAGAGATTGAAAAATTGTTTCTATAATAAATTGCAAGAAAGAATTAGGCAGGGTTGAACTAACACCAATATGCATGCAACATTAATTACTTATTCTACTATCTTTTCTTATGCAACCATAAAATAAAATATTGCTGTTAGCAACATCAGAAAAGTCAAAATTTCACAAGCCATTGTTTTTATGTACATATAGATGTAGTTCACCAATATGCACTATTCTTCAAACACTTGGCATGCACTGCACGTGCATTATCTGCCAATGTCGTCCATACGAGTGGCAAAATAGCAATAACTACACTAGAAATAGGTCAAACTTATAAACATAAATACACATCATACGCGCAAAAATCCCGCTCTTTTCCTGGTTGGCAAATTCAATGCCCCGGCGGGTTAACAATTAAAGGTTCGTTGGGGTAGTTGTATCCCCCCATCCCTCTCTACACTCTCACACCCTTTATATCTCCTATGCCCTTTTAATCGCTCCTCAACACTTTCACTCCCATTTTCTTTGCCTATTCCTCTTATCATCGTCTGGGTTTTCTTTTATACAATCTCTTGATTTTCTTTTAGTTTGTTTGATTAACAATGGCAGATCAGGAGAGTAGACAAAATCCGAGACCTGAATCGGTCACTGTAGAAGCAAATCAGCCTGAAACAAGAAGAAATAATCTTCCAAACTTTCTTTTATCAGTTAGACTCAAATATGTGAAATTAGGTTATCATTATTTAATCTCCAATGCTATGTATCTTTTGCTAATTCCGCTTTTAGCTATTTCTTCAGCTCATCTTTCTACAATTACTATTGAAGATTTAGTTCAGCTATGGAACCATCTCAAGTTCAATCTTGTTTCAGTTACTCTTTGTTCGGGTTTTGTTGTTTTCTTGGCTACCCTTTACTTTACGAGTCGGCCAAGGAAAATATACTTGGTAAATTTTGCATGTTACAAGCCTGTACCGGCTCGAATATGCACGAGAGAAAATTTCATGGAGAAATCAGCACTTGCCGGCAGCTTTACAGAAGAGAACTTGGCTTTTCAAAAGAAGATTCTAGAGAGGTCTGGATTAGGGCAAAAGACATACTTGCCAGAGGCAGTGATGCGGGTTCCACCGAATCCATGTATGGAGGAGGCAAGAAAGGAGGCTGAAACTGTGATGTTTAGTGCCATTGATGAGCTCTTGGGCAAAACTGGTGTTAAAGCTAAAGACATAGGAATTCTTATTGTTAATTGTAGTTTGTTCAATCCGACGCCGTCTCTCTCTGCTATGATTGTCAATCATTACAAGCTTAGAGGAAACATTCTGAGCTATAATCTTGGTGGTATGGGCTGCAGTGCCGGTCTTATTTCTATTGACCTTGCCAAACAGCTCCTACAGGTATGCACATATATTTTTTTCCTCTTTTTCTTTAATCACTTATGTTTAATAGTAACATCTAAATTATCGGGAATTTCTTGCTACCCGCTGTATGGATGATGGCATACACTAAATTAATAAAAGAAATATTACAGTATTGTCTTTTTTTTTTTTTTTATCTAAATAATACTTTTAATTCACTTTATGTATTGGTGGGACCATATGTAGGTATCGTTAAATCAAAAAATTTTTATTTGATGAAATTAATTATTTTAATAGTTGTTAGTTGTATTAATAATTATCAAGAGTTTAATTAACCTCTTAATTTCATTAAACGTATCGATCTCTTAAACCCTAAATACTTATATAAATTTCATACTACTGAAGTCTATAAATAATGTAGAAATTTAAATTAATCAAAACAATTAAAACCATACGAAAAGGTAATTAAAAGAATAGAAAATATAAAAATTTATTAGACTAGATAAATAAGAGTATTTTCTCCTTTTTTTTTTAAAAAAAAAGATTAAACAAGAATATGGCAGGATAGGCAAATATTATTATAATTATAAAATAACATGAGTGGCTATTCAAAATAAAATAGGAGTCTCAATCGAGAATCCAGTAGCAAAATTTGTTCCAAATCCAGTAATTGGTTAAAAGTTCAAAACTACTAATGGCAGCATGTGGTGGGAAATTTGTCAACGTGCACAGCTGGGTATTAAATGACGACGTTTAGTTTACAGATTTTGTTGAGGAAGCCTATTTAATTAGTTTAGTTACGACATTAAAATGAAAAAGTTTAATTATGTCAATACTCCACAACTACCCGAGTTATGATACCTTGAATCTCATCGAGGGGAAAAACCTTCTATTTCCTAAATTTTTTTAAAAAATTAAATTCTATGCTATTATCAAATAATTATATCTATAAAAATATTAATTTAATTTCTAAATTTGATTGCAACAGGTTCACCCCAACTCCTATGCCCTAGTGGTGAGTATGGAGAATATTACTCTAAATTGGTACTTCGGCAATGACCGATCAATGCTTGTCTCAAACTGCCTCTTCCGAATGGGCGGCGCAGCCATACTTCTCTCCAACAAGTCGTCGGACCGCCGTCGCTCAAAGTACCAACTCATCCATACAGTCCGCACGCACAAGGGTGCTGATGATAAGTGTTACAATTGTGTGTTTCAGAGAGAAGATGAGGGTGAGAAAAAAAAGATAGGTGTCTCACTTTCTAAAGACCTAATGGCTGTTGCAGGAGAAGCTCTTAAAACTAATATAACCACTTTAGGGCCATTAGTCCTTCCAATGTCTGAGCAACTTCTATTTTTTGCAACTTTAGTTGCAAGAAAAGTCTTCAAAATGAAAATAAAACCCTACATTCCAGATTTTAAATTGGCATTTGAGCATTTCTGCATTCACGCAGGAGGGAGAGCTGTTTTAGATGAGTTAGAGAAGAATCTTGATTTGACTGAATGGCATATGGAGCCTTCAAGAATGACTCTTTATAGATTTGGTAATACTTCAAGTAGTTCTTTATGGTATGAATTGGCTTATTCAGAGGCTAAGGGGAGAATCAGAAGAGGTGATAGGACATGGCAAATTGCATTTGGGTCAGGATTCAAGTGTAACAGTGCTGTTTGGCAGGCATTGAAGACTATTAATCCTGCAAAAGAAAAAAGCCCTTGGATTGATGAAATTCATGAATTTCCTGTTCATGTTCCTAAAGTTGTTTCCATTTCTTCTTCAAGCTAGCTAGATCAATTTATATCCATGATTCATCATCATCATCATCTTATTTGATTAATTAATTTCCATATAAGGAGATTAATTAGTCTCAAAATGGTGTTCTAGTTAATTTGATATTTGAAAACTTTGTGATTTTTTTAACCTGATGATATATTGTTAGTTGATGAAGCAAATAGCCAGGAAGATCTTTTAAGTTTCCATGTTTGAATTGAAATTTGTTGAATAAAATGTTTATTGTATAGTCTATTGCATCTCCATACTATAATATATGAATGTTAATTATTTAATTTTTCAAGAGCCTTAATCTTCACTTAAGACCCTTAATAATTACTACTGCTAGCCATGGATGGAAAATAAGCCGTAATTAATACTCCCTCACATATAAATAAATTGCATAATGTTTTATAAATTCATTTGAAATGCTATGTTTTCATTTTTTTTTTTATATATTATAAGTGAGATTTTTGTTTTTAATTATAAAAATTAAGTTTAAAAATTCAATATAACTAAATTAAATTCTATCACTTAAGTTAAATCTTTGAACCCTAAATAATTAATTGTGAATCAGGCTACTGCTAATTCCATATTATAAAATCCCAACTAAGCTTCACTTGGATTGTCGTAAAAAAAAGACATTAGTTGGGCTGTCATCAATTTGACCAAGTAATGCATGTGTATTTTGGCAGCAGTGGATGGTATTTCCTATCTAAAAAAGTTGTAAATCTGAACCCAACATAACATGTCCAGTAATTAAAGCGTACTAAATTCTATTCTGATGATTTCACGATCAAATCATGTAGTCAGCATCTTAACATAATCGCTCCTCCGTTAGCAAAACCATAAAAGTTGCAAACCCAAAGCCAACTTGCAGCAGCGCATCAAAAATGACTAATTAGCTTAATTTAACATTAGTGCACTAATGTTGTCTACCTCAAGTCAGGCAGTAGCTAGGGCAAGTAGTTAATTATGAAATAAGTTAGAGGTAGGGTGCAAGAATCCATGATCTATAATTAACGATAGCGTTGCTTTTGTCTCAATAATATTATTATATTAGGTGTTTGATTGTTCCAACCAATTACACAATTTTTAAACAAGTTATCCAATTCATGATAATAAACTTCATGTGAACCTGATATTAGTAAATATCTAGTCTAGTTTGAACATCAAAACTATTGGAGCTTGGGCCTCAGGCAAGCAATCCAAGGCCTGAAATACAGATATTTGAAATCAATCCTTACATGAGCTTAAATGACAGTTCTGGATGGAGACAAACCACATTTAGGGGCCCAACTATTGCAATGCGCTCAATTTTAACTATTGATTGTTGGGGCGCGCCGGGCCAGTGCTGTAGGTGCAACGCACAAGCGACGCTCAGAAGCCCTAGTAGCAAGCTACAGATATGGGCCTTCCCCTCAAAAAATAAATTTAATATCATGCGGGCCGATGGCCCACGTATCAGATATTAAACTGATAAGAACAGATACTACACTTGATCTTAGCCAAAAGGCCGAGAAAGGTATGGTCTGTTAAGAGTCGTGTTTCGGTATTGTACTACAAGTCGTCGAGCCCATTAGCTTTCTCTGCCGATGTGGGATTATAAAGACTGTCTGATTCGGCCATTAGCTTACTTTTTCTTAAAGTTTCCAAATATTCTTATGTTCTGAATGTGTGGAGTTTTGAATTAAAGAATGGATTTATGTTTTCTACCTTTAAAATAGACTACAGTAGACTTGTGTTTCCACTAGAGTTTGTGGCTCTCTTCTTATATAAGAATGCACAGTCTAAATGGCTTCCAATACAGTTAGAATCCAAACATCAAGCTTAATCTTAAAATTGGAAAACACTTCTACAATTTCGAAGGTACAAAAGACAAATGAGGATACTTATTATTAGCCATTAATTTACTGGAAAAATAATGAAGAGTTTGAATGTTAAAAAATGATTTAAAGTAAAAATATTCATTGCTTTAGTACGTGAGTAGTTGAATATACCGTCTCTCAAAATTTTAAATCGTTATTCGGCTATATCTTTAGAGTCATCTTTTTAGCATTTTGATTAAATAAAATTTTATTTCTATTAACTATATTGTTCGGTAACATAGCTTAAACGTCAGTGGATCCCTATTTCGGAACTTCTTATTAAACGTTAAACACTCTACCATTTATCATTTTTTAGAAATTAATTATTTTTCTTTTATAATCATACACATTGTTCTTTTCTCCGAATTTAATTAATTAAACGGCTAATGTCATTTCTTATCATTTTAAATTAAACAGTTAATTTTATTGAATATTTTTAATTTAAATAGGTAGCAATTAAAAGCTAGCTAATAATACAACAAATAACAACTACTATTGTGGAAGAGGAAGAGACCCTAAAATGTCAAACTTATAAGACCTAACAGTTTATGAGAAGATTTGAAGACTTTGTATACCATACAAAGAAATTGAATGATTTTCCCATTTTTTTTTTTAAAGTTTACTCCAGCAGTATTCCATACCCGTCTTGAATATGAAAGTAATGTCGCTGGGGAACTTTTGTAAATTTTTTTTTTTTAATATTGGAGCACCCAAGAGCATTAAAATATTATTTTATTGGAATAAATTATAAAAAATAAAAAGAAAATGAAAAAAAAAAAAAAATTTCTTACAGCATATAAGGCACCAACGTCTTGCACTCCTAAACTGAATTGTTGTGGAGTGATAAGTTCTCTTTGAACTTTTCACAAACATGGAAGAAGAAAAGAAGAAAACCCTACAAAATAAACCAGCACCTATTGGAACTCCATTTGAGAAAAAGGAAAACGATCTGCCCAGTTTTTTCTTATTATCTGTGAAACTAAAATATGTGAAGCTTGGTTACCATTATTTGGTCTCCAACTCCATATATCTCTTGTTAATGCCATTCTTTGGCATGATTGTGGCCTATTTTTCAACTCTTACCTTTGAAGATCTAACTATGCTAAGGAACCAACTCAGCTTCAATTTGGTAACATTGCTTATATGCTTAGCTGTTGCGATTTTTATTATCAGTCTCTATTTCATGGGCAAACCGAGAAATGTTTACTTGGTAGATTTTGCTTGTTACAAGCCAGAATCTGCTCATAAATGCACTAAAGAGCAATTTATGCAGCTATCAGCAGCAACTGGGCATTTTACAGAGCAGAGTTTAGCCTTTCAAAGGAAAATTCTCGAAAGATCAGGTTTTGGTCAAATGACATATGGTCCTAATGGTTTGATGCGGTCACCTAAGGATCAGTCTTTGATTGAGTCAAGAAATGAAACAGAAATGGTTGTGTTTGGAGCCATTGATGCACTTTTGGCACAAACTGGATGTAGCCCTAAAGATATAGGGATACTAGTTGTGAATAGTAGTTTGTTTAATCCTATACCTTCTCCTTCAGCCATAATTGTCAATCGTTACAAGTTTAGAGAAAACATCTTGAGTTATAATCTTGGTGGTATGGGTTGCAGTGCTGGCCTTATTTCTATTGACCTCGCCAAAGATCTTTTGCAGGTTTGTTTTATTGTCTTCTTTTAGAGCAATTTATGTTACAGATTACAAGAATGTCCTATCCTTAACAAATTTTGAGGTTCACTTGCTAAATCTTAAAATACCTTTCTTGCTGTATGGAATAGTTTTCCTTATTAGTAATAATGTTAATGTTTCTGTGAACAGTCTGATTATTAATCTTAGTGTTGTCCCTTTCTTGAATTCTTGATGTTAATTAATGTATTTATTATCGTTTTTTTTTCTTTGTGAGAATGTATTTATTATCGTTTCTTATTTGTTCAATGGCACTTATAGGTACATCCCAACAGCTATGCCCTTGTGGTTAGCACAGAAAATATAACACGAAACTGGTATATGGGCAACAACCGCTCCATGCTTGTCACCAACTGTCTTTTCCGTATCGGAGCCGCCGCCATCCTCCTATCCAGCCGACCATCTGATCGCGGGCGATCAAAATATCAGTTAATCCATACCGTTCGGACCCACAAAGGAGCTGATGATAAATGCTACGAATGCGTCATGCAAGAGGAAGACGATAACGGAGCAGTTGGTGTCTCCCTCTCGAAAGACCTAATGGCAGTTGCCGGCGAAGCCCTAAAGACAAATATAAGAGCTCTGGGACCATTAGTTCTTCCAGTCTCCGAACAACTGCTGTTTCTTGCAACTTTAATAGCGAAAAAGTTTTTGAAGATAAAAATAAAACCTTATGTTCCTGATTTTAAATTAGCTTTCGAGCATTTCTGCATTCACGCAGGGGGGAGAGGTGTGTTGGATGAGTTAGAGAAAAATCTTGATTTGAGTGAATGGCATATGGAGCCTTCAAGAATGACTCTTTATAGATTTGGTAATACTTCAAGTAGTTCTTTGTGGTATGAGCTGGCTTATTCACAGGCTAAAGGGAGAATCATGGAAGGTGATAGAGTTTGGCAAATAGGATTTGGGTCAGGTTTCAAGTGTAACAGTGCTGTTTGGTATGCACTGAAGAAGATTGATACAGCCAATGAGAAGAACAATCCTTGGATCGATGAGATTAATGATTTTCCTGTCAATGTACCTAAAGTGACACCCATGGCTTGTTAATGTTAACCTTTCTTTTCCTAAATTAATTAAGAAAGTGTATTTTTCATTCCCTTCCTTATATTATGAAGCTGAATTTAAATTTAAATTTAAATATTTTCCTGTAAGTTATTTTAGAAAAACAAACGGAGTCTGAGTTATCAAATTTTCAACGTAACTATATTATGAATATTAAAACAATGAAATGGGTCAATTATATATTTTTTTTTCCTTTTGCATAACCATTAGGGAATAAGAATAGAAAAATACAATCACCACAATTGAATAAAAAACTTATTAAGACAAAAATAAAATGAATTTCATAAACTTATCGCACTCAAATAATTATTAATTGAATTATAAATCTATGGAGTTATATGTAACTACCTTTATCCAAAGGAAGTAGAAGTCAGACATACAAAATTAACTTTGATTATTGTTGTTACTATTTTATATATAATAAAGCAAAAGTGCAACGACTATCAAAGATGAATCAGGTTTCTGATTTTTTTTTTTTTTTTTTTTTTTTTTTTTTTTTTTTTTTTTTAAGTGCAGACATAGCAGAAATTAAACTGTTGATTATTGTTGTGTACTATGTTTTATCATATAATAAAGCCGAAAACAGGTGGCAACGACTATCAAAGATGGAATCAAGGTTTTCTGATTTTTTTTTTTTTTTTTTTTTTTTTTTTTTTTTTTTTGTGCTTCTCGTAATTAGACAAATGTGGAAATAAAAGAATTAGAACAAATGTTTTTTTTTTTTTTTTTTTTTTTTTTTTTTTTTTTTTGTCTTCTTATTACAATTGGAAATAAAAGAATTAGACAAATGGGGGAGTCAGGAGTGGGTGCATGTGTGGTCATTAAATTTCTGTGAGCAGGTTTTGAAGTTGAGGCACATCCAGTGACGAACTTGCTTTGATAATTGTGAGCAATAGGTGAAGCACCCACTAATATTCAATGGCTGAGGCACATAATCAAAGATCTGCAATTCTCCATACTAATATTCCTGAAACTCTTGTAATTGCTCTCTTAATTGCAAGTTGCAAGTTGCAATTCCAAATACTATAGTAACGTGTTTGTATTTTATTACATTAGTTTTTGTTTCAAGTCTCAAACCATATATATTCATACATGCTATGCGTACTATATAGTAATTTAAGAGATTTATAAATGTAGAAATTATTATTATTATTTATTAAGTCCCAAAATCTATTAATTAATGGAATAAAATTACTTTTCCTTATGGTTTGTTGGTCCTAATCAAATCTCAACTGTTAAAATAGAAATTAAATCCAATTAACGTATCACCTTATTTAGAGTGAGTTAGTTACTATTTTTGCAAGAACATTGACTTGTACTTCTTGTAGTAAACAATTTTTATTAATATACTCAAAAAGGCAATTCTTTCAAGAGGTAAAATTTTTCAGTTTTCATTTTATAGTAAAGTGTATTTGCTACATATATGCATGAATCATAGTTCTCTCTGTATGAATGTTTTAAGTAAGTGTATATTGCCTACATGCACTAGTTGTTCAACGTTTAATATCAATTTTTTAGCTTGTAACTCTCTATATATCCTAGCATTAGGATTAATTTTTTTGATTAGGAAAGATTTATAATCTGATTCTTGTGGACAAGTTCAAATTAAAGATTATATATGTAAGAGTGAATGTCTCTGCAGGCCAAAGCTGACCTCTGTTGAACTCTCGGGAGGTTTGAACATGGTTGAACTGAACTTGATGGACGACCACCATCAGTGTGTAGTATTAATTTATGTTTGTGTGTGGCAGAGTCAGTTTCATTATGTCTTTTCTTTAGTTTCTCCTTATAATTAATTAATTTCTGACATGATTTTGCACGCATTGCAAAAATTTCATCATTAGTCAACAGAAACTCCGTCCACGGGTGCCTATTTATTCGTTGCTCCAAACGGCTCATCATTAAATGTGGTTCTTTAAATTGGTTTTTCAATAGTCAATACTGAAGCAACAAAATAGAATGAGCAATTAATTTATGCCAGTCCCATAAAGATTATATCAGGATTTGAATCTTTTACCCATTATCAACGTCCAAAAAAATAACTTCAGACTATATAAATTGATTTTAAAATGTGCCTTGTCTGGACAAGAAACTTTGTCTTAATAAAAAAAAAAAAAAAAAAAAAAAAAAAAGACAAGAATACTTTGTCTTAGATAAAAGAAAAAAAGAAAAAAAAAAAAAAAAAGAGAGAGAGGAGAGGAACGGCATAAATGTTTGATTGACCATTTTGAATGAAGATAAAAAATAAAATTCAATATAGAATGGCCTAGGCAATTAGATGCGCAATTGCTTACGCCGAACAAAAAAAAAAAAAAAAAAAAAAAAAAAAAGAGAGAGAGAGAGAACCATAAATGTTATTGACCATTTGAATAAATAAAAAATAAAATTCAATATAGAATGCCTAGCAATTAATGCGCAATTGCTTACCGAACTGGCAGCTCTCTTATTGGTGTTTTTACTATTTTAACGCCCTTATTTGGGGTTGTATTATTTGGATGTTGTACCTCAAATGTTGTCTTTTTTAGCATTGGATTATACTTCCTCCCCTCAAAATAAATATAAATCCTGTAAGATTCTTATAGGAGATTAAGAAATCAAATAACTATATTTAATACCCTAATATTTCAAGTTAATTACCTGCTATTATCACTCTACTTTAGTCAAAAGGGTATTCTATAAAAAGGCAAGCTAGCTAGCCTTTGTTGATGACAGCAACCTACAGCAAAAGTTCACAGAGATGTAAAACAGATATGGTAACAACTGATGAAACAGAAACAAACTAATAAACAGAAAACTATGACATTAGCCATAACTAATAGAAAGCTAACTCTGCTGAAATTTACTGTTGCTACAAATTACTTAAGTTTCAATACAATATTCTTCCAAGTCAGAATCACATGCCCCAAACACCACGAGCTGCTGTGAATTTGTTGTTTGGCCTAGATGTCAGCTCATACAAGATCCGTGCAAATGTATCAGAATATCTGCTTTCCGAGAAGAGAATCTCAGCAAATGCATTCTCATAAGCAAGCAGCAATGCCCTGTTCTGTGGCTCGGATACCAGGCTCTCCAGTATCATTGCCGCCTTCCTGCAAACTTCTGGTACTGGATGTGGTGTCTTGATCACTTTCAGTAGTCGATCAACAGCCCTGATTTGTTAAGTTACAAGAGAGAAATATCATGTCATCTTATCAATAAAATGTTAAACTTTTTCATCGGTATAAACGTTTTCTTTGCAATATTTGCCAATTGAGAAAACTAATGGAACATTACCATCGCTCGCTAGCAAGCTTTAATCTGCAATCCATATTAACTTCTGCAAGGTTATAGAGTGCACCAACCGCTGCTGCTTGTGCATCATATGCCTGTATGCTCATAAGATCTACTAAACGCTTGTGTATCTGCAGTATACATTTGAGCCTTAAATACAATTTCACGCAAATCAGTTATATGAAGAAAATGATGTCAGCAGAGCAATATAAACCTGTGGAACAAAAGGAAGAAGGAAAGGTTCATTGTCAGGATTTATTATCATGCGCCCTAGTAATTCTGCAGCAGCACAGTGCCAGGCTTTAACTTGAGATCCCAGCATCCCCATGATAGCTTGGACTGCACGTTTCTCTCTGATCAAAGAAGAAAAATAGCAAATTATCAACCACATGTTGCAATCGAAAAAGTTTTTTTGAAAGCACAAGCGAATATGTTCCTTACGTCATTCTGATGTAAGATGGCTTTGATGAGCTGAAAATTCGAAGATCAAGCAATGGAGCTAAATTTACTATCGTTTCAAGGGCGTTTGTAACAAGTTCTTCATCCTCTGCCAATATAAAGAACATTTAAGACCACTTAACAATAAAACAGGAACAATTAAACACCTATCTGCATTACTATGAATCTGTGCAGCAAAGAAAAGAAAAGGCATCAACATCATGAATGACCTGAATATCAAAAACTTCTACTTCTACAGTTTATTTTGGAAGGAAAAAGGGGAGCATATATAGTGGACAGAAAGAAAAAAACAAAAAAAAAAGAAGAAGAGATTAAGGAAAATAAGTTTATTTTCTATTCCCTGTTTGATATGGGGCAAGTAAAACGAAGATAAAATCATTTCACTCTTAATTTTTTGAAAACAAAAAAAAGAAAAGAAAAAGAAAAAACCTCATCCTTCAATATGAAAAAAGTGTTACGAGGGATAGGAATGTAATTTAGCAAATATTAATTGATTTGTTTATTTTATACCCTCTTTTATCCCGTTCAAACACAGAAAACTATTTTCTTCCCTCACTCTCGTCCTAATTTTCCCTCTTCCTATGCACAGTTTTCACAAGGAATATCCAGTAACAGCTATATTGGAATTAACTACCAACTATATTGCATTGACTAGGATAAATTGCCAAGCCACCAACATGAGTATAAGAGCAAGCATAGTGAATAATTTCCTAGAATCAGAAATTGGAAAGAAAAAGACCATAAATTCTTGAATCTTTCAAGACTGGTGTGCGCTAAGTAGTCTACAAGCTCAACATCTTCCCTTGAAGGAGCTAATTTTGGTGCAAATGCCTTTCTCAAAGGCCAAAAAATGGCTAAATTTCATTCGAGAACCTGGCATATTTATGAAACATATCATCCAAACCCCCCCCCCCCCTTGAATCTTGTCAAGGACTGGTGGTGCGCTAAAGTAGTCTACAGAGCGTTCGAGACCATCTTCCCGTTGAAGGAGCTAATTTTGGTGGCAAATGCCCTTTCGTCAAAGGGGCCCCAAAAAATGGCTAAATTTTTCATTCGAGGAACCTGGCATAATTTATGAAAGACATATGATCCAAACCGCGAACCCGCCCCCTCTCTTTTTCTTCTCTAGGTTTGCTTTTGGTTGACGCTGTGCTCGATCGGGTGGGGGGCAATACCATTTCCAAGTCCTGATGGAGAGTGTGCATGAATAACTGAAGATCGAATATAAAGGCATTAACGCTGTATGAATATGGGATCTAAGAAAAATGACCCTGAAGACCAAGATTTGAGAGGGAAAAGGGGATCGCATTCAGCCACCCCCCCCCCCCTCTCTTTTCTCTAGGTTTGCTTTTGACGCTGTCGATCGGGCAATACCCATCCCAAGTCCTGATAGGAGAGTTGCATATACTGAAGATCAATATAAAGCAATTTAACCTGTATGAATATGGATCCTAAGAAAATGACCCTAAACAAATTTGAGAGGGAAAAGGGATCCATTCAGCCAACCTAAACTAGTATTGGAATCAGACTTGACTGAGATTGACATGTATAAATAGCATATAAAAAAAAATCACATCCCATCTAGTATAGACCAACAGTTGCATTAAAATATTATTTTGCTTTTCCCCAGTCCTCTTACCAGAAATATTGTCTTCTATACACTGGAACACCGTCTCCAAGCAATGCCGATGTTGAGCCATAATGACTTCGTTCTCTGGCATGAAAGAGAAATTCCGTATGATATTTGAAGCACCCACAGCACACTGCTGTTTTTCTGCCCGCCCTTCCTCGTCTAAATTAAACAGGCCATCCTCATCAAACCACCACTCTGAAGAACGAAGTTTGGCAGCATTCTTCAGCACTGAAGCTTCAGTTATAGAAGAACTCGACCCTAATCTGTCACCCAAACATTATCCCGCATTCACATGCCATTGTTATCAATACCAAATTTCTACTTCTAAAGACAAGTACATCATACTTACCCAGGATGTGTGAGAGTGTTGTTTGGTCCTAATGCCTCGTATCCATTGCCAAATCCTGTAACCAGAGAATTGGCACCTAATGTCCTAACCCTAGGCTTTTTGCTGAGATCTTTAGGAAGAGCTATATCACGCCAGTCATCTATCTGTTTAATTTAAACACATCAAATTTTCATTAACCCAATTTTACAACAACCATAACTTGTCATTTTAGCAACTTTATTTTGCAGAATATCTGACAACATGGGCAATTGAGCATAACTTTCTTTACATAACAAAGTTAATTTCATTGCCCCAATAATGCAATTTCAAGTTAAAAGGTGCAAATTTCATCTTTGTGTTGGCATGCATAAATTCGATTATTTCCTAATTCTTTGCAGATCAGATTAAACGAGTGATTGATGAGAGTTACATACAACTTGGAGAAGAGCATCGAGCAAGCCAGGGATTTTAGCTAGAGAATCTTTCCGCATGTCTTCCTTCTCTTTGAAAGAGAGCATTGTAAGAGTGTTGAGTGCCCATGTTAGCTCGCTCTTTAATCCACTTTGAAGAGCCAAAACTATTCTCTTATTATTTTGATCTGAAGATTAAAAACACAGAAAAGAGTGATTGTTAGATGATACCGAAATGCACTCACATGACTACCTAGGGCTTCAATTTGCCAAAACTGACCAACAAAGGAGGTGTGAACTTGGAGAGATGGGCCAAGGAGATTGGATGGAGCCACGGCATCACCGCCAGAGCCGGAGGAGGAGGTATTGTTGCTCGTGCTGCCGAAGGGACGGCCCCTCTTGGCCGCTGGAGCGGTGGCGCCACCAGCAGAGCCAGAAGACTTGTTCTGGTCCCTCTTCTGCATTACTGTCTCGTAGTCTTGTTTGGGCATGGCGATTCAGTAATTACGGATCTACTCTAGGGATTATGTGGCCCGGATCCGAATGGGGCCCAAGATTTAAATTCTTTGGGCTTTTTGGACCTCATCATGTATGGACTTGTCAGGAAAAGCGATATAGATTTGTTGGATCAAAGGGAATCTTGGGCCCAGGTGAACTCGTCCGAGGACGGAGGTTCCGTTAAAAATGACGGCGAAAATAGAAACTGCCATCCAAGGTTTTTTTTTTTTTTTTTTTTTTTAATGACCGGCGAAAATAGAAACGTGCCATCACAGGCTTTTTTTTTTTTTTTTTTTTTTTTTTTAAAATATTGCACACATATTGTACTGATCTTACTATGAGGCGGCCTAATTGAGTTGAAAAAGCCTAGCTTAATTGCAAGAGAGAATTTATTCAAATATTATATATTAATTTTTTTTTTTTTTTTTTTTTTTTTAAATATTGCACACCTATTGTACTGATCTTACTAAAATGAGCGGCCTAATTTAGAGTTGAAAAAGCTAGCTTAATTCAAAGAGAATTATTCAAATATTATATATAATTAATTACCTCATTTCAAAATAACATGAGATAACAATTAATAATATAATTTTTAAATTTATTTATATTTATATGTAAAATCATGATTTTATATAATTTTTAAAATAATAATTTTTATATTTTTCTACAATCCATCGAGTATTTTAATAAATTTAATTTTATTAAAATATTTAATGGTTTAGTCGAAATATTTAATATATATAATTTTATAAATTAAATTGTTTAATAAATTAAAATAGAAAATCGAAGGTCACAAAATTTTTTATAAAACATAATAGTCAAAATAATATTTAATGATAGATTTTTCATAAAAATTAGATACAACTAACTATTCTTAAATAAATTAAAATCAAAATTATTCTATTTGGATTTATTATTTTTTAAACCAAAATCAAATTCGAATTAGTGACTCCAAAGATAAGCAGAAAAAGAATTATTTTTTTTGCTCTAAATTGAGTTTAGACAAATCTAATAATATTATTAAATTGTGAACATATATAATAATAATATATAGATTGGTCCACGAAAAAAGCGATCCGTGAGTCCGGAAGAAAAAGCGAAATCAAACAAGTGGATTCCTTGCTTTGTATGTAGCAAGGGGCATCATACGCCACGAATTCAAGATCCCGAGTTTCATCATTATTCCCTCCACTTTTTCTTCTCTCAATCATTTCTCAGCTTGCAAGGTTTGTGCACCACTTGTCCTTCTGGAATCAATTTCTTGGGGTACGCTTTGCTTCTTTTTTGTTTTTTCTCTCCTTTTGACGCACTCTGTTTTGTTCGGTTTTCTGTCGTTTTGATACTGCCTTGATATCTGTTGACTTAGTTAATGTTGTATTTTCGTAGATTATGAATTCTTGTGATTGGGGTACTCGTCTTACTGGGTTGTGTTTCTTTTTGTTTATTTATGATTTTTGAGGTAACAAGAGAAATTCTCTGTTGCTGATATTGGCTTCTTCTCTCCACTCTTTCCATTTTAATTAATTTCGACAAATCTGTTTCGCCTTATTGAATGGTTTTCTTTTGTTTAAAGTTGATTTATTTCATGCCATTCTTTTGTTTTTTTGTGCTAACTGTATGAAAATTGGCGTATTCTTTAATTCGTTGATACATGGTGTCTCTCCAGAATGGGGAGCACTGGTGGAACTGCATTTGGGGAATACACCTACGAGAACCTTGAGAGGGAACCCTACTGGCCTTCAGAAAAGCTCCGTGTTTCTATTACTGGGGCCGGTGGGTTCATTGCCTCACATATTGCTTGGCGATTAAAGAGTTAGGGCCATTATATCATTGCTTCAGATTGGAAGAAGAATAAGCACATGACAGAGGATATGTTCTGTCATGAATTTTATCTTGTCGATCTTAGGGTGACGGATAACTGTTTGAAGGTGATTTCTGGAGTTGATCATGTGTTTAATCTTGCTGCTGATATGGGAGGAATGGGCTTCATTCAGCCAAATCATTCTGTTATCATGTATAACAATACGATGATAAGTTTCAATATGCTTGAGGATGCAAGGATCAATGGAGTTAAGAGGTTCGTTGACTTTATAAACGTTCAGAATAAATATGGGTTTATCAATAACTTTAGATGCTGTCTCAGTCACTTTACACCTCTCAGGACACAAAGTAACTTTTCTCAGATGGAGGAAAAGTCAAGACTTTTGATTAGGTTTTTAGTTTTTCGTAAACGAGAAAAGAAATTTCAATTCCAAATTTCAATTGTATTTTCTTGACTATCTATTCTTTTTAATTGAATTTGGTTAAAGTGTGTAGCTTGAGCCGTAATTGAATATCAACTTAGATGTTGTCAATTTCAGGTTCTTTTATGCCTCTAGTGCTTGCATCTACCCTGAATTTAAACAACTAGAAACTAATGTGAGCTTGAAGGAGTCTGATGCCTGGCCTGCTGAGGTTTTCCCTCTGAACTAATTAAAACATTTTCAGTCTATATGTATTATCTTTTAAGTACAACATATACAAGATTGATTTCTGCTCATCTCTTAGCCTCAAGATGCTTATGGTTTGGAGAAGCTTACAACTGAAGAGCTATGCAAGCATTACACTAATGACTTTGGGATGGAGTGTCGTATTGGGCGGTTCCATAACACATATGAGCCATTCGGCACATGGAAAGGTAAAATTTCTGCAGCTTCTGCTCTTTCTTTCTTCCTTTTGGTAACCATTGGTTACATCTTACTAAGCTGCATTTTCTTTTTCCCTTTCGCTTATTATTTATTTTCATTTGTTCGCTTCAGGTGGGAGAGAGAAGGCCCCTGTAGCATTTTGTAGGAAAGCAATCACTTCCACAGATAAGTTTGAAATGTGGGGAGATGGGCTGCAAACCCGGTCTTTCACCTTCATTGACGAATGTGTAGAGGGTGTATTAAGGTATATGTTCATTAACTGGGTACCTACCTTTGCTGGATTTTTTTATATAATATGATCTCCATGGTGCTACACAATTTAATAGATTTTGACTCCCAAATGAAAGTGATTGTGCTACTGATAGCTCTTAAGCTAGAGGAGTCGGAAAATTTGCATTTTTGCTGATGCACGATTATACTAGTGTTCTGTATATATGGCAAGTGACTTGTTGTTTGCTATCTGGTTGCAAGCCTCCAGAACTGATTGCAAGATTAACCTGGGAAAAAGTATAGCTCTTTGTTGCCTCAAATGTTAGCATGTGAAAGAGGGTGTGATTAATTTACTGACTCGAATTTAACTTTTGATCAGTTGAGATTGACGAAGTCAGATTTCCGGGAGCCAGTGAATATTGGAAGTGATGAAATGGTCAGCATGAATGAGATGGCTGAGATTGCGCTGAGCTTTGATAACAAGGAGCTACCGATCCATCACATTCCTGGTCCAGAGGGAGTTCGTGGCCGAAACTCTGGTAACACACTGATCAAAGAGAAGCTCGGATGGGCCCCTTCCATGAAATTGAAGGTGCAAGAAAAGCAATTTGGCCTCTCTCTTAAGTCAATATATTTGATTTATAACTAAGCAAATCTCGTCTTTTTTTAAAAAATGTTTCGTATGGCTCACAGGATGGGCTAAGGGTAACATCCTTCTGGATTAAGGATCAGATTGAAAAAGAGAAAGCTCAAGGTGTTGATTTATCCGTTTATGGGTCATCAAAAGCTGTGGGAACACAAGCATATGTCCAACTGGGCTCTCTTCGTGCTGCTGATAGTAAAGAATGAAGCATACAAACCTTAGTACTTGTATATTTATTCCAGCAGGAATGCATTAGCGAGCTCCTACTTAGTTTAAGAGCCATCTTTCTCTTTCCTTTTCTTTATGCCTAGAATAGTCCCTAATTTTATTTTCAAGAGAGCAAGTCTTCTGTATTATTAATTATCAAATATCAAATACCAAACATGGTGTGTTTTCACATTAAATTAATAATTAATAATTTAATTTATATGAGCACAGTGCTCAGACAACTAAGTAGCAAAATCATAATAACAATAAATTGTTCGGAAAAGACTTGCCTTTGTATAAAATTAGGCCACTTTTTAAAAACAAAATATTCAAAATATAAAGTATTTTCTCACGTATGTAAAGTGTCGTTTGTTTACAACAGGAGGAAGCTTGTCCATCTCAGTTGCGGTTTATCTGTCGACTGTGAACTTTTGTATGTGAGGGAAGTTTTTCCCTCGTTTTCTCTGGAAAGGAATTGCGGTGCAGAAGAATTAATACGCTCCAAATTTGAAGTTGGTAAGGTAGAATGAATGTCTTCAAACAGTAAGAACCTCAGCAAATTCAAATTACTCCATCTTTTCAAAAGCTTAAACCATCTAAAGCAGATTCACTCTTCCCTCATCATTCATGACCTCTCACGGGACACCTTCTTTCTTACCAAACTCCTCCATGCTCTTGCTGTCTATCATGCCTCCCAGCTCGCCTACTGTTCACTTCTGTTCCAACAAATTGAAAAGCCCACCATCTATCAATGGAATACCATTATCAAAGGCTTCTCTATCAGTTCTCAACCCCGTTTTTCTTTTGTTTTCTATACAAGAATGCGCCAAAACGGTGTATGTCCAGATAAACACACATTTCCTTTACTTTTCAAGTCGTTTTCAAAGTTGAAAAATGAAAACCCATTTCAGTTTTATACTCATATTGTTAAGTACGGATTGGAATTTAACAATTTTGTTAGAAATTCTTTGATCACTGCTTTAGCAACCGGTGGTTATATTGCGTCTGCACGTCAAGTGTTTGATGAAAGTCCACAAAGAGATTCCATTACTTGGACTGCGATGATTGATGGGTATACTAGAAATGGTTTTCCTGCTGAAGGACTAAAGTGTTTCAAGCAGATGAGATCAATGGGTTTGAAGGTCGACGAGGTAACCGTTGTAAGTGCTCTTAGTGCAGCTGGAATGACTGGTGATATTTGGTTTGGGAGATGGGTTCATGGGTTTTATGTAGAACAATTAAGAGTGAAATGCGATGTTTTTGTTGGCAGTGCTCTTGTAGATATGTACTCAAAATGCGGTTATTATGATGAAGCCCGTAGAGTTTTTGATGTAATGCCGATAAAAAATGTTGTTTCTTGGAGTGCATTGATAGCTGGTTATGTGCAATGCAATAGGTTCAAAGATGCATTACTTCTCTTTCAAGACATGCTAATGGCTGATGTAAGACCTAACCAATCTACTTTGACTTGTGTTCTCACTGCTTCTGCCCAACTTGGCGCGTTGGATCAAGGAAGGTGGGTGCATCATTATATAGATAGGAATTTTTTAGGAATGAATTCAATAACTGGAACGGCACTAATAGACATGTATGCAAAGTGTGGTTGTGTTGGTGAGGCTCTTCTGGTTTTTCATAAGTTGCCAGTGAAAAATGTGTACACTTGGACTGCCATGATTAATGCGTTGGCAATGCATGGGGATGCCTTAAGCGCCTTGAATCTCTTCTATCGCATGTCAAGTAGTGGAGTTCAACCAAATGGAGTTACCTTCATTGGTGTACTTAGTGCCTGTGCTCATGGAGGTCTTGTAGACGAGGGACGTAGATTGTTTGAGATGATGAGACATATATATCATCTGGAGCCAAATGTTGATCATTATGGTTGTATGGTTGATCTACTTGGTCGGGCAGGGTACTTAGATGAAGCAAGAAAATTGATTGAAGAAATGCCAATGGAGCCTACACCCGGTGTATGGGGAGCTTTGTTTGGTGCATGTATGATCCACAAGGCCTTTGATTTAGGAGAATATGTGGGCAAACATTTAATCCGCCTTCAGCCTAATCATAGTGGTCGATATGCGCTTTTAGCAAACATGTACTCAGCATATGATAGATGGGATGCTGCTGCATATGTAAGGAAGATTATGAAAGGAAAAGGCATTGAGAAGAAACCTGGATTTAGCTGGATAGAAGTGAATGGCTTAATCCACGAGTTCATCGCCTTTGATGGATCTCATTCTGAATCTAGTTATTTATATGAGATGTTAGACAACATCATGGTTCAGTTGAAGCTTGCTGATCATCTGCAAGAAACTATGTTATTGACAGCCGAGACTGAATGAACAAACTAGGTAAACAATTTTTTATTCTTAAATTTTAGGTGAGCTCTGGATATCAAAATCAAATTAATTCAAGAAACTTGAACTGAAATACTTAATCTTTGGCTTACACTAGATTCTTTCTTTTCTCTTGGTGCCATGAAATTTGTTACCTGTGACGAATTATTAGTAAGTTTGTCTGAATATTTCTAGGATTTTAATGATACCAGTGAAGCAATTTAGTGAAAAGCATAATTAAGAAATAGGAAGAACATTTAGACTGCCCATTTGTGCAGAGATTGTCACACGGGCCGAAATACCTAATTGGGTTCCTAAATCCTAACACAGATTCTCTCCATAATCATAACCAATAAAATATAAAATATTTCCATAAATCTTGGAATATTCAAATCATAGTCCATAAGCCGATTGGGGGCCCTGAAAAGGGCAGACGGGTTTTGGAGTTTAGTTTGTGACTCTTTCGTGAATGATTAGTTTAGGCTTTGATACTCCGTAATATGGACTGAGCACTTGCCGATTGAAAATAAGTTGTGTCGAGGCCTGCCTTTTAAAGACCATCGGACAGGCCACATGACAGACCAAAGTGGTAAGCCTTTATATCATACGAATTTTATGAGCTTTCACTGTCTCACACAATGCATTTCTCTTTTTGTTTTTTCACATTTTCATATTAAACACACAAAAATATATAAAAAATTTTATTTATGTTAAAGAAGTTCATCCTTATAAACTTTATAAAAAAATGCTCTAATTGTTGTATCAGAGACACATAACAATAAGATTAGTTGTTGGAGTGGGAATTAGTGTTACATATACATCTCAATAATATTTTATAATAAATATTAATCTATATCATGTTTTATATTTTGCTATTTGAAAATTCACACCAATGTTGGTGTTGGATATTAACATATTTATTGCTATTTGAAAATTCAATGGCGAGTAGCCAATCATTGACCATTGCATTGATAATTCTTTTTTTTTTTTTTTTATTTGGGTTCATTTATATATTTCGTTAATTTTTATGATATAAAGAGCTATATAATAATCATTTCTAGTTTTGATTCGTTAGAATCATTTGAATTTTTAGAAAATAATAGACGCAACAGTCCATATTTTTTGGAATCTTGGTTGGTTGGTTGCTAAGGCCTACCAAATTCGTTGAAGGTAATAAAAAAAGAAAGACATCAATTTAATTATCGGTTTTTTGTTTTTTTTATGTTGATTCATATCTATGTTCAAACCAGCTTAAACCGCACACTAAGACATAATTTAGTAATAAATATATTTACAAATCGACAATATATCACATTCAAATCTTCTCCCCCTGCTATAAAAATTTAAAAAAAAAAAAAGGTTTAAGCCATATCACCATCCATTATAATATTAAGACCCATGATCAATCAAAATTCAAATTCTGAAAACGATGCACCTAAGAAAAGTAAAACTATTATGAAAATTAAAATATTAGGAAGAATACAGTTGAAATAATTTAAATATAGAAAAAAAAAAGAAAAAAGGATTTGATATTAGGTAAAAAATAAAATAAGAAGCGATAAAAGAATTTCTAAAAAAAAAAAAAGAAAAGAAAAGAAAAAACAATTCAAACATGATTGAGGTAGATAAGAATCTATGTATATATGTATATTATATATGAACAGGTGATGAACACTATATATCAATATTATTATAATGCCTAAATTATAGAAGTAGATAAGTATTAATTTATTATTCTCCATTGCATTGAATTAATTTTTTTGACAAATCAGAAAATCCTGACTTAACCAATTGATTCAATCTGATGGTTTGTTTGTTAGCCTATTGCAACACTAAACCCATATAAAGAAAAGGGTGTTCTTTGTAAAGCTAAGCCAAAGTGGAAGTCCATTTTGTATGAATGACACAACTCCTCCTTTGGCATATTCTGGTAGTCTATTGAATATTCTTCTAATCTTCATCAACTGCATTATCTGCGATGCATTCTGGATGAACCTATGGAGTCATTTTCTTTTTCCTCAATATGATAAATGCTGTCATTTTCACACCAAATAAAGCAAATTTTAAAATATAGCAATGTCATAACGTCTCCCAGCTTCTAAAGTAACATTTAACTTCTAAAACAGTTAATATTGTGGAAGATGTTAATACACATCTCAATTCAATGGTTTTACTTAATATAATTTTTTGATCCTTCGCTAGAATGGAATACTGCAAATTTCATTTATGTTAGCAGTGTCATAAATAACTTCTGCAATTTCTTCAGCTATTTTGTAGCTGAAATAAAAGGCTGGTTAAATGCATCATCTCATAGTAATCTGAGTTTCTATTTTATTTTCTTCTATCTGGGTTTTTTTTTTTTTTTATCATTGATCTCTTCCCAAAAATGGTTCTGCAATCTGTACTTGAAGGGAGTCTTAACTGGGATTCTTCCAATCAAGATGATAATAACATTTAAGATCTACTGAGTGAAATAAATAAATACTAGTAGATAATGGGATTTTACTTCACATATTTTAATGGCCAAAGAATGCCAGAGGCCCATCTCACCTGAAAAATGCTCTGTTTAGGGTTTTAAAACAAAATATCATAAACTCTGGTATATCAATGGTTATTAAACCTTTGAATTAAAGAAGGAATTGTACGCACTGTAGGCAGACATGTTAAATCATGATTGGATATAGGATAATGTGTCTAGACTTTTCATTTCTTCTTACTTTAAAGCACAAAACAAAAAACACATTATATCCCTAAAAAGAATATTTACTTTTTGATAAATAAACAACTTTACTTATTTGTATATAAGGAATTTCTCACGAAACAAATTCATAAATATGTGATAATCTTTTCTTCTAATTAAAATTTAATTATCTAAATTATGGATGTATTAAAATGACATTTTGGAATGCTTGCACTATTAAATCTTTTTTATCTTTAGGAAAAGAACTTGAATATTGAAATTTGATTCCTAATTGCAATTACTTGAATTGGCCGTAATTATTTATAGGTATAAATTTTCTTTTTTTTTTTTTTCTTCTACTTAGAAAATTTGATTTCTATCTATAAAAAGTGATATAAATAGTAAATCTATTTTGAATTTAATGGATAGCCTAAAAGCTCAATATGCGAAAATTAATTTATAGGAAAAGCAATCACAAGATTAAGGATTAGTCTTACTCATTAAAAAAAATATCTTATTTCTACATAATAAAATCCTTGAGTTATGATCTGAAACGAAAAAATTGCTTGATTTATGATAAGAAATGCCACGCAAGTCATTAAAAATTACCCCAATGGGAGAGTGCAGCATTGTGGAGATGAGGAGTAGCACACCCAACTTATTTTACAATTTTCCATTATGAATGCTCTGATTTCGTGAAGCCTAGGCAAACTATGTAAAATCAAATTTACACCTCACAAGCAATCTCCATACCATATAATATCCCAAAAGAGAGAGAAAAAATTAAAAAAAGAAAGAAAATAAAAAAAAAAAAGAGAGAGAGAGAGAGTAGGTGGTGGGTTGCTTTCATAAAGGCATTATTATTATCTAGCTTTGGGCAAATTCTGCTTTTATTATTTTGCTGTGTATAGAGGAAAAAGACCCCACCATAAGTCCTAATGTCCTATCACACCAAAAATAAGAAAAGGAAGGTGACCCCACAACCCCTTATTAGCTCTAAGCCCTTTCTAACTGACCCCACCCACTTCCCTCAATTACTTATATCTATCTATCTACAGTACAGAATGTATTGCTAAATACCCCACAACAATCATTGTACCAATTTTTTTCTTTAAATTAAAAAACATTACTTTACTTACCCACATTAGATAATAAAAATATGGGAATTTTGTTTTTTTTTTTTTTAAATAAAAATAAAAATAAAAATAAAAATGGGATCTTGAGCCAGAAAATTCCAGCAGTTTGGTCCATTTATGTGACTGTAACTCTCTAACATAATACTCAAACAAAACACCAGTTAATTAGGTTGGATTAATTAATTTCATTTGTACTTAGATTGTTAGTCCCATGCTCTGACCTGACCACAATTTCTATTTGGACTTTGACTCTCTTAATTTTTTCTGGAATTTTAAAAATTAAAATCCATTTGTAATTTCTCGTTGAACTGTATTTTGTGTGGCTAAGAATTTCTTTCATTAATTCAACCAATTAATGGATAGACATACGTGTCAAAAACCAGAGATAAAAAAAAGACATTTGGGTGTGGACCCTACAAAGATTACTTCATATTTATTATTATTATTTTCATCGTCTGCACATAATAATTGTAAAAATTGAATTAGCCAAAGTAAGAACTTAAATTAAAAATTTTTATTATGTTAATTTTTTTTTTTTTAATTTATCCAAGTGTTCGTGTTAAAGTTGATTAATGGATATAGTGTATTTTTGTTCATCCAATCACTTGTTATTAAATTATATTATTTTATTTATAAATTTTAAAACTAAAAAACAAGAAGAAAGTAATTGTATTGGCTAATCCTTTTATCCTCTGTTATATAAACACAATTATGATTTAAATAATGCACCAAAACTCATGTAAATGATCTAATTTTGAGAATAGTCAAAAGCCATAACCAAGGAGGTCAAACCCATCTTCTCTTCATTTTAAACATCTCTCACGTGTTTGAGCATCTTCATTTCATAGTTTATGACCTTATTACCCAGTCAAATTCATTCATTTTGACGAAACAAAACAAAATGAAAATGAAAATGAAAATGAAAATGATTTCACGAGCCCAATTTAGATAAAAGAGGCGTTTTCAGTTTTCCAATTTTATTTATTTATTCATTTTTTTTATGTGTGCACTAAATAAAGCATTACAAGAAAACGTAAAAAGAGAAAGAGAATATCACGCCATCCTAATGAACGTTTTTGCCTATGCCTCCTCTTCACGGCGTTCGAGACTCCACGAGCCACTGCCGTCATCCACAGCACCACCACCCTTCTCCTCCCTCATAAAAATCTGGAATTTATTCTTTATTAAAATTCAAAAAGTAGCGAGCCTAAAAAGATGAGAAATTAAGAAAGGAAAATCTCATCCTCCTTTGTTCCCTCCTTGACAAACAAACATCGCCTTAAAAGAATTTTTTAATAAAAAAATAAATATAATTTTAAAAACTTAGTATTTACCATAATTTAAAGAAAACGGTGATTTTCTCACGTGTTCAAAAGAGATAAACTCTATATAACAACATTTTTATCAAAATCATAAATAAAATGACTAACACCTGTTTATTTTTTCCTTTAAAAAAAAAATAAAATGTCAATAATAATATATTCTATTCTAATGATTATTAATATGATCGAGTTTTTATATTTTATAATTCTTACATTTCAGAGAAATTTAATAGGTAATTGCTATTTTTTTTCTATTTATACAATAATAATTATTATTATTATTACATTGATAGATTCTCTACTACCTCTCTGGCTATTACAGACCCTTTCAAGTAATTGGGGGAAAAACAAAAGGGAAAACAGAGGTTGTACTACTATCCGATTATATATATTTCATTTCACTTATATATAATTTTTCATATTTTTTTATATCTGGAAAATTTTAAAAATTAAAAAAAAAAAAGTGAAAAATCCAAAATTTTTATGGTTTCTCTTTGAGCAGAGAAGCTAATCCAGTCACCATCTTGGCTCGTCTATCTACACTCTTCGGTTTTACTGCCGGCGGCTGCCACGTCGCCGAGTCAACTTTTAATTTATCTTCTACGCCGGTAATTTCTTTCGGCGATGATGAATCAACAGGCGGCGGCGAAGGCGGAGGCGTATCTTCCTCGCCAAAAATTAACTCAAGTTCTCCACGATCGTCACTCTCCGTCGCAATCGAACAGTCGTCTTTCTCGCTTTCGGATTTGGCGTTTGAAATGGTTTCATTTTGTCTGGTGAAAGGAGAGAGCCATTTAGCACGCATGTACTCTGCTCTTCTCCAAGGAGGAAAGTGCATGCCTTTCTTCTTCAGGCTCTGTTTAGCTGCCTCCGATATGATTGACACAATCTGGCCAATCCGATCCGATTTGCCGACGAAGATATACGGTAAAGATTGCAAAATTGCCTTGTAGGCCCCAGTCGATCGAGCTATTTCAAACTCCGATCTGAAGTCGATATCGATCAAAAGTCTCTCTCCTTCAATGATCACATCTACGTATTCATATTCACCTGATTACCAAATTAAGCAAAAAAAAAAGAAAAATCTCAGAATTTTCCGTTTTCGTTTTCAAAATTTTGACTCTAAAAGAACAAAAAGAGAGATGGTTACCGGCAGGGTGAGAGGGGGACTTATCCCATTTGGATTTGCAAATGGATGAATCGTAGCCGAGAGATTTTAATCCATCAGTCACGATCATTCTCAAATCGTCCTTTTGCTTGTAATTCTTGTTCTTGTCAACGATCATCGCAGTATCAGCTAAGAGGTTTCTCTCGGCAGCACTGGCACAGGGAATCAAACTCTGTTTTAACAAGCAGAAATACACATTCCTTTAGCTATTTGGCCTCTCAACTTCAAGGAGTGCATAGCTTGAAAATTTAGAGGGTAAATGGCCATAAATTGGAGAACTCGAGCAAAGTTTTATATTTTACCTTAAGCATGTCGGAGGCATCGAAAGACGATCCGTTGCTGATCGATTCGCCAAAACCACCGCCACCAAATACATCAAATTCATCATCGGAGCTGTCTTTATTATTCCCGTTAAAGCAATTGCATCGGTGGCGGCCGCGAAATGGCTTCTCGTTGCTCTCCTCGATGTAACTCTGTACCATTTTGGCCAAACATACTGAGCTCGGCTCGAAGTCAGTCCCCGCAGCTCCTCCGTCCTTTGTCCCACTCTGTACTTCACCGACACTTGGCTTTTCCACCGATGAAATTCTCAACACGCTAGGGAACTGCCGGTCAAATAACCTCTTTAGACGCGATTTCAACACCGGCTTCGCCGGTTCAGCTCGAGCCGGAACCGTCGTCTGACAGTCAATATCTATTGGTTGGATCTTCATAGGGAAAGGCATAAGTAAAGAAGACGATAGAGATAGGGAGAGAGAGAAAAGACCTAAGGCTAGAGCTTGAAGGGTAGAAGTTAAAATGGACTGATTGCTGTGTTTTAAACGCTGCTTGCGCTTGTCAGTTCTGCTCCATATTCAAAGCTCGCTCAAATACTTGGGTCGCACAGACTCACAGACTTAACAGTGACTAATCAATGAATCCCTCTGGTCCTGATTCTTCCAGTACAATTTACAAAATCCATGAAACAGACAAATAAAAAAAAAAAAAAATCAATGCCCTAGGTTACAGAATCAAATTCACGCACATTTTACCTCCTCTGTTCAGCTAAAAAAAAAATCCTCGAAGTTGAAACACAACACAATCAAAATCCTTGAAAAAAATTTAATCTTATACCCATACAAAAAATTTCTGTGTAATCAATATCCGGTGCCTTCCATATGCAAGACAAAATTTATGGCTTTCAGCTAATGGTTTTTTCGCAGAAGACTTGGCAGGGATAATCGGGAGCACGGACATTGGTCGTAGAAGATGAAAATATGGTTGCCGGACTATTCATTTCTCCGGCAAGGTTTTAATCGCCGGCGAGATAAAGATGGAAATTAAGGTGAGAAACTGAAAACAAGGAGATTTTTTTTGTATTTTTTGGGGTTTGGTGGTTTTTCGGTACAGAATGGAGAGCGCTTGGAGTTGAAAATGGATGGGCTTGGGACTTTTATAGGGGAAACAGCGTTGGACATGCTGACTATACATTATTGCCACGTGGAGTCTGACATGGCAAATATTATCTTCTTTTATGCGGTTTGATAACATGGTAAACGGTAGCACGCAGTTTGTTTTTTGTGGCCCTTGTGCGTTTATGCCACGTGCCTGTAATCGAGATCGTGGGCGGTCATCATTGGCTGGTAATGAATGAAATGACAATGATATCCTCAGACCATTGTGATGTCTTTGTGGAAATACGTGAGACTGTAGTGGATGATTCGTGGGGTAAATTTGAAATTTGAACAGAAGGTGGAGAGGAGAGAGAGGGGTGGGATAAAGTGCAAGTGCATGAGATTTTGTTGAGAGGTGGGCGCCTAACATTGTGTGACACGTAGCGCGCCGGTGCAGTATCGGTTACTTTCCTTTTACTATATATTTTTATTTTTTATTTATTTTACAACGACATGGGAAATATGAATAATTGTGGATATTGTTGGACCGTTGATCAGAGTAAAAAAAGAGAATAGTCACGACAAGAGTACATTTTCGTAATTATAGATAATAGTATGTTTATGTTGAAAAACTGGAATTAATTAAAAGTTATTGTTTGTAGAAAGGATAATCTTTAATTAGGAATTGGATAAGTTTAAAATATCACGTAGCAAATAAAAATCAAAAAGAAAAAAAAAGGAAAATTACATCAAATTTATAAAACTATCAATCAATACTCTTTTTGATGAAAGAAAGAAAATTTATTTGAAACCATAGGTAAACTAAAATTTTTAACCCTAAATATTTTACTGATTCTTTTTAAATAGTAAAAAAAAAAGTGTTTTCCTAAACTCTCAATTAATTTAGGCCTCCCATGGTAGGCTTTAACATATATACATTAATTTTATAACAATAAGGACAAGCATAATTTGTTTAATCTTTTTAAAATATAAGCAATATTATCTCAATTTGTAATGCCATCAATTAATTGGAGAGGCTCACAAATCACTCGTTTCCAACTAACAGTAATTTACATTTAATGATAGATAATTTAAAATTGAAACTTCAAAAATTTAAAACTTTCTTGTTTTAGAAACACAGTATTTATTAATAACGTATCAATTGGAATTATAAGCAACTTTAATTCAAGCATATTTCTGGTTGCTAAATTTTAAAAGCCTTTACAATTTACTCTCTATGGCCCGAACAAAATTAGACTTATTAGACTCCATTTATTTTCATAAAATAACTTGCAAGAAAATATTTTTTATAATTTTCCGTTGTTTAAGGCGCTCATGAAAATTAAGTCTTTTTTTAAGAAAAATATCTTTCCATATTTAAAATATTAAAACATTTTCCGGACATTGACAAACCTTATAAATCTATATTTTTTATAATTTATTAATTATTATATTCACTATAACCAGTCACCATTTAGCACTGACCACCACCACGGGCTACTACCACAGGCTACCACCATTAGCCACCAACGACTTTTTCATTTTTTTGTATTCTTCTCATATTTAACAGTAAAATTTTTAAATTATAAAATTTATATTAACAGGCTACCACCATTAGCCACCAACGACTTTTTCATTTTTTTGTATTCTTTCTTATTTAACAGTTAAATTTTTAAATTATAAAATTTATATATTATTAATATTTTTATGTATTATGAAGCATAAATAAAATTTTAATATTTTTAACTAATTTGAAACATTACAATCAAACAATGAAAAATAAGTCATTTGGAAAATATTTTTCAAGGAAAATTTTTTCTATAAAAAATATTTTTCTGCAAATTATTTTACCAAAAAACAATCGGAGCATTAATTTTATAAAAATAAAACATATTGTGTTTTTTCTTTTTCAGAATATAAGATTCATATTGACTGATCTGCTATTTATTCAACAGATATATATAAAGCCAAATTACTTAATATTGATTGTAAAAGAATTAAATTTAAAATGGTACATATCAAAATGAGTTTACTTCACTCATTTTAATAGATAGTCCTATGCATAAAAATATTTTATCTTTCCTTTCATTTTCCTCTCAAATTTTCTATTGCTTGATGAAGCCTGTATTCAATTATTGGGTTAACAACTATGCACAAATAGCAGAATAAAATAAAATAAAATAAAATAAAAATGAAACATTATTGAGAATATAAAACAAAATGGTACTGGTGACTGGTGAGCACAGCAAAAGACAATTATTTATTTATTTATTTCGTTGGTAGGGTTTACTGAAATTATTTAGAAGGCTCCACACTTACATTATTATGAGAGTGACCCCTTTAATTTTTATTATGAGTATATATATATATATTTACTTGACAGTACACGAATAGGACAAAAAAACAACTAGAGTAATCACTGTTCATCATTAATTTTAATTATACTATTAACCTCCTATTAGTGCATATATAATCATTAAGTATCCATTATGGGGTGCAAATTATTCTTTTAACCTTGATAATGCTGTTTTCATTTTCATTTTCTTTTTCTATTTCATTTTCATCGTTTATTAAGTTAAAATAAAAATTAATTGATTTTTCGGGTTTACTAAATAAAAATGATATATAATTTTAATAAATATATATTTGATTTCGCAATATCTGTCCAAAGAAGGCACCTGAAGTGGCATTATTTGCTTTGGACTTTATTATGAAATTTGTCTAGAGGCTTTGATCACTTGACTAGACCCTTGATATTGTTTTTTGTAAATTCATTTATAAAAGTGGCTTAACTTTTAATTAATTACTAGTCACGGACTCTTCCATTAAGACTAGGTCAATTCCAATTTAATTGGTCAATAAGTACTGGTTGACACAAAATTTAGATCAATCGATTTAATCAAATATATTTAAAATTAATATTTCGTAAAATGTTGGTCTCTAAAATTTTTAAATTTTTATATACCACAAACAAAGATTTATAACCTAATCTATATAATGCATTCATTTAACTTTTTGACCAACAATTAATACTCCAAAAGGATTCATTAGCTAGTTGTGATATATATGAAAATCTAATAATTACATTTGATTATTACACAAAACCTTAAAATTATTCTTGTTCACATCTGATAACGTATCGTTAAAATATAATTAATCGATATCAATGAGTATTAGGCCGAATGATTTGCTAGGAAAATTGCTATTTTTTCGCCCTTTGAACCGACTTCAAGCAGTAATAAATGAGAAAATAAAATAATGACTGAGAAATTAAAGAGAATAAATAACACGATAATTTAACGTGAAAAACTCTTTAAGTGGAAAAAAATCACGGCCGTTGTCAAATAACAACTAAGAAAAATATTCACTATGCGGCAAATTGTTATAACCACAATTACAAAATATTTTTTCGACTCGACACTCTCAAAAGAGCCCAAATATTTTATACTCCAAGAGATTCCAAAATACTTGCTCTAAATCCCTAATATAAAACACATTCAAGTATTTTTGGTGTGTTTAGAAATTTAAACCTTGACTTCCTTTTATAGTCAATCCACCATCCTCACATGCTCTTCTCCCGTATGTTTAGAAATTTTAAAACCTTGCTTCCACATATTTAATAGTCCGTAAGTCCACCATCCCTAACCATGACTTTCTCCCCGATGATGGATTGAGCATAAGACTCTTTTTATATCCGGTATATTATATTATATTATAGTAATATATATATATATTTTTTTTTTAAACAAAAGGAGGCTAACATGATTTCAACCCACTATCTCTCTTTTAAATTTCGATTTTCTTAAATGGTTTATCTTTCACGGATAAAGTAATATATAGCTATTCAATGAAGCCCGGACATCTTATAATGAAAGGATTTTAATCCTATCGTCCGAAGATTCATGATGTTGAGTTTGTGTAGCTCGTGTGTTACATAATATATAGATGTATATAATTTAGTTAACAGTTTAAAAAAAATATTGGACCGTTTTAGGTCTAAAGGGACCTATTAATGTGAGAACGATATTGAATGGCCAAAGTAGGGACCTCCCTTTTTTATTTAGGGTTGTAAATAAGAAATCCAATCAAGATTTAAACAGTGTGAGTAAATGGGTGACTCTTTTTTAACAAAGGAGGCTAACATGATTCAACACTATTCTCTTTCTTTTAAAATTTCGATTTTCTTAAATGGTTTGATCTTCACGGATAAAGTAAATATTTACTAAATAAATCAATGAACCGACATTGCATATGAGAAGGATTTAATCCTAATCGTAGTATCATGAGTTGAGGGTAACTATTGTTAATAATATATAGATGTATATAATTAGTTAACAGTTTAAAAAAAAATATTGGACCGTTAGGTCTAAAGGGCCTATTAATGTGAGAACGAAAGAATGGACAAAGTGGGACCTCCCTTTTTATTAGGGTTAAAAAGAATCAATCAAGATTAACAGTGAGTAATGACTCTTCATTTGTAAGCATGTTCTGTCACTGTCCACACAGTTAAAAAAAAAAGGGACACCCAATAGAATTATAGATTAAGACAAGAATGCGGTAATTTTTCTAAACAGGAGGAGGTAAAGCTAACACGTCAAACCATAATAAATATGGGTTTGGAATTTTTATACCTTAAAGGCACTATATAAGGACATATTGATGGATCACCCTCCCATTTGTTTTCTTTCTTTCTTTCTTTCTTTCTTTTTCTTTTCTTCCTTTCCATTTCTTGCCAATGAGTTGATTCCTTGAACCAAAGTAAAGGTTGATTCCTTCACCTCTCAAATGCTAATTTAATTTATGATTTTCGTCTTCTTTTTGCTAACCCTCTAATGCAAAATGACAATAAAAAAAAAAAAACAAGTGGTTTGCAATTAGATTCAATATAAGCAAAATTTTGACATATCATTAAGTCCTGAAACCTACCCCAACCCAGATATTGCGTAGGTCAAAGTAAAAAACCTTTAATCAATCTACATTTTCATAATTTGCACTGATTAATAATATTTTAATATTTTTCTATACATTTAAAAG